AAGGAAATTGAAATACAGAAACGAATGGCCAAGATGAAGAGTGAAGCGGATTCTTAATCGCAAGAACAGATTTCAACGAAATAGTTGAATGTTTTAGCAGAGTGAACTTGTATGGCAATGATACGGCAATGAATAAGTGGTTGCAAGAAGCTGAGAATCAAATTAGCAGTATAGTCAACATAATGGTCGAACATCCTACTTCTGATGTTCATTTCATATCTTTTTCTGGTGGTGGAGAGAAATACAGACAAAGAATACCTGCTTCTAGATATTACAAGAAAATTTATTGATAACACAAAAAATACAAATAGTGTTATTACGCCAAAAAAGGCGAGACCTCACGAAATTTTCTGGAGAGTTCACCGAGTGGCCTATTTTTAAAAGCGACTTCAGTAGATCAACAGATCAATTTGGACTAAGAGATGAAGACAATCTGACTTCTGACTCCCAAGGAAAAGCCATAGAAACAAAGAAGGCTTTACTGATATCGCCTGGAGATGAACTTCGGCAAACAAGGTGAAGAAAATTTACTACATCAAAGAAGACAAATTGAATTCGTGCATTTCTTTCTCTAACACAATCAACAATATGGTAACCACGATGAAAATGTAAATGATTCACTTCATTTGTATAACCCAGAATAAAATACGAATTTGCGACTTGGCAACATCCAACGGAAAGCAGCCTCTGACCAATGAAATTCGCCAGAATCGCTATTTGCGAGGGAACACGTGTGACTGAGATGTTTTCGTATATTATGGTGTTCGCAATGATGCGCTTTTGCTTTGCCCAAACTTGACGGCTATAAACAGTCGAGACTCGCAATATGAGGTTCTTGTTACATCTTATTCAGATCTTATTCTGATAGATGTCGCTGTACGAATTCCTTTAAAATTGAAACTCAATTACCAGAATGTTATTAAACACTATCAAAAATGAACCTACTAACACCATGTCTGTTTTTTTGTCGTGAATATAAGTGATTGTTGTTATTTGGTCCGATAACCATTAAATACATGGTAAAAATATGACGATATCAGCGCCTCTTACGGATTTTCTATGAACAAGAACCTTATTATAAACGTCGTCAGTTTTTTTCGTGGAATTTCACACTTTGTTTAAAGGAGCACGAGCCGCCACTGGTCACATGATGGACCAATATTAATGGTTGAGATAAAAGAGCACTAAGAGCAGCTTAACGATTTCAATAAGGTCAACATGTTCAACCTTCAACTTAACGTGATCGTTTTCTCCATTGCTAAACGACCTCAACGATTTCAATACGTTCAACAAGTTCAACCTTCAACTTAACGTTACCGCTTTCCAACCAATCCAACTGTGATTTTGTGATCTTAGCTGTTTGTGATGATAGGTTAGAAATCTGTTCGTAAAACTGTGTCTCTGACTCTGATGTTCATCATCATTTGTCATGAATAGTTATTGAGGAAGGTGATTGATTAATGTGTTTTCCCTCTACGTAATTTTATTATACAGGGTGGCATTGAAATAAGTGCAAATATTTTAAACATTGAGAAAGCTCGACGTGTACTATCGAATGGCACTAATAAAATGAATTTAGTGATCAAAATAAAATTTGAGGTTAGACCCCCTTTCCCACCCAAAGTTCAACGCTGTAGCAAATCTGACGTCACCTTTGTTAAAATTTCCAGGCGGTAGGCACAATCACGCGGAGTTCAATCATTTAAATTGTTTTATAGTGGCGTACTTGATTTTTTTCTCGTATTTTGTTCAATTTTTGGGATGAAATTTCTCGTTAATTAGAAGAATTAGAAAAAATCTGATATCATGAGGATATTGCTTAGACTGTATCATATTAATGTGCTGAATATGTGCACTCATTTCAAAAACACTTTTATTTATTACCCTTCCTCCACATTTTGGCCGGAGTTGGAGTAATCAAAAGTGACTGAAACGTCGCATTGCAATGTGAATTCAGATTAGTAATAGCCGACTAGTTAATAGAATGAAAAAATACTGTGGCATGGTTAATTGAGTTCATCGTCAAATAAAGTGGCAACTGGAAAATTCTAGTCGAGACCTAGCACATGAAATACAATATAATCAATTTATAAATGTTTTTATTCAAAATACAGTTCTAGTATCTAATATTAATACTGATGATGTTTTTCATACACTGTTTTGCAGCTTGAATAACAAAAATAGATGGAAGAACACAATTATTATCGTACTAAAATTTACTCTGGATCCTATAATTTTCATGAGATACCCTTTTGTGCGTTCATAGTCACCACAAATTGAAAAAAAAAACGTTTTACAACCATAATTGGGTTTTTGCAGTACTTTGTAATAACGATTATTGTGAAACCATAACAAGGAGCACCTTATAATTCTTCACTAGAAGATAGAAATCTGTACTATTTTGAAAAGTGCTGCAGACATGTCAATTACACTTAAAGTAAAAGAAAACATGTTTATTAATTATTCTTATTCAACTTTTAGCATGATTCATTCATCCGAAGAAAAAATTCCAACACAAGTTTTGCACGGTACGATGAAGTGTTATATAGTTAGTTCTCAATTGAATCATCAAGAAAAACCTCGGACCAGCCTAACATAACAACAAATGGATATAGGCGGCCCATTGACATTTAATAGTAACTTTGGTATGCTATCACATGCAGGTATATTCAAATATGAGCCTATAATATTATCATGGGCCACATGCGTGGTGTTACTGATTTGAATATATGTATGTACAGGGCAATTTCCTATATTTCAACAGCTTCTACAGGGTTCATAATTGAAGTTAGAAAAAAACTTCAAATACAAAATGTAGGGTTTGTTCTGAACCTCCAGAAAATTGGACGAGGTGAAACAAATGAATATTGCTGATATAAGAAATAGGTATGACGTATGACTTAGTTATTTTGAATGGAACACCGTATATATGTTTCGTTAAAAGATCTTTCTTTTCTGATTTAAAAAATATATAGGTTATTGATATTCGGTTCAGCGGTTTTCAAAATATTCGAGGTTGAACATTTTTTAGTTACAATTTGGTTTTACCGAATCGCAGTCATCATGAAGAATCAACAACAAATGTACGCTAAGAAAATATGACTATATATGTTGATTCTTCATTTCAATTGCTGTTTGGTAAAATGAAACTATTACTGATTTTAAAAATGATCGACCTCGAATATTTCATAAACGGCTGAATCAAATATCAACAAGATATATATTTTTTAAATTATGAAAAAAAGATCTTCAATTTTTTAAAAATATGTAGGGTGTTCCAATGAAAATAACGAAGTCGGTACCCATTTCTTATATCAGCGATACCAATTTGTTTCACCACGTACAATTTTCTGGAGGTTCAGAACTAACCCTACAATTTTTGTATATTTAATTTTTTTTTATCTTCAATGATGAATCCTGTAGAAGCTGTTTGAATATACGGAATGACCCTGTACAGTGTGTCCAGTTTTCGATGCTTTTGCGTGATATCTCAGTTATCTTTCGAGATAGAACCTTGCGGTTTTCGCGGTCCTGTACCACTTTTCTGTGAAACTCAAGATGACCTAATCAGATTTTGCATAACTGTTTGCGTTTATGAGATACAGGGCGATTTTGAAAATTTATACTTTTTGGACCCCCTCTATATCTACGAAGTTTCTCAGCGGAAATGTCAAATTGGAATCTTATCCCATACAGAATTTCGCGCAGAATTCAGTGGCGCACTCAAATTTTTTTTTCTGGGTATGGTTTCGGAGATACGACTCAAACTTATGATTTTTTAAATGGAACACCCTGTATTTCATAAGCTCATTAAATTCCTTATTTTTTTCCCATCAAAATGAAATATGATGAATAGGTATAAAATTTTCAAAAATGCTCCAAAATCACTAAAACATTGAATTTTAATTATAGGCTATGGATTTTTCATTTAAAAAAAGTTCCAATTGAAGGGATATTTCATTTGATTCTTCCATAAAAAGGACAAAAACAATCCCAACACTAGTTAATTAAGATAACAACAAATGAATGGTAATAAAAAGTTCATATGATTTAATATTCACTAAGACAATTGAATAGTAACTTATTCATTGAATTGTTCAAATTGATGTCCTTTTTACCTCACACGCTTTCTCAATACGTCTTAATGCACTCAAAATCATTAAAGGATGTCTTTGTAATTTCTGGAAAACTGCCTCTGTTGTTGCACAAAGTTCTTCAAGATATTTGTGACTCTTACTGTATCAAGACGTATTGAGAAACTGTGTCAATTATGTGTTATGGGAAATGGACATCAATTTGAACAATTCAGTGAATAAGTTATTGAATAATTCCGAAATTCAATTGTATTTGTAAATATTTGATCTGGTGCTTATTCTATTTTATGAACTTTTTATTACTATTTATTTGTTGCTATCAGGTACATAATTTTTGTGTTTTCTTAGTTAATTAGTGTTGGTATTGTTTTTGTCCTCTTTATGGAAAAATCAAAATGAATATTCCTTCAATTGGAACTTTTTCATAAGAAAAATCCATAGCCCACTATTAAAATTCAATGTTTCAGTGATTTCAGAGCATTTTTGAAAATTTCATATACATACATTATAAATCATTTTGAAGAGAAAAAAATGAGGAATTTTATGAGCTTATAAAATACAGGGTGTTCCATTTAAAAAATCATAAGTTTGAGTCGTATTTCCGAAACCATACCCCGAAAAAAAATTTTGAGTGCGCCACTGGATTCTGCGTGAACTTTTATATGGGATGAGATTTTAATTTGACAATTTTGCTGAGAAACTTCGTAGATATAGAGGGGGTCCAAAAAGTATAAATTTTCGAAATCGCCCTGTATCTCATAAACGGAAACAGTTATGCAAAATCTGATTAGGCCATCTTGAGTTTCACAAAAAAGTGGCACACGACCGCGAAACCCGCAAGGTTCTATCTCCAAAGATAACTGAGATATCCCACAAAAGCATCGAAAACTGGACACACTGTACATACAAAAACGTAGATAGAAGACACTCGAGTGGTTCCAAATCATTCCCTATTGATGTGTCTGTTTTTTTATATGCCGCTTTTTTCAGGTATCAACATATTGGTGTGGTTTTTGAAATTAATGAAATTGTCTGTATTTCCATAAGACAGGCTTGGATTTTGATTTCTATTTGAATGGTAATATCAGTGAAATATACGTACCAAGTATGACCACATAGATATTTCAATTTGGAACCACTAGAGTGTCTTCGTATTTTTAATGAAGTGGTTCAATTGTAAATCAATAGATTGTAAATTTCGTTAATCAAAAAATAAACGAATCTGCTTTTTTCCATGAGTCCATATGAGAGCTAACAACCCTGTTACAGGACATAACACTTCTGAGTATAGAATAGACTAGCATTACCTATCATTCAGACTTATCACTGTTTTCCAAGTCACACCGGATGTAATGGGTAACTATATCAAAAAATCAATTTCTCTACTACACCACGTAGTTGAAGGGTCGCTACTAGACACAAAGAGGACATTCATTTATTCAAAATAAAATCGACAGTTACGAATATCAAACTGACAATCGACCACAAAATCACGAATAAAAACCAATAGAAGTGTCTAAAAGGGCTCGTATATCTATGAATACTGAAACCAAAATCTCTGGCACACTGTTTTCTCGCATAAACAACAAGAATAGCTGGAACAACATATTGTACTAAGACACCTGCATAAGATCCTGTAATTTCAACCAGAGTTTTGATGTTGTGCGTACACAAAGCTACGACTACTGGAGGCACTACCGCAAGGGTTGGGAAAACCAAACGATTCACAATAACATTCGGGGTATGGACACTCTGGTCCAACATTAAATTCTTGAGGTTACTTTGCAAAGTGATAGCGATAATCGGAAAACTAGTAGACATCGGGAAGAGAGGAAATATCACAAGAAAGAACCCGATTATTTTCGTGATTACACTAGAATCTTCATAATAAATGAAATTGAGAGAATATAGGTCGTTTAGGGTCGCGAAGGCAAAGGACCCAGTTAAAGCTAGCAGCAGATAAAAGGAACAGATTAGGAAAAAGTCGTAGCCGACCTTTTTCATGATCCGCCCTTTATCCGAAATGGGAGCTAGCAACCCTGGCAGAGAATGGTGGCACATAAAACTATAGACACTGGAACCCGCTAGCGCTGGTACCTCGCTCAGATTCATCATGGTCGGGTGCCCTTGCTGCCCAAGGTTCACCAGACGAATACTGGCTAGGGTAACCATTATAAAAAACGCACACCACCTTATGAGTATGGTAAACAATTGTAAATATTTTGTTTTTTGTACGTTGAAGTAGGCAAAAGGACCTACGGACAGCGCGAAAATGGTAACAAAAATGCGATACATATCCATTTTGGAGAACTGAGAATCTTGCCAGCATGTCATCATATAGTCTTCAGTGTCATTACTAGTACTACAAATCAAATTGACTATGGTTTTACCGGACGCTGCTGCATATATAGCCAGATCTCCGAATAGGTATATACAGAGAGATGAAAAGAATAGGATATAACCAAATTTGTTAAGGTAGAGGGATGCAATTTCACCTAATTCAACTCTGGTATCGATTTTGTATAAGGAATATCTTCTATTGACACTCAGGATTGCAGTCTCTTCATTGCTGGCGTCCAATTCGGAGTCTGAATCAACAGGTATCTCACTTTCCTAAAAAAAAAACACCAGTTAGTATAACTTATCAAAACACATTATTTTGAGCAGAATGGGGAAAATGAGCATTCTTTTGAAAAAAACAATGGTTGAGGGTAGGTTCTACAAAACGCTCACAAACAAAATATAGATTGGCCAATAGAGTATATACGCATGTGTAATTTTACACTAGATAGCAAATAGATTGATTCAATTCAGACGTGTACCTATATCAAGAGCTTGTTAACCAATGTTAGCAAAGAATTTCATGATAGCTGCCTGCGTTATTTGGATTAGGAAGATAACATTATTTCTGAATGACAAACGTCTGTCCAGCTTTACTCCAGGTAGTTCACAACGGGAGAGTCCTTAAGGTCGGCGTAATGATGTGCTGACTGGGTCTGTCGACTATTGCTAATCATGGAATTATAGCAGGTTTCTGAGGAGCATTTTTGCTGTGGAAGTATCTACAGTGTGACCCACTTCTAATGGAAACACCCCTGTATCTTACGTAATCGTTGGGTAAGGATCCTGAAATTTTCTGGAGCGAGAGATATACCAAAAATGCACTCTATGACCAAGTGGGGTCATCTTCAGTGATATACACTGCTCGCCATCAGCCAAGGAACCACCCCAATTTTCCGGAAAATGATATTAGGAGTCAAAATAGGTCAAAAATCACTTCAGATTCGGAATCAGGACGCCCAATTAACTGACTATTCATATTTTTCCTGAAAAATTTTCAGTTCTGAAAAATTGAATTTTGTCGCACTTTTTACGGAAGCACCCCGGAATCCTATGTAATTGACTTCATCTTTGGACTTTCCCTTCCTCCTGCAAATTTCAGAACCCTACCTCAAGAATAACGTGAGATACGGGAGTGCTTCCATGAGAAGTGAGACAAAATTTAATTTTGCTGAACTGAAAATGTTTTAGGAAAATTACGAATAGTTAGCGAATTGGGCGTCCTGATTCAGAATCCGAAGTGATTTTCAACCTATTTCGAACCTTATATCATTTTCCGGAAATTGGAGTGTTTCCATGGCTGTTAGCGAGCAGTGTATATCACTGAAGATCATCCCACTTGGCCATAAAGTGCATTTTTGGTATATCTCTCGCTCCAGCAAATTTCAGGATCCTTATATATCCAACGATTACGTAAGATACAGGGGTGTTTCCATTAGAAGTGGGTCACACTGTATAAAAACGTGAAAGGTCGCCGACTTTTCTACAGTGTTCTAATGAGGCCAATTATCAGTAGGTGGTGATAGAGGAATATGAGCAAAAAATCATTCATTCAGGTTTATATTATATTTCTGTAAACATCATGTATATCTTATACAACGATTTGAAGATTCTTTTTAAAATATCTGAATTCTTCTATTTGCCATATTGTTGAAAATGCAAAGGACATCATATCCAAATCAACCGATTTAGTTATTTTCTTTCGAAAGGCCAGAAAAATTATGCCTACCATTGTTTTATAATAATGTGTCTATATTTTATGAAAAAAAAACTTGGTAACACAAATTATACAATAGTGCTGGCGCCATTCAGCCTCGGCTGCTTTTCCATGTAAAATGTAGATTCGCACACAGCAGTGCTACATCATATAGTCAAAACAGATGCAAAAAATTCACATGCACAAATTGCAATACGGGTATAGCCTCTAATATAATGCCATCTTTGGGCGCCTGGGTGAAATAGAGAAGAAGTTGATGTGATTGTAACAAACCGTCATTAGTTCGGCATTGCTCAGACATCGCTACTTTGGTATTGAAATAATTGTGGAAATTTTTCATACTGTTTTGAATCTTGGTATTCTTGAAGCTAGCGCAATGGTATTTTTAAGGTATGGCATTGCCCCACGATGACCCTTCCCCCCCTAGCTACGGCCCTGCGCGAAATTCGAATTGTTCAACAGGTATCAGTTCCAGTGGCGGCTCCTCAGAGGAGGCAATGGAGGCTGAGCCTCCTCAGACATTTTCCTTAAACTGATATTATCTATACTTTCTCATTAAAAGGACACCATACATGGATTTTGATTTTATTTCCTGTTTTTAGGTAAATATTTTCGAATTGGCAACAGTGCTTGCCCACGCATCACACGTTGAAGTCTGCAAATCACGCGTAAAATATTCAACTTGGCAACATCTATAGGAGGCTAGACTCCTTCATACCTCGCAACCCACGCGCGCAATGCAAATGCCCGAATACGCCCGAATAGCACGTGTTTGTCGTGTCGCGTCGCGAATTGCGGACAATCCAGAGCGGGTGCATTGTTTATGTTAATGTTAGGTTAATGGTTAGGGGCTGTATACATTTCTGAAAAATGAGTGTTTTAAACGATTGCGATTTAGTGGAATACTTCTTGGTGAACTCATTCAGTGCTTTGTCTTATGAAGATAAATTGATTGTGAAAAACAAACGTCCGACACCGGAATTAAAAAATCTGATTGTAACAGGTAACAAACAAAATCGTTCGTTCAATTCTGATGATTATAAAAAATATATCTGGTTGACGGGATCTGAGGTAAGGAATAAGCTATTTTGTTGGTACTGCGTATTATTTTCAACCGATAAGTCATCATGTTGGGGGCGATTAGGATATAATGATTTGAAAAATTTGCCTCGCGGATTGGATAGACACTGCGAATCACATAGGAACACATCTCTTCAAGTATTAAGTTCAGGTTAACTGGTAAACAGAATGTCATTGAAGCTATTGATTTGGGTAAGTAGATAGTTGTTTTTCACAATAAATCTCATATCATTCAGCCTCCTCTGTCATGAAAGTCACGAGCCGCCACTGATCAGTTCCAATATCTCGACTTGGGCCTCAATCAATCTGAGAAGGACTTTCTTCTACAAGCCTGCTGTTAATTACAGCTCAAATAACGGCATACAATTCAATAAATATGTGAAAAACTATATTTTTTATTTTTCTGACAAATTGTCACATGAATTAAATTGACATAAGTTATCACCAAAAACAGGGTGATATAAAACTGAATCCAACATTATGGTGGCAGAATTCTATTGGAGGCGATGGATCAAAGAGTATCGACCAACGTTAGTTCAACGTCCAAAATGGCATTCAAAAACGGAACAGATCAAGATTGGCGATATCGTTGTTATTGTTGACGAAAAATCAGCAAGAAATCAATGGTTATAAGGTCGTGTAGTACAAGTATTTCCTGGCAAAGACCAAATTGTGAGAGTCGCGCAAGTGAAGACAAAAAATGGAAATTACACTAGACCAGTTACCAAGCTGTGCATATTGCCTACATCTGAGGATTGATTGGTGAAGAGTATATCTCACGGAGGGGAGAATGTTGAGTTTAGTTTTATATCACCCTGTTTTTTGGTGATAACTTATGTCAGTTCAATTCATGTGACAATTTGTCAGAAAAATGAAAAATATAGTTTTTCACATATTTATTGAATTGTGTGCCGTTATTTGCGCTGTAATGTTAACAAATAGCCAGGAAAGTAGTTGTTTTCTGTTGAATATTCAGAATTATATCATATGCATATCTTCATATGAAGGAGAATGTAAATTCTCTACTTCAGAAGATTTTCTTTTCAATATTCGTCGTGGCATATAGCCAGGAAAGTAGTTGTTTTCTGTTGAATAAACCGTGAAAGAATTGATATTTTTATCACATGGAGAATGCGAATTCTCAATGTATTTATTTATATATTATATATATATATATATATTATATATCTATAAATTTTTTTGTGTTCATGAATATATCTGAGAATGTTCCTTTTCGATACTTTCACCCAATCAAGGGGTTCAAACTTGAACGATGGAAACTTATTTTTATAGACCTCAAAGGCAGATTCGTGATTAAGTTTTTTTTCTCAGAATTTCTTTCCACATCCTGTATGATGAATGTCAATCTATCATACATTTAAAAAACACCAGAAAAAAAGTCGAAAAAAAATACATCGCATGATAAGAAGTGCAAAATTACCATTCCTTTATTCTTACATCAAATTTATGCGACTGAAGTTTCCTCCACGTGACGGTCGCATTGGCACAAGCCATGCTCTCTATCACGAACGTGACGGTGATGAAACTGACGAAAGCCAAGAAGACCAACATCAGCGTGCTGAACAGCCATCCGGCAGCGGCGAACGCTGCGGGCAGAGTGAGGGCTCCCGTGCCCACGATAAGGTTGAAAATGTACACTAGGCCCACCTAAAACACATTTATTTGATACTCCTTGGTATCATTCACCAGACAGTGCCGGACTGGCCCATCTCAGGTAGGTGAGAAAAATTGGGACCCCCAATGTGGCCGGCTCGGTCTGTTGGATGGTTCGCATCCGGAAATTCTGACAAAGTGTGTACATTTTGAATACCGACGCGGTTTTGGGGGAGACCATTGATTTTTTAAAACGACATTATCGTGAACTCTACACTGAAAAACTACAAGTCAATTAATTTCTTTGGCAACGCAGGTCTAATTGTCACTTTAAGTACAACAGATTACCAGTTATACAAGTTAAAATTTCACATCGATAATTTTCCGTTTCAAATATATTGTGATATTTTTTCGATATTGAATCGTCGGTTTTCTCGTCTTAGAAAAAATAGTGTAATTATACGAAAAAATTGCTAGATTCTAGGTCTCGGTTTTTTGTCTATCTGATACTATCCAATAATCTAATACTCTTTTCCCTCGTATAATAAATAATGAGTGTTTCAATTAATTCGGTCGTTTCTAGGTGAACTTCAAATGGAAAATTAGGCAGACCATAGGCAGACAAACTTTTAATTGCTATTTATATATCAAAGGAGGAAAGGTATGCATTTCCTTCCGCGTGTGAAGTTTGATGCACGACACGTAGATATGTATATATGATTTTATCAACGAACGAATTCTTGAAATTGTGCTTCAGGCGGTCTATCTCTCGAATCTCGATCCAAATCATTATGCATTACAACTACGAAATAGCCACAATGCTCACAGTGGAATGAAATGTTAAATAAATGATGCGAAAAGCTCAAAGTCATTTCCACACAGTGTTCATAAAATGCATGCATTAGAAAGGTTTAGTATGCCATGGACAAAGGCATGGACAATGGGGGAGACCACTGATTTTTTGAAACGACATTATCGTGAACTCTATACTGAAGAACTACCAGTGAATTAATTTTGAATTTTTTCATTCATGCTAAGACGATGAAAAAAATAAATATGAATATGTAAACACACAATTCCTGCGCCATTTGAAATTTTGTCAATTCATTGTTGAGACTGGTGCGACGTCTTAGTCCCAACACGCCTATTGTCCTTGAACTCACCAATCACACTGCAACACTGCAGAATGACGAGGTATCAGAGAAAGATAGCTACAGTGCGTTACTAATACGTCACAGCTCCACCATCATATTTGGCTTTTCGAAATAACGAATGAAATATCCTGATTTCAAAACGATTTAGATTCGATTCCCTTCAACTTCAACTCATAATATTGATTGTAGATCAAACGTAAATCATGATTCGTCGATTGAAAGAGGTTTGCACGGATTTCTTCCCTCAGTGGTCTTCCCGAGGGTCTTCCCCATTGGCAGCATTTGAACGAAAGTCAATTTGACATTTCTGTCATATAGAATTTATTGATTTGTATAAATTGTGTAACTCCATTTGCACGTTTTGATAAGAAGTAGGTACGTTCGGAATATGAAGAATCGTATGAAAAAGGATATTATTGATATTTGTTTCATAATAGTGATAAAGAATAAAGATCGACTCCGAAGGATGCATGCTGAAGCCAATTTATTTTATCTCCCACGGGAGTTAATATTTTTTTCCTCCCGTGGGAGTAAATTTTGACAACTTTGTTTCCTTAAATGAGGGAGCAAACGCCTACTTTCGATTGCAAAAAAGTTTTATCTGCTCACTGCATCGAAAGTAAGACTTTGCTCTTGCATTTAAGGACACAAACCTGTCAATTTACTCCCACGGGAGTAAACAGAATTTTACCTCCCGTGGGAGGAAAATAAATCGCCTTCAGCTTGCTTTCTTGGTAGAGATATACATATAAGATCTTTGCTACCCAAGTACCTAATCAGTGTCTCCTTCACTACTATAAAACAAATAACAATTTTCTTTCCAAACTCCAATACACTCATACACTTCCTCATTTTCCAAACTCACTCAATGGAAAGTCGAAACTTCAAATAAAATGCAATTACACAATAAACAAATTCAGTATGATAGAAGTGTCAAATTGATTTTCGTTCAGATTCAAATATACTGCTGGAGCGAGATATATACCAAAGATATACTCTATGACCAAGTGGGGTCATCTTCAGTAATATACACTGCTCGCTCGTGGAACTACACACATGTCCGAAAAATAATATCAAGAGACAATAAGGTAGGTTGAAAATCACTTCGGATTCGAAAACGGTTGACAGACAGAATTTATTATTTCAGAACTGCACATTCTTTAGAAGGAATATGAGTAGTTAGAGAATTAGACGATCTGTTTTCTGTTCTCGAATCCGAAGTGATTTCCAACCTATCTTGTCTGCTAATATGATTTTCCGGACATGTAGGTGATTCCATGGCTCCTAGCGAGCAGTGTATATCACTGATGGTAATTTCAATTAGCCATTGACTGTATCTTTGGAACATTTCTTGCTTCTGGGAATTTAACAATTCTCACTGGATAAAGATAATCACGTAAGATACGGGGGTTTCCATGAAAAAAGAGACATAAATGAAATTTTTAGAACTGAAATTGTGTTCTCAAGAGTGATTTTTAACCTATTTTGCCTCATATTATTATTTTCCGGAAATTGGGGTGGTTCCATGGCTGTTGGCGAGCAGTGTATATCACTGAAGATGATTCCACTTCTTCATAGGGTACATTTTTTATATATATCTCGCTCCAGCAAACTTCAGGATACCAACCCAACGATTACATAAGATACGGGGGTGTTTCCATGAAAAGTGAAACAAAAATGACATTTTCAGAACTCAAAATTTTCCAGAAGAAATATGAATAGTTAGTATATTGAGCGCCTTGATTCCGAATCCGAAGTAATTTTCACCTATTTTGCCTCCTAATATTATTTTCCGGAAATTGGGATGGTTCCGTGACTGTTGGCGAGCAGTGTATATCACTGAAGATGACCTTACTTTGTCATAGAGTACATTTTTGGTATATCTTTCGCTCCAGCAAATTTCATTATCCTTACGCAAGGAATACGTAAGATACAGGGGTGTTTCCATTAGAAGTGAGACACACTGTATATCTTGGGGGCAAAGGTTCATTTCCTCCCTTCCTTCACACGCGGGAGGAAATGGATACCTTTGCTCCCTTGATATATAAATAGCTATTATTTGCCAAATTTACAGGTGCAACAGATGAACCCCCTCCAAAACTGACATTCAAGCATTGCAAAATTTCAAACCCATTGTTTTATTATGATTGTTAAATTAAGCAATAGAATAGCCGTATACCTACCTCACCATAAACTTTGACCGGACGAATCCATACATAAGTATGTACATACTTAATACCCTTTACACCTACTCACCTCATTATCAATGTTAAAATGTGTATATTTAATTCTAAAATATATAAGTAAATCTTTATAAATAGATAATATACTTACCCATGGCGGATATCGATCTGTTTGTGGCATGTTTTTTCATTTCCCATTCAAACAGAGCACTGACACACCAGATATCTGATACAGTTGTTAATTTTTTTATTAGTGTGTTGAATGTTTTGATATTCTTATTTCTTTCAGCACAATAACACAAGATAACATGTAATTGTTATGGACCAGCTGCTTTTGACATATAACATATAATATAAACAAAACAATGCATCATTGCCACATTGCCAGGGAAGTTCGAAAAAACTAGCAGTGTTGCCAAGATATGAGATATGGAATGTATGACGAGGGCCGTGTCTAGAACCACGATAACGTGGATCTTGTTTTCAGAATTCCTCCACGCGAAATGAGTGAAGCGAGTTATTGACTGTTTCGCGTGAAACATTTCCTCATGAGTCATGATCAATCCACACTAATTTCCCTCATGACCACTCATGACGAATCCACGCTAATTTCACTTGTAACATTCCTCTCATTAATCCACGCCATTTCGCATAGACTTCTGAATTCCCTTGTGAACAATTGTGAACAATCAATGACGGCGTGAACAGCAACAAGTTTTTTTCTGAAGTATACAGGCTGACGGCAAAATAAAACGCCCCAAGCCATAGCGCCGTTATTCATCATCCGATTATGAAACATAAAAAAGCTAATTAAATGACTCATCAGATACTACAAAGTGGCACAAGCTTTTTCAATTATAACGACTGTCACTTTTTTCACAAAGCCAACATATAAGTGTGGATTGTTTGGATATAGGTGAAAGGTTGACGGCATTATCTTCATGGAGCAATTCTGAAAACAAAGTCTACTTTAGCGTGGTTCTAGACACGACCTTGAAGGCCGTGACCATATATCTACTACTCATATATGAATCATAGCTGTCCTCAAGGCGGGACAAACTTGGTAACGAAATCAACCAATAGGCGTTGATGCCGACGTAGGGAAAAAATTATACGAAACTTGTCAAACCAATATGGCTGTTTCCATCCTTCACTTTCCGTCCTTATATACAGTGCGCATCATAAGTGTTACCCCCCCCTATCTAACTCGACACGGGACTCTTGTTAAAAAAATCGCCGAAACCCGTCGATTTTTGATTTCTACAGTGTACATTTTCATAGGAATAGTTCACTCCTAATTTCATCCCTTGGAGGGAAGCAACCCTGTCAAAAAATTCATATAGCACGGGGTGGTTAGTGATAACTCATTTGAAAGGGGGTTTCAATCTCTATTCAACCGTGCGAAGAAATTGAAATTTCAAATGAGTTTCCACTCACCACCCCATGCTATTTAAATTTTTTGACAGGGTTGCACCCCTCCAGTGATCGAGTAATGAAATTAGGAGTGAACTATTCCTATTCCTACGAAAATGTACACTGTAGAAGTCAAAAATTGACGGGTGTCGGCGATTTTACTAACAAGGGTCTCGTAACGAGTTAGATAGGGAGGTAACACTTATGATGCGCACTGTAGATTCAAAAAGTACCTCTCATTTTGGTCCCATTTTTGTTGAGATATCGTGTATAGGCGATGAGTCATATATAGTAATAGTACATATATGGCCGTGTTTTCAATGATAATTTTTCGCAATAAAATTGTGGAGGCTCAAGTTTAGTCAGGAAGTTTCATCTGGTCCACTAATAGCATAGCGTTTACGCTCTCAAGGATGTTTTTTCTTTCTCGGGGGAGGGGGGACCCCACGAGCGAATGCGCATGCGTCCATATTGTATCACATGATTCACTGTGACCAATCCAAAGAACTCAATATATATATATTGAGTTCATTGGACCAATCTGACCATATATCTACTATTTCTATATATGGCGCATCGCCTATACGATATCACAACAAAAATGGGACCAAAATGAGAGGTACTTTTTGAATCTAAAAGGACGGAAAGTGAAGGATGGAAACAGCCATATTTTTTCCCTACGTCGGCATCAACGCCCTAGAGACCGAAGTTGGTCCCGCTTTGAGGACTAGCAGGAATGATTAAATCGAGATTTTTCAATTTTAGGATTTTTTCGTGTCGAAACTATTCATTCTCGATTAAAACGGCTTACATGTCCCGATCTTAACTTCCGGTTCACTATCTACTGACATTTAATTGGAACAGATACAGGGTGATCAGAATTCTGAATCTTGTACCACGAGGTAGAATAAAAAACAAGTTCAATTTAATATTTTTCGAGAAAATGACATTTGACATAAACATTGCACTTTTCTTGCCTGTTGAACTTGAATAAGTAAAAATATACAGGCTGTTTCATATTTGAGAAAAAAAACAAAGTTGCTGGCATTTCCAGAAAAAAAAAGCATTTCAAGGTTCCATTCAGGAGTGTATAATACAGGGTGGGACTAAACTAAATATTGCTCAAACTTTTTCGTATGCATATTCTTCAACAATTCAATCTCGGATTATGAAAATCCACACCGTTTCACAAAAAAAGGTGCTCCGGCCTATTCCGCATCGATCGTCATCAGATGTATCATTTTCGAGTGAAATCGATTTGAAAATATTGACGCACTCACATCTTATATGTATAACGTTGCCAATTTTAATCACACAAATCATATAGTGGCTTTAAAAAAATCAAGTACTTTCTTTTAGCCAAACAATCTCATAAAGCGAGAAAAATAGAAAAATGATGATGAAAAAACTACTTCAATTTTTGTGCACTTTTTTCCATATCCACTACGCCTCATTGCATAATATCCGAGATGTAACAATATTTTTAAATTGCTTTTACTCGAAAACAATACATCTGATCATCACGGAACAAGAGTACCTTTTTTCTGTAAAGAGGTGCAAAATTTCATAATCCGAGATCAAATTGTCAAAAAATATGCATACAACAAATTTTGAGCAATATTTAATGTAGTCCCACCCTGTATTATTCACTCCTGATATAAAACAACATTTTTGAAATCTTCGTAATCATCTGAATCCAAGGATAGGTATCTTATATATATACATATAGGTAAAATTTCGTTTGATAGGGCACCAATAACTTTATCTTTTGATAGGAAGCCATATTATATTATTAACTTTACTCCCAAAATTATTCCAAATGATCAAAATATTGTGGTTCAAAATATCATAGGTACATGCTGAAAAAGTTAAACAAAACGTTTTCTATTAGAAATTCTCTTTTTTGTCAAATGGTACTATGGTGGTACTGACGTCATTCGAAAGTACTATTGATGGGGTAGGTATCCATAAATATCAACTCTTGGATTAGATTTCTGTGAAAATATTTTAAAACTGTTTTTGATGTAATCGTGTGGGGAATAAGCATTCCGTGCGAGTTATACATTATACTTTTTGTACGGCTGTAACAGATAATAGCGACATTTTTTATTTTTTTGACATTTGACATTTCATGGAAGATCACATTTCTTGTGAAATATAATAACACAATGTAGAGTTATCAGAATATCAGCTAAGGAACTAAGGCAATGAGATTGAAGATATTCAATGTTCATTGATTTATCAGTGGAACAGTAAAACAAGAGCAAGTTTGTGTTACAGCCGTAGAAGAAAAAATCCACATGAACTTGTATGTTTTGGAGTTTAATTTTCGAGACACATGTTCGTGAAGTTTTTTAATACAAAATAGTTCCCATTCTTGTTCATATTTTTGTATGTTGCTTAGTTTTCCATAAAAAAATGAAAACCTGTTCACTGAATAATTCTGAGATGAGTGATAATTGGACAACATAATTGAATTTTTCAAGTTTATATGAACTATTTTTCGAGTTATATCGTCTATCAAGTATTTTCGTAGGCGCTGAACAGTCTCCGTTTCGATTTCTAATCGCAGATCAATTTAAGAAAAAGAAATTGAATTCAACGAAATGAAAAAATATATAATTATAATAATTATCTAATTAACCCGCCAGAGTCTAGAATGTCTAGAAATTAAGCCGTCATTGATCAGGTGGAGCAGATCGTGTTCGTTTCAGGGTACTCTCATCCTCCATCTGGTGGTCGAACTGGTGATATATGAGAAAAACTCGATATTTTCCCTCCGATAACGGATAACAAGAGGCAGGTGAAAAATATTACTCTACTTACTTAACTACTGTGACATATCATGAATCATCGAGCCAAGACTTCTCCACATCAGAAATGCGTAGATTTTGATTTGAAGCACCGCCAAAAAACATCATTTTTTGAAGAATACGCAAAAATGGTATATTTTTATCTCGCTCTAGCTCCTCACCCGGAAGTCGTACATTCATGAGCAAGAACAACTATACATAGAAAATTTCATGTACTTCAGCATATTATGAGGTGGTCTTTCCGCTATAATGTGTAGTTTGTGAGTTACAGTCAAAAAACTGAAAATATGCGAACATTTCGCCGTTTTCACGAACGCTCCAGGAAATTTTTGTGTGCTAATTCAGAATAGGCACCTTCAAAAATATATAAAACCGCAGATAAACGGACCACTTGAATTTTTTCCACGTGCACATACCATTTTATTGAAATAAGATCGCGAAAAAAAAATTAGTATCTACGCCTCTAGATTCTGCGCTGAATACTGTTTCGTGGACATAGAAGGGATCAAAATCAATTCTCGAAATCGCCCTGTATTTCTTAAACAAAAACAGTTTTGCAAAAACTTAAAAGGCCATTCAACTTAAAAATAAGGCAGGAACATGAAAACTACAAGGTTTTACCTATCTTTGATAACTAGTTGATAACAAGCAAGAAACCTGGCAGTCTCCACGAAATTGGTATGCACTAGAGATGTTCAATACCAGTATTTTACAGTAACAGGTACGTTCCGTTCCTGTTACCAACTCATGCCTATTACGAATACCTATTCCAAGCATCATATCCGTATTCCATCATCGCACGAGAGATGTATAGAAATTTATACATCTCTATCGCACGTATCGTTATGTAGGTACCTACTCGGGTACCTATCAATTGTCGGAATAGGAACTCCGCTAGTAGGTATAGGTACTAATAGGTATATAGGTAGAAGCTCGGGTAGAAGGTAGAAGTCTATAGGTAATAGTCGATATGAACGGTAGAGAAATCCTACTTTTTTATGCATACTTTTTTAGAATAAACCTATGTATTTCAAAAACAAAAAAATATTTAAATACCATTTGAAGGATATTCCCCTGGCTGTAATGGTCAATGGTAGACTCGACTCCCATCAAAAGATAGCGTGGTAACTTTGTTGGCATGTTTGAAACGTGACCGATATTCCCAAACAGCTGCTTGGTCAAACTGATGGTCAGACTTCATACTGAACGTATGTGCCCGGTCAAACCACAGACTTGACACAGCCTAGTATACCTACTTTTTTATGATAGGACTTTTTTGTTTAGAATAGGTATATTTGAAATGTACGTCCAACAAAAGGGAAAGTTACTTAATTTTTGAGCTGTAATAGTCGTGATCAATTACGAGATTCTATTCTCAGCATCACTTTAAATACTTCTACCGATTTCCACGATTCTAAAACACTATAGAAATGAGAACATGAATAATTATATTTTCCTATATAATCGATCTACTATCGTACTAAGGCAGCTTTTTTTTTTATGAAAACTATAGATCGCGCACATTCTTCTTAGTTTTCTGGATACATTTATACTGAGGAACAGTTTGCATTTGATAATATGAGTTAGTGATTAAAAAAATGCAGCAGATTAATATTTACACTTTTGAATTAAGTATGTACCTATTTGAATAATAATTTCTTATGTACAAGATACGATGGAATAATAATTTTTTGCAAAAAACATTGTGGAAAAAGTTGGATTGAATATATTCTGAAATATTATCAGAAATATCAACGGCAAATGAGGTATAAAGTTTTCAAGTATGGTATCAGCAGGTAGTTAATTCCTAAGAATTTTGAGACAAGGTGTTGATCCAGTTAATCCTAAAAATGCGATTAAAGATCAAAGGGTAGTTTTCTTTCAAGTTTCTTTTCTCCACATCGCTCAGTATTGTAGTAGTTTTCGGAAATTTCGGATAAGGAACGCCATCACGAAACGAGACCACAGAAATATATCTTTATGAGTTATGTGGACGAGATTCTAGAGTCACGAGTACGAAAGTAGTATGCACTGTATGTACATTAGGAATCACGATGTACGAGATTAATTCGACTGTGAATCACTCTATGCCCCTTTTTCTTATAGTTAAAAATATGGTTCGTCTATTGTCACAATAGTTTTGGAAATATCACAGCACCATGGGCAATCTCGATATCAATTGAGGCAACTGGAGTAGAGGTATGAAACTTCAACTTGTAATTGAATAAAAAACAATGCAATTAAATATTTATTCTTCAAGTTATTTGGTATTTTTGTACGAACCAACGAGCTATAATAAACGCCATATTGGATGTCTTATATCAAAAACCAAATCATCAATATTGGTGATTAGTTGTTTCATGGCGCTCTAATAATAAATTAGCACATAGAGTACCTACACATTTCAATGAAACAATGCTACTAGTTTTTTGTCACCTAACCTCTGAAATAAACTGTATATTAAAATTTAAAATAATTAGGTTTGAAGAAGTTTATATATTACAATTACTACTAGGGTTTGTTGGGTTAACTTTCGCTTTCTGAAGATTTTTTTTCCAGTACCTATGCAAGGCTATTAATTCATATCAGATACAAAGTGAAATAATGATTTGTTAACGGTACACCTAGAATACCATTCCATATTCAATTTGGAATTATAAAAAATATAATATCAAACACTCATGAGGATATGATCAAAAAGTTGGAGAACAATTGACCTGTTTGAAGACGTCTCATCACCTCAACAGGCATGTCACATTGTTTTACCTCCATATCTTCGTATTTGGTTGACGTATGTATAAACCCATAAAAGCTAGTTTATTGAATTTGTCATTCGTTGCGCTGAATCATTTCATACCGTTCTTAATACTTAATTTAAACGACATAATACCCATTGTAAAAAAGGAAATGATTATAAAATATTTGTGTGAAAGAATACACCTAAGGCTGACTGGGGACAAGAAAATTCTTGATGTTTTGGTATATCATTCTGTTTCATGATCATGTGCTCCACTACAAGAAATCGATTTATCCAACGCTCCAGCAGCTTCCAAGAGCTCTGTTGGATTTTATGTGTACGGCAGTGTACGATCTTTGAAGAAAAATGCAGGGAAGTCAGGAGTATTCTCCATGTTAGATGTCCTGATTTACATAATTACCTATTGTTCCATTCGCGTCGCAAAAACCTCCAACACACTGGACGTACACATCTCTATAATATAAAAACAAATAATTAGCAAAAGTAATGCTATTGAGAAAAATACTTATCCTCAGTTGCTAAAATTCCTGGTTGCCACAATTTCAACTTTTATCACACTCCAAAATGACTGAATACGTTCACTGGAAAGAAAAATATGGACATAAGTGGTTTAATTAACCAAAAAAATATTACCATTTGAATACATTTTTGAAAGATTTGATTTTATATTCGTGATGCAAGTGAACTGTTTTGTTTATGCTGATCAAGAAAAAAATTATCTATATCAATGCAGGATTACGAAATCCAGAAAATTAGTAAAACCAATACCCATCGACTATGCCCTTGGGACACTGAACATTTTATTTTCGGTGTCCATTTGAAATTATACTAAAAATTGAGCATGCAGCATAAGTAAAAATGAACGATGGGCCATTGTTAGCCGAGATTGGATAAGAAAAATGGCTAAATATCATTCAATCTCTCTCAATATCTATCCAAAGTGATAGTCTGTGCATAACCCTCTAATATTTGGGCAGGAAGACAATTTTAGTCAACTCCACCAAATCTAAACTTTATTCAACATTGGAATTGGGACAAACTTCAAAGGTTCATCATGTTCCAATTCCAATGTTGAATAAAGTATAGTTTTGGTGGAGTTGACTGTAAGATTTTCTTCCCGCCCTATTATCATCACTCCACTGCAATATGGATCGATTCAGATGACCTCTTATATTTCCTCGTTTGCCCAGCAGTTTTGATTATCAAGTCAAAATCAATCTAACAGTTATCAAATTTTTTAGAAGCAGCACTTGAAGCTCTTTCAAATTTTTGGAACATTTCAATTTTCAATAGCTGTCATCAAAAGTCCACACAATGTTGAATGAGGTATCAAAAGTTTCAGTGTTAGTAGAAAATAACACTTCCGAGACTTTGTTTTGATATTGATAAGTACTTTGAATACGGTGAGTCCCATTTTAACGCTTATTTTCCATCGAGAATATAACTAGTGTAATGAAAAATGGCAAATTGGCACAAATAAAGTCAAGTCGTGAAAAAGATCGAGTGCATGTATAATTCTGATATAATAAGAAAATGGATCTTCTAAAAACATACCCTCGGTACCTATAACAGAAATATTAATTCATATACAATGAGAATAATGAGTGCTATGTAAACGAGGAAGAATAAGATGTATTTCATGATGACTTGGTTATATAGTTGAATAATAAGAAGCTTTGCGAATAGTTCCGTCTTCAACAATGTATTCAAAACGTATCAAATAAGTACTATATTTTCAATTTCCCTCTAAAATACCTTGGCTCAAAACAACCATGTGCTTCTCACGAACCTCTCGATTCCTTTTAAAGGTAACTCTGTAACAAAACAATAAAAAACTACAGTAATACATAACACATGAAAGAAGTCATATCATAAGAGTACATCAAATACACATTTTTTTATTTAATGTCATAAAATCTACCACAAAACATCATAACATTATTCACTATACAAGAGTGTCCACAAAATTCTCGTGAAAATGCATCGTAGGAAAATATCAATAGACTTTTTTGGTTTTCCTGATGTGTTTACCTCTCTAGACCATCAACTATATCTTGTCCTGTATAAACGGGTGCGTGAGGGCGTTATTGAGGCTGATCCTCTTGGCCGGGTCGATGGCCAGCGCCTTTTCCAGCAGGTCCTTGAGCTGGGTGACTTTCCGTAGCTGGTCCGGGGGCAAGGCCTGGCCCGCTATCAGTTCGGACTGCAATTCGCGGGACGGCTTGACCACGGACATCACTACTACTTTCTCCTGATGGCAAAGAACATAACATCCGATTTGAGTGGCTATCTCCTCGTTTCCATGCAGGGCCTACTCTATCTCCCCGAGCCGTAGTCTATCCCCTCTACCTGGATGCTGACGTCACATTAGTAGGTTGAGATTTCATATCGGTGCGTTCGTAATTGAAAGGTTGAGGCCTGGTTTTTCTGACCAGATCGACCCGAAATATTTCGGCGAATATCAGCGCACGGAACGTGGATATTCGCCGGAATCAGTTCATTCAGAAGTTTCGTCTATGTGTGGTTTGTCTGAAGAAAATTTTCGTAAATTTTCGTTCCGATATATTTCAGTCTTCTCGTAGGGTGTTTGCGGCAAAGTCAAAATGAAAAATGGATTTTTTTATTGATATGATTTCAGTAGAAGAACATGATGACGATGCGGTGAGTATGCGTTATTAGGAGTATGTACTGAAAATAATGAAATTTTGAACATGTTTGAGAAAAGGGAAAAAGAAAGCGTTTATGAGTTGTTAGTGTTGAAGCATCTTTCGGATAATGATACAAAATACGTTGTTTGTTTGTCTAGGTCTGAAAACAAACACACTACACTATTTCGGCGAACTGTTCTGAAATCGTTCAAATCAAACACTGGTTGATTCCGACGAACTGCTATCCGTTCACTTTCCCGAAATTTCGGTCCGATCTTTTATACAGACCGCCACTACGTACTACAAATACGCTTGGTTTCACCGGAAACGCAAACGAACTTTCTGTGCTCTATCACCGAAATATTTCGGGCCGATCTGGTCAGAGAAACCAGGGCTTAATAGCTCATCAACTTTAAAAATTAGAAGCACAATCAATCAAGACGTATTGATCCCTGATGAACTACCCATTTTTCGGTCAAAAAATTAATTCAATTTGATGAACCAGTACCAATTTATGATGTAAAGAAATTCAATTTGAATGAAAATCAGGACGCTGTACTCGATGGAGAGTGCTTCTAATTTTTAAAGTTACTGAGCTATAACCTTTCAATTATGAACGCACCGATATGAAATGATGTGAAATCTCAACCTACTAGTGTGACGTCAGCATCCAGATAGAGGGGATAGATTACGGCCCGGTGAGATCAAGTAGGCCCTGCTTCGTGACAGCGAGAGCCGTGAGATCAGTTGAATACTAACAAAGATCTGATGATATACAGGGTGTCCCAGAATAACGTTCGTATACTCCAGGATAATTCTGCAGATAAAAATAAGAAAAAATGTTCCTATCAACATGTGTCCGAAGATGCATCCTAAGGGTGCTACAGCCCTTTGAACATAAGTCCTTAATGGGCGAGTGGACTGATAATGAATTATTGGCATTCATTTATTCCACTGTGTCATTAGGAACCTAAATTAATTTTTGCAACACTTCTCACGATTTTTTTATGAAAATAATGAGTCTATGCGTTGTTAGAAATTGTTGAATTTCAGAGCTCATTTCAAACGAACCTACATGGCCGCCATTTGGCGATACGTGAAATAAATGGTGACGTCAATTTTCATGCTGTTTCGTTATTGGTCAAATAAACTATCTTTCCCACTCATGAAGCAAGGTTGTCAAGTCATCAATTATAATCAAGTTATCAAAAAGATGTTAAGAGTCCTGTCCTTGAATAAAACATAATAGGAGGAAGCCATTGAAAATTAGTTCATTCTTGACTTTTTCGAGCAACCAGTATGTCCAAATATTTCTTATACTCCATAACAAAATATCATGTGAACTTTGGAGACTTTGCAACATTGTGCTGAATGCTGAGAACTGACAAGACCACGGCGCACGACTTGTGGGTACGTTGTGGGCACGTTGTCACGTTCAACGATTCAAAAATCCTCTAGTGTGAATTAATATAATTATGATATGATTATGATTTACACAAATTAATTTATTATAAGCAATAAACAACAAATCATAAGGAAACATTTTGAGACAATTGAATTTTTATTGCTAATTAGGAGTATTACCAATACTCAATTGAGAATTAATGAATAATAGAATAACTAATAGTTCCCAATTATATTTGTGTGTGGTGGTTTAACTGCTGTGCATCTCTATTCTTCATATGCATGATGGATTTCACTGACTTGGCTCAGCAGAGCGGTAGGTGATTTTTACATGGTCGTTGTCAATCTATTGTAAGTATAATCTTTTGCTAAAACCAAATTGGTGCTTTATGTATTTAATGAAACTATGAATGAAAATATATGCCAAATCCATCAAAATTAGAGACAAGGGTTGAAGCAATATCTTCTAATTTATTATTTCTTGAAATGAAGTTCTTACTATTTATCTTCACAAATGTTTTATTTCTCCCTACAGTAACAGCCTTCTTGAACCCAAGCCCTGCATAAGAGACATGGCAACAATGTCCCGAAAACGGATAAGGGTGTAAGGCATAAGGTGTATAAAATATTGTTGAATGTGATATATATTCAAATGAAAGTATATAAAAAATCCATCAATATTTGTGTGTAGACAAGGGTTTAGGTCATTGATTTCCTTATTTCTGAAAGTGAAGTATATACAGTATATCACAATAGTAAGAGCCGTTATATCGGTCTAATAAGAAGATGTTTTTTTTTCTAGTCACAGCCTTCTTAAACTCTCAAGCCATACTGTAGACTTGGCAACAATGTTAACGGATATATTTTTTTTGAAGTATACTCTAGTAATGATAATAATTATTATTGCAGCTGAAGAACACAAGAGTAAAAATAATCTTTACTGATATTATTCCCAGTATTATTCATATCTCTAGGATATTAGGAATATAAATATTGTTTACTAGTACTCTCTTGAATACAATTCTATTTTGTTCGAAGTATTGACTACAGAAATAATGATTGATAATTGTTGTTCACCTTATTACTAGAATAAAGGATATTGGTTAATAAAATAAACCTAACGAAATGAAAAAATAAATCGAAAGTACTCACCCGCTCAGTGACCTTATCGATCTCGTGGTACAAAAAGTTGTAGTTGCTGTCGAAATGTTGGTCTTTGAATGCCCCCTTCCTGATCACCTTATTAGGGAATTTCCCCTTGACGTCCATGAAGAACTTGAGCATCTGGTTGTTCGACTTGCCGGAGAACATTATTCGCCCCGTATACAGTTCGTAGATGGTGCAGGCGGCCGACCACATGTCGATGGCGTAATCGTAATTCATGCCGAGGATGATTTCTGGCGCCCTGTAGAAGCGCGACACGAGATAGGGGGTGATTTCGTTCTCGTTCACTTTGGACGCCGAGCCGAAATCGCAAAGCTTCAGAAGGTGCTTGCTCTCGTTGACTAGGATGTTGTCGGGTTTGATGTCTAATTGAATGAGATATCAATCAGATTTCTAAGAAATTTTCGAAAACACGTCATGTTTCCCTAACACAGTAGCTGTTTCAGGTGAAATACTACACTTTTTCCAGTTGTATTTCAGTATAGACAATTGTATTTGATGAACATGAAGTGCACAGCACTCACATAATCATAAAGTACGTTAAAAAATAAATTTATAAAATTAAATCATGTCCAGAAAGGTCATTAAAACTCATGCAGACTAATAGGGTAGGTCACTAATGAGGTGTTATCCATAGGTTTCAGACAATCTGGTAGATGATTATACATTTTCAGACCGATATTTACAATTGATACTATTTGAAATACAAGTGACTTTTCTGATAATACAATTATTAACGATTTCTAAAATTGAACTGACGGTTTCTGAAATACAAATTGGTAATGTGTAGTACAAGAAAGTAACGAAACGTTGGTATTTGTGCGTTTTTTGATATCATTTGATATACAAAAATTACAAATGATTATTTTATTTGGTTTGGTTTATTCATAATAGTAGGGGAGGCAAGAGGCTAAATAGGGATTTACTCGAGCGTCGTGGGGACGTATCAGATTTTGAAGATTAGATGCGAAAATGAAAAAAAGTTTACATGATATATGACCTTTCACTGGTGGGGAGAGCGTGTACAGGTGTTCAAAGATGTAAAAAAAAACAGTCACATGCCAATACTCGAGCGCATCAGATATTAATAAGCGCGTCAGATATTGAGAAGGGACGTTAAGTGAACCCTCAAGTAGCTCCTATTCAAAAGACTGATGATTTGGACGCGACCAAAAGTCATGATCAATTTATGAAAATGAATAAAGAAAAAATCGTGATCTTGAGATACTCGAGCGCGTCAGATTATTATACATACGCTTCATCTTGATGTCCTTGTCGTATCTTCCCATAATCTCACAATTATTATGTTGAGGGATTACCTTAATCTGACGTTTGGATTCTTTTTTGTTAACTGAATGTAATAACTAGAATATAAAATATACATGGTGGGTCAGGTTTTGTGTAGCAGGACTTCAACAGCACGAAGAATTCACAATTTTGAGATGGAATACGGCTGATGTAGACATACAGGGTGGACCAATAGCGTGGCAAAGTGAGAAAACAGCTTTGCTGTTTGAGATAGATGAACAAAAATTCTTGAGATGGTGCGTGGCATATCAAAGTTATACTTATTCTTATAGCACACCTTGTATTTTATTGCATTTTCAGATTCCTCCTTATGAGCTGATTCCAACGATCTATATCACACCTTAGTTTTGAGAGAAATTATCAGGAGAAATAGGGTGCAAGCACCACACTCAATGGATGATTTTCAATACTTCGGCTTGAGCAAATCGGCAGATTATGTTATTTCCGTGATCCGTGACTAATTGCCTTCAAAATAAGAAAAAAATTAAAAGCACTCGAGAATGTGCAGGTGACGATTTATTCTGCAACTTCGTGGCTCTCCCATTTTCTTATGTCACGCTCAAATCGTCAGATTATTGAAATACACACTTTTCTGCATGTAATTAACGTACCATGTCTTAATCTGACGCGCTCGAGCATTTCTGACGGTCGATTTTTTCTTACTAATCTGACCAGCTGCCTTAAACTTTCGACACCATATAAAGGGCCCAGGTATGGTGGGAGTACTTCACAAGGTCCATGGATACCCTACATATGTTAATCTACCGCGCTCGAGTAAATCCCCAAGTCCCCGCTTGGACATCCCTACTATAATAATAAGTGAGCTACGATAATTATTTGAAAAATAAACAGAACACGTCTGAAGAAATTGGTGTTTGTGTTGTTTTATACTTCAGAATGTGTATCTACAATTATCGTTTTCCTATTACGAGTGAAAGCTTGGATTTAAATGAAATTTGAAATGATATGTATGTGAAAATCAATTGCGAATGGAAACATGTTGAGTAGGCTTCATTAAGGCGCGTACAGACTTGCAACAGAACCTAGAACCGAACGCCGTCACGAACAAGTTCGACGACGACGATGTTGCATTTCTGGAGGTTAGGCGAACGGCGAACATTACCTGCTCCGCTGTGCCATTAGTGAGATATTCATAAGAATATTTGTCAAAAACTGATGACACTTATAAGGATCTTGTTCATTGAAAATCCCAACGGACCAAAATAACAACAATCACTTATACTCTCGACAAAAAATACAGAAATAGTGCAAGTAGGTCCATTGTTGATAGTGTTTAATGAAATTCTGATTATTAAGTTCCTATTTCCATTTCACTGAAAATTCATACAGCGACATATTTCAGAATAAAATGTAACAAGAACCTTATATTGCTAGTTTGAACTGTTTATTGTGGTCAAGTTTGGTCAAACCAAAAGCGAATCAGTGTAAACACCATATTACTTATTATCTTAACACATTTGCAACAGCCATGCGTTCCACAAGTCGTAGAAACTCTTTGATGGGGAGCGGGAAACCGACAACTAGTGGAACGTGCCAATGTTGCGAGGTTCACAACGATGTTGCAGTACGTGGTTGTTCCAGGTATCCCGTCTACACCCATTGAACTCAATGTGAACAACTGGGTCATTCTCCTTTTTACTCTCGGTTTCAGTATTTTCACTTCTCTTTGCAATGGAATAGGTAGCTCTTCTCGAATGGGACGGTTTTAGGGTTTCATTATCAATGAACTTTGAAACTTGGGAACTGGAAGTTGTAGAGGAAAATAAATGTCCAGTTGAAAAACATAGTCCTTAGAATTATTCAAGTTATGAACATCCACACACACATCCACACACACATCTTGAAAATATTTTACTATAGTTTTTCTAAGAATCGATCTGAACAATTTTCAACTTACACATGAAGGACAATTTATGTTTGTCTTGCTTGTTTCGCATCCAAAGGCAACACAATATATATATAACAATTGTTTATTAATTCGAAATCACAAACCTTTTCAACAACAATCAATTCACAACAAATTCAGTCCTTTTGAAGAAACAAAACACGCCAAATGTCACATAACAAAAAACAATGAAGTTTTGTCTTTATTCTTTTGCCTGTTTAGATAAAAAAAATATATCCAGTACTCCAATTATTGGATAGAAGAAAATTTATGCACCAATCCGCCATTACACAATACAGTGTGAAAGAGACAGGTTACCGTAACACAAGCTATCTTTGTTGCAGTTGCCCCTGACACACTTTGTGCTAATCGAGAAAACGGCAGTCTTCCTTCCAGGTGTTTATATTGAGTTCATTGTCTACACCTAGCGCACTGATGATACGCGGCGGCATTCGATTCGAGGTTAGGTTGCAACTCTGTACCCGCCTTTACACTCCCTGTTGTTTCATCTCACCATTCTTCATCTAATAATAATTTGCACAATTTTGTTACTGGGCGTTTGTAAATACTATTATTTATTCGAACATCGACTACACGAATATGACCGTCAATACCGGGATATATAGACTATTTTTCCCAGTCTCCAAGAACTTCTTGGTGAGTTGTCGTCAACAATAATAACAATGTCATTAACTTTCAAGGTTTTTTCATCATCTATCTACTGTTTTTGCTGGGTGAGAGGGTAAATATTCTTCAATCCATCTACGCCAGAAATTGTTTTCCAACATCTATGACTTTCGCCATTGCTTCTTCAGAAATTTCCCTGAATCAAAATCTCCAGGTGGCCCTTCAGAGTGTGTGTAACCTAGGATATCCAAGATATCCTAGAGCATGATGGAAGAATCTAGTCAGACACATTTTTTATAATGAAATGATTTATCAATTCGTTTGTACCAATGTATCAAGTTTATGTGATGAAACATAATATTACTGATATATAGGGTTCACAAAATATAATTATAAATGGTTAAGTCAGTGTCACCAGTTCTAAGGCAGTGCAGCACTAGTTTTTCCAATGCAATGTATTTGCAATAAGAAACCTGGAGATTGATTGGTTATGTAGGACATGTCATTGAATTTTGAAATCTTGAAATCCTGACTGATTGATCACAGACTTCACAAATTTTCCTTTTATTTACATTAATAGTCTGAAGAGTTAAATATTGTTTATACTTTATTTCCGTTGACATTTTGGCGGCGATGTGTAAAAATTTGCAGAATACAGACTGAGAAACCTGATATGTTCTAGTACTCAGGTAGGTGAACTGAATGATCTCTGTGGATCAAGTTGTAATCATCTATTATAATGAAATAACATTAGGATACATTGAAAAAATATGAATTACAGATAACAATACTCACCAGCATGAAGAATTCCTGACTTCTTCATCAACTTCAATGCCAATAAAAGCTGTTGTGTGTAGCTTCTGACAGCTTTTATATGCAAACCTACGTCTTTCCCATATTTTTTCAGCACTTCTCTCAAATTCATTGCCAATGGTTCAAACACCATGCACAAATGTTGTTTATGAAAGAAGTGCCTTATCAGCCTGAGACAGTGAAGCTTGTCTTCAGGGTCTGCATCATTTAATTTTTTAAGGATTTCTAGTTCTTTGAGACCTGTTTTGTGCCTAAAAAGTTGATGGTTGACAAGTGACAATGGAAATGTGTGATCCTGCAATACTTACATGATTTCATTATTTCTTATTATTTTGACAGCTACATCTTGGTTGCCTCTGGCTTGGTCTCTTGCCCTAACAACATTACTGAACACTCCTTGGCCAGTGTAACCATACACCATGTATCTAGAATCAAGATTCTCCCCAATTCTCACTCTATAGTAGCCCTCAGCATCATCCCAGTTGTCTGTGAGAGAGGGATTTTCTGCCCCTGAGCCCTTTGTGTTCAAAGTACTGGGTGACTGAAACAGGGGAGCAATTAGCAACCCATGAACATTCATAACTTACTGGGCCTGATGGTATACCAGGGATAATTTTGATAACTTGTGTATAATGTATGTACGCTGGTATATACTTCAGCCAGACCTATTTTTATACTGTTCAGCCTATCTTTGAATTCAGCTGTTTATTTCCACAGTATTGGAAAAATACTTTCATAACACCAATATACAGAACTGGAGATAAAGAAAATATTTCAAATTACCGGGGTATTACAATCCAATCAGAAATGCCTAAATTTTTTGATAAACTCATTTCAGTACAACTGAAGTGGTCCTCTAGACATATCATTATTTCAGAACAACATGGTTTCCACTCGGGAAGATCGGCAGTACAAATACGATAGTATATCAATCTAATATTCTAAATGCATTTGGGAATCAGTTTCAGGTTGATAGTGTATACCGGGTGTCAACGAATCTATTAGACAAGTCATACCTTCTAGACCATAAGGTGTATCAAAATGAGGTTTGGTATAGGTAAATGGTATGTGAAGAGGAGAGTTTTCACATATTTTTCACTTTCTGGTAACTTTCGGTTTCACCGGAAATGGCTCCGGTTCTAAATTTTTAAATAGAACACCCTGTATATTGTAACATTTTTGGATTTCTGAGACAATTCTATATCAGAAAGTGATATTTTCGAAAGTTTTTATGCCTATTTAATTTTTATGGAGTCAGTTTTGAAATTACATCTAGGTGGCCATGATCGGAAGTAAACTAATCTAAGGACCCCAGGTGATATCAGAAAATTACAATCGCGAAGTTTTAGTGACAAGTATGATAGATATGGATAAAAAAAGTTGGCAAAATTACATTTTCGTGTCTAACTATTATTTTTCAAATGACGACCATTTTTTGACAAGCACTTTCCGAAAAAGGGATATTTTGACGAATCCAACGATACTAATTTATTTGCGATTCGATTACAAATAAGAACATAAATCAAATATTACTGACGAAAACACTTCACAGTTATTTCGATCAAGTCTTCTTGGGAAAACAAAACACTCACTTAGGTTATGACAGTGACATAAGCTTCAAGAGCAGAAGGTAACATTTTCTTGATTTTCGTTGAATTTCAGTTTAATTTCCGTCAAAATAATGTATACTCAAAGTGAAAAAGTGGATATGTCGTTATTGTTTGGAGAATGTCTAAGAAATTCAAGGAATGCTGCTGAGCTGTATGCTCAGAGATATCCCAATCGGCAACATCCATTCATCCCATCAGTATTTTCCGTAGTTCAGAATCGTTTTAGGCAAGAGGAAAATCGAGAGGCAGAACAGAGGTTTATCATGAATGAGGAGACTGAGATTAACGTTCTTGCTATGGTTGAGGTTGACAAAACGGTTTCTTAAAGAGAAATTAGTCGAGAAATGCAGATAAGTCACGAATCAGCAAGAAAAATATTGAAAAAGCACGGATATCGAGTATTTAAATATCAGTTACATCAACATTTGTATGCTGACGATGGCGATAGACGAGTAGTGTTTTGTGGTTGATTGCTTCAAAATCATAGAGTTAACCCAAATGTTATCAATTTCATTCTATTTTCCGACGAATCACGATTTACTAATAATGGCTTGTTTAATAAGCAAAATTCTCGGTTCTGGGCCCAACAAAATCAACAACAAATTTGTTGATCCAATCGCAAATAAATTAGTATCGTTAGATTCGTCAAAATATTCTTTTTTCTACGACTGCTATGAAAAGTAGCGTAATTCTCATGGCTTACTCAATTTCAAAACCACGAATTGCTCATACCTGTGAGAAATATTATTTCTCACAGCACTTTGCCAACACCACGCATAGTAGGTACCTTTTATATGGAGAATCAACTAAAATCGACAAAAACTTAGTTGGCCGCTGTTGTCACGAACAACTGTCAACAGAATTTATTTCAATTTTTGAGGTAGTTATCAATCGTGTTTCGATAAAATATCGCAATTTCATTGAATATTAGTAAGACATAATATACATATTTGTACCAGTGATAGGTAAATAATATGGAAACTTATGAAAGCAGTGACGATTTTGACAATACTCCACCAGAAATATTGGAACAAGCGGCAAAAGTAACATTAGATTTGTTGCCGGAAATTTCCCGAAAAAAGTATGAATTGGCATATGGGAAATTCATGGAATGGAGAAGAAATACGAAAATAAAATCGTTTTCGGAAAGTGTACTTTTGGTATACTTCGAAGAAATGTCGAAAACTTTGAAGGCGTCAACACTTTGGTCACAATATTCGATGTTGAAAAGTACCATCAGTATTAAACATAACATTGATATATCCACGTATCAAAAATTACGTGCATTTTTGAAAAGAAAGTCTGACAATTACTTCCCAAAGAAATCAAACATATTAACAGCCGACCAATTGCAGAGATTTTTAAAAGAAGCTCCAAACAAGGAATATCTACTAATAAAGGTGGGTTTATTATTTAAATTGAACTATTTTTCGAATTTCTTTCGCTTTTTTCCTCGAATTAACAGCTTTTTATAGTTAGTGGGTGTATTCAGTAGGTAAAAATAATTAGATAATCTTCAAAAAGTCAATTTCATATTGTGGAAGATGAGTATATGCCTATGAATAAACATTTTAATAACTACTCCGTGGTGTAGTGGTAGTGCTTCCGCTTAGGATACTAGCGGCCCGAGGTTCAATACCCGGCCAGGGATGATATATTTTTTTAATTATATAAATGATTTTACATCCTGATATTTTTATTTGTAGGTTGCAGTGGCTATTGGCGTAGCAGGGGCATGTCGTAGAGATGAACTGTGGAAATTAAAAGTCGATGATTTAGAGGATCTAAATTCGGCTTTGTTGGTGAAATTAGATAACACCAAAACAAAGAAGCCAAGAACTTTCACTGTAACGGGGGAATTTTATAATATATATAAAAAATATGCCGCTCTTCGACCGAATGATTTGGCAGAAAAACGTTTCTTCTTGAATTACCAGAACGGAAAATGTACTAGACAAGTAGTCGGCATCAACAAATTTGGTAGTATGGCAAAGAGAATTGCAATTTTTTTAAAATTGGAAAATCCCCATTTATATACAGGACACTGCTTCAGACGTTCTTCGGCAACAATTTTAGTAAATGCAGGAGGTGACATATTAACCTTAAGGCGCCATGGAGGATGGCAATCCAGTACCGTGGCAGAAGGATACGTCGGAGACTGTATTAAAAATAAAATGGACGTTGCAAATAAAATCGTCGACTCTATTGAAAAACCAGTAGAACTATTCACTGAAATGGAGACAGAAAATGCACCACTGTACATAAATAATCAACCTTCAACTTCTACTTCTACAATTAATATAACAGAAAATTTACTCAAAAACAATGACTTTCCTGGTTTGACCATACAAAATTGTAAGAATTTCACAATTAACTATAATTTCAAATGAATAATTCAACTGTTAAGAGGTAGGAAACTTGTTATTATGTTATGTTATTTTAGTTCTGCTATAACCCATAAAAAATAAAAATTGAGTTACATTGTTCTTTGAATATGTGCAGTCGTAGAAAAAGTATAGTGTGCAACATGTGGGGAAAAGTACTTTCCTCACTCGTGTGTTTGCGGCACTCGCCTTTCAGGCTCGTGCCACAAACTTCCACACTCGTGAGAAAAGTTGAACTTTTCCCACTTGTTGCACAATATACTATTTTCGGGAAGTGCTTACAAAAGTAACTGAATTATTATCCATGGCACACTTGACAAAAGTGAATAAATTATTATGAAGTGTTTTCGTCAGTAATATTTGATTTATGTTCTTATTTGTGATCCAATCGCAAATAAATTAGTATCGTTGGATTCGTCAAAATATCCCTTTTTCGGAAAGTGCTTGTCAAAAAATGGTCGCCATTTGAAAAATAATAGTCACAAAAATGTAATTTTGCCAACTTTTCTTATGCATATCTATCATACTTGTCACTAAAACTTCGCGATTGTAATTTTCTGATATCACCTGGGGTCCTTAGTTTACTTCCGATCATGGCCACCTAGATGTAATTTCAAAACTGACTCCGAGAAAATTAAATAGGCATAAAAACTCTCGAAAATATGACATTCTGATCTAGAATTGTCTCAGAAATCCAAAAATGTTACAATATACAGGGTGTTCCATTTAAAAATTTAGAACCGGAGCCATTTCCGGTGGAACCGGAGCCATTTCCGGTGGAACCGGAAGTGACCGGAAAGTGAAAAATATGTGGAAACTCTCCTCTTCACATACCATTTACCTATACCAAATCTTATTTTGATACATCTCATGGTCTAGAAGTTATGACTTGTCAGATTCGTTGACACCCGGTATTCTGATTTCACAAATGCTTTCAATAGAGTTGAAAACAAATTAATAATTGCTACGTTGTAAGCACTTGGAATTGGTAGTCACCTTTTAACATGGATAAATAGCTTCATTTCAAATGCTATTAAGGTTTTTTTCTGGTGTCTCTCAAGGTTCTCATTGTGGTCCGATTCTGTTTAGCCTATTTGTCAATAATTTGAATGAAGTATTACAAAATTCAAAATATTTGATGTTTGCAGACGATTTAAAAATCTACAAAACAATATCTAACACCAATCATTTCATTGAGCTTCAGAATGACATTGAAATTTTTTGTAATTGGTCTGATCTGAATGCACTGTGTCTGAATGTTATCAAGTGTTTCTGTATAACATTATCTAAATCCAACTGTCTACTTACATTTGATTATAAAATAAAAGATGAATCTTTGTTGTGTGTAGTTGAAATTAAAGACTTAGGCATTTTAATTGATATTGAATTGACATTTAAAGGACATATTTTTAATGTAGCTACTATTGGTTATAGAAAACTTGGCTTTGTTATGAGAAACACAAAGGATATGTCACTCAATAGCTTTGAACTATTATACTGTGCACATGCAGGTCAGGCTTAGAATATGCTTCTGTGATATGGTGTCCTTACAACAGTGGAGATGTAGGGACAATTATTGAAAGAAGACATAGAAAATTTCTCAGGCATTTATTCAGATTGAGAATGAATCAAAACTTTGGAAAAACGTAGGTTCAACAGCTAAATAGGAACAGTAGGAATAGAAACAAAGCACTATTTTACATTAATCATAATTATACAAATTATGGCATACATAGCCCCCTCTGCAGGATACCTAGGGAATAAGTTGTCATTTTCAGTAATTCATTTCAATATTTCAAGTAATTAATTAGTAACACCACTCTATAAGCAGCTGTATTTGATTACTGTGATACTAATAGATTCTTAATGTTCTAGGATATATAGCAACTGTGCTTGATTACTGTGATAAGTACTAATAGATTCATACTGATTTAAGATATTCTTATAATATCTTATAATATGTTTATTTATATTTTTTTGTATTTGATAGTTACATAGGTAAAATTGATGTTTTCTTTCCATCTTGTAACAATAAGTGATGTGATACTGTATGCAATAGAAAACCCTCCAAAAGCCATTACAGAAAATTCATAATGAACTTCAATAAAATCATTGTGATTCCATCCAATTGAAAAAAAAATGTTATTTCTCCAGAGTGATATGATTGAATTTGATAAAAACACAGTTATGTAGAGAATTCAACTTGGAATCCAAGGACCCAACAAAATATATTCTACTTGACCCACTCTGCCATTTGAATTGCAATTATTGTAACATGTTTTACTAAGTTTTCAGAGAATCATTGCCTCAGTTATTCAGGTTGTTTACTTTTGGGGCACCATGTTTCTGATGCCTTCATGATGTCCATGAAAATGAAGATAGCACCAAGGAGATAGGGGACAAGTGCCATTTCTTACCTGATTCAAACAATAGGCCCAAAGGCTGCAGTGTTTTGGGCTTCAAACCCTGACTGATCATTCTGTTATTAATCAATCAATCAATCAATACCTGATTCAATGGGGTTCTCAAGGTCTACATGTCTACATATAGGAATTTCTAATAAATAATTTTCAACATGACCACCAAATGTGACTTCTTGTACAATTTGCCTAAAGATACATGTACTGATTTCTAGGGATACATTTTGTAAGACAATAAATATTGGAAAGTTATGATGGGATCTTCAAAATGAGGAAAGTCATTCCTCATTAAATTATATCTGGGGGTTTCTGTGGTCAAAATTTACAAAAATGAAATCAAAATATGGAATTTTATTATGTTACTTCCAAGATAGCATTTTAGTTAGTCATTTCTTGACCAACTAGCTTGGAAATGTATATCTGGATCTGGTGGTTTTTGGGGCAGAGAAGAACATTTTTCTAGAAATATTAAATTTGAGAAAAAGCCTTGAGAATGGCAAAACAGTTTGTATAATTTCTTCACATTAGTCTGAAAATTTATATTTGGGATTTTTGAGGCCCAGAAGATCACAAAAATTTGCAAAATCAATATGGCAGACAAATTAGTCATTTATAGACAAAAGTGAGAACAAATTTCAACTGAGGAGTATACTGAGGCAACTAGAGCAAAGGTCAAGAATTACAATTCTTGGAAAATCAATATTTTAGAGGAAACTGAATATAAAATCAATAATGAAATACATAAAATAATAATTTTCTTACACATTGATGAGAACTTTTCACATACCTGAGTGTTGACTTTGAACAAATCCTGTTCAGAAAACATATCCCATTCAGACCTCCTACTTTTATCATTTTTTTCTTTTTCATTTTTTTTGTCATTTATACTAGTCACCATCATCATACTAGGCAACAGAGGTGGTGTGAGTGACTCTTGATTATCTTCATTATTATCATCTGGCTGTTCTTGAAGCTGTTCTTCAACTTCTTCTTTCTGGGGATTATTAGTATCTGTTGGTTCATCTAGAATAACTACTGGTTCTGACTGTTCAAGTTTGCTTCCATTTTCCTCAATTTGATGGACAGAGGTTATTATGTCTGTGTTGGGCTGTTGAGTTTGTTCAGTTGTTGCTCCTAAGCGCTAGAAGAAAATCAATTTGACTTCTCAATTCAACATCAATGAATATTTGTTAGTAGTTACTATAAATTATAACATAAACTTTTCCATAATATCAATCAGTATATCATTATGAACCCAAAAAATGAACAAATAAAATTATATAAGGCTTCTTGAATATTCAGCCACACCAATAAACACTACTGGTACAGTCAAGGGTATTCAGGTATTCCTCTGCTTGAGCCACCAACTACGAATCATACTGATGATTTTTTTCAACTTAATACTTCTGAATTGTATTCTTGAATAGAATGGCATGATATATTCTTAGTACAAATCAAAGTACAAATATTTCAGTAGCATTTCATTATTTTCATTTTCATGTTGCTTGAATAAAGTTCTATATTATAGGTAGATTAATCAAAAATATATATCATTATTACTTCTGCTATTATTAAGACAGTCATACTCTGTTGATAAACAACATGATTTTAGAGGAATATGAAACTTCAGTTTAAAATATTAAGAAATGATAAAACTGAATAAGCAACAGTTAATTCACCATTGGTGGTATGAACATGTATAATACCTTCAATAATTCTTCCCTCTGTTTCCTTCTTCTCTCAATTATCACCTCTTCATCTTCTTCTTCATCATTCAGATCAATCTCAACCTCAACATCACTGTCACTACTCTCCCTGCGTTTCTGTCCCTCACTCAAAGAGTCTTTGAATTTATCTAGTTTTTCTCTAGGTTTTGTCCTATCTCTATTTCTGTGTCCTCTTTCTCTTGATCTGTCTCTATTCATCCTATGATTTCTTTCATTATATCCTCTTCTCATGTCTCTAGAATAATTATCCCTAGAACGATCCACAGAATGATGTTTAGACCTATCATTAATACTTGATCTAGACCTATCTCTTTTCAGATCAGATTCACTTTTTCTATGTCTGTCTAAATCACGCTGATGTCTATCTCTTTCTTGTTCCCTATGTGACATATCCTTAGTATTGCGAGGAGGTATGGTTTTAGTAGTTTTATCTTGAGATTTATCATGCTTTTTCTTTGCATTCTCAGAAGGCAGAATCACAACTTTACGTTCCCTGCTTTGTGATTTCATTTTTTTAGGGACAGGTGATTCATCAGAATCTTCAAGCAGTATAACCTCATCTACAGGTTTTTCTGTTTTAGTGTGATCTTCAGCAGGTGTCAATACTCCTTCAATCTCTGCTTTAGCAAGTTGGGCTTGAAGAAGCTCTTTTTGCTTCATCAAATCATCTAAATCCATATCAGCTTCAATTAGACTCATGTCAATATCAACACTATCACAATCTGCTTCTGGGATATCATCACTTTCTGAGGAGATCATTTCTAGGTCAGTTTTCATCTTATTCAAGCCATCAGCAACAAAATTCACAACAGACTCTGTATCTGTTTTGATACTTACAGTTTTGCCGTTGGTGACATTTTCTTCAATCTTATCAGGGGTATAACGACCATTAGAGTCATCTTCTACATTCTTATGTTTTTTATGTTTCTTATGTTTTTTACTCTTTTCCTTATTGGGTTTTTCACTGCTGTGTTTCTTGTGTTTATGTTTATGATCTTTCTTGTGCTTTTTCTTATTAGATGAGCTGTCCAATACTGAGGTAACAAGTTTATCTTTGTGCCTAGAAAGTGATAAATAATGGAATTGAAGCAAGTTCAGATCTATTTGTAAAAATATTATTATAATGTCATTGCCACTCACTGTGAATCCATATCGAATGGGAAGTTGATGAAATAGTAGAGTACTTGAGACTGGAGATATGAAATTATAACAGGGAAAGATCAAAAGATGAAAACGAAATGTGAAATCTGAAAAAATATCCAACAATCCAACAGCAACAGCCAAGTGCCAACAGACTGACAAATGACAACTGACACATGGATGATCCATCATAGATGACAGGATGACGGGTGACAACGACAGTTTGTTTGAATTACCTGATGTAGTAATTGTACCAATCTCCTCAATATTAATGTTTATATTGACTTTATTGAATTGTACAGAGTTAAAAGAATACGGAACAATTTCAAGTCCTCAGAATGCAGAGCATATATGCAGAGTTACAGTGTGCACATAGGCTATATTCCGATTTCAACTCGTCTGTACTGTCACTTGTCAGTAATTCCACCAACTCTGCTGAAAATCTGTGTTCCGTAAAAAATCAAAAAGACAGTGCTGTACTGGTGTAATTTAAAACATGTTTTCATGTTTTTTTGAAAGAGAAGGGTGACTAACTATTGAAATGAACAAATTTAGTAGTCCATATTGTATATTGTGTTTATCACTTGTTATGTTGTTGATAAATGAATTGATAGTTGTCTATATATGTAGTTTTTGATAAACGTCTACAAAAGTTATTTCTGCTCTTCTATCGAAATATTTTTGACTCGATTCATCAGAAATAGTATATTTCATCAGGTTATGGGCCCAGAATACGCCCGAGTCAAAAACTGAAGTTGCACTGATAAAATTTTTTTCTTTGCAAAATAAGAATTCCATTTCGATCCGTGAAAGAAGAGAAATAATTGTAGCTGTCGTATTGATATCGGAAAATGTCGTCTAACAGTTCATTACCTATGATAGAGAAACTCAGAGGCCGAGAAAACTATGACACATGGAAGTTTTCTATAAAAACTTTGTTGGAACACGAAGAACTCTGGAGTTGTGTCACCGAGGAAGAGACAGACGAAAAAAAGAATATCAAAACGAAATCTAAAATAATACTATCTATAGATCCAATCAACTATGTACATGTGCAGCAAGCAAAAACTGCCAAGCAAGTATGGGAAAATCTTCAGAGCGTTTTTGAAGATTCCGGCCTTACTCGAAGAGTTGGTTTATTGAGAGCTCTAATCAGTACCAAATTAGAGGATAGTATATCTGTAGAAGATTACGTAAATAAGATCATTTCAACAGCCCACAAATTATCTGGTATTGGAATGAATATCAGCGATGAATGGATCGGAACACTCTTATTAGCAGGTTTACCGGAAGAATATAAAACTATGATTATGGGTCTGGAAAGTTCCGGAATTAGAATTAGTGCAGATGCGATCAAGACCAAGTTGTTGCAAGATGTGAAACTTGATACCTCCGAAAATCGTTCCGTAGCGCTAGTTGGAAAAACTATCGGAAAATTCCATGCAAAAGGAAAAGGCCCAAGATGTTTTTCATGTAACAAATTCGGTCATTTATCCCGTGATTGCAAATCTCCGAAAAAGAAAGATAATCCTAAACGGGAAACGATTCTGTATTCATCATTTGTGTGTGGTCAACTGGATTCCGATGACTGGTTTATAGACTCTGGTGCGTCCTCTCACATGACCAAGCGAAGGGAACTACTAGAAAATCCGAGGAAACCAGATTTAACTGAGGTTCAAATAGCAGACAACACACATTTGTCCGTTGAATCTGTTGGAGATGTAAAATTGAATTTATTCAATGGAGAATGCATAACTGAAGTAACAGTCAAGAACGTCATATATGTCCCAAAATTGTGTACGAATTTGCTATCTGTCAGTCAAATGATCAAAAATGGTAATACGGTCAAATTCGATGAGAAAGGTTGCAAAATTTATGATTCCTGTAATCGTTTGATTGCAACATCTACTCTAGTGGGTAATATGTTCAAATTAGATCGCCCAACGCAAGAGAAGAATTTCACAATCCATGAAAAACCTGATCAGAATCTGTGGCACAGAAGAATGGGGCATATCAACTTCCAAAGTCTCAAGAAACTTGGAAAACTAGTGGATGGTGTATTTTTTACACCCAGTGATGGAGATCAGTGTACTGTTTGTTTGAAAGGAAAACAAACTCGACTTCCTTTCAACCACGTTGGAACACGTTCCTCAAGAATGCTTGAGTTAGTTCACTCAGACGTATGTGGACCTATGTCTGTCAATTCTTTGGGAGGCGCCAGATATTTCCTCACTTTGGTGGATGATTTCAGCAGGAAAGTGTTTGTGTATATAATTGAGAACAAGAATCAAGTTTTCAAGAAAATTCAGGATTTCAAAGTTTTCACCGAAAATCAAACTGGGTTGAGGATGAAAACACTGCGAACGGATAACGGGACCGAATACTGCAATCAGGCTTTGAACAGCTTTCTGCGCAGCAGTGGAATTCATCATCAAACTTCCGCTCCGTATACACCACAACAAAATGGTATAGCGGAGCGTATGAATCGTACCATTGTAGAAAAAACCCGCTGTATGCTCTTTGATGCCGAGTTGAATACCAAATTTTGGGCAGAAGCTGTTTCGACTGCTGTTTACATAATTAATCGTTCTCCGAGCCGTGTTCTGGAAGGGAAAACTCCCGAAGAGTTATGGACAGGCAAGAAACCCAATTTGGACCATCTGAGATTGTTTGGATGCAAAGCTATGGTACACATTCCTAAACAGAAACGTACAAAATTTGATTCAAAATCCAGACAATGTCTCATGCTTGGATATAGTGATCAATCTAAAGCATATCGTTTGTATGATTCCGAAGCGAAAAAAAATACTGACGAGTAGAGATGTCATATTTTTTGAGAATTGTCAAAAAACTTTCAAATCCGAATCGACAGACATGAATCAATTTTCCAATAATATTTTCGAAGAGAGTTCAGAAGAAGAGAAGATAATTTCAGACGACAGAGATGTTTCGTCTGCCGAAAATACTTGTCTTCCCTCCGATTCTACTGAAAATAACGAAAATGTATTGGAGACTGTTCATCGGAATGAAGATATCCTGCCGACTACTGCTGTTTCTGAATCGTTGGAGAACGTACGAAAGTCATCAAGGAGACGAAAACCAGTGAACATGGATGATTTTGTCGTGTATAGTGCTGAAATGTTAGAACTCGATGATCCCGTGGATGTTGAGGACGCATTATCCAGAAGTGATGCGAAGTTTTGGGAAAATGCTATGAAAGAGGAATATGATGCACTCATCGAAAATGAAACTTGGATTTTGGCCGATCTTCCTCCAAACCGTAAGCCAATAAACAATAAATGGGTGTTCAAGACAAAACGAAATGCCGAAGGAAAGATAATAAGATACAAAGCACGATTAGTAATCAAAGGTTGTGCTCAGAAGAAAGGCATTGATTATGAAGAAACCTATTCCCCCGTGGTCAGGTATACTTCAATTCGTTTTTTGGTAGCACTATCAGCCAAATTTGACCTGGAGATTGATCAAATGGACGCAGTTACAGCATTTCTACAAGGAAATTTGGAAGAAGAAATCTACATGCTCCAACCCAAATCTTTCGATGATGGTTCACACCAAGTTTGTCGCTTGAGAAAATCTCTCTATGGTTTGAAACAAGCAAGTAGGATTTGGAATATAAAATTGGATTCTAAGTTGAAAGAATTTGGACTAATTCAGTCAAGTGTGGATTCTTGTGTTTATTCAAAGATTTATGAAGATAAATTTCTCATTGTAGCACTTTATGTGGACGATTTGATGATTTTTTACAATGATGACGAGTTTAGAAATGATTTGAAAGATAATCTATTTAGAAATTTCAAAATGAAAGATTTAGGAAAAGCAAGATTTGTCCTTGGAATGGAAATTATACGAGATCCAGTGCAAGGTACAGTTTCAATTGATCAACGACATTATCTCAAGACAATCTTAAATCGATTTAGTATGGGAGACTGTAATGCTGTCTCAACACCATTTGATATAAATCAAAAATTATCGAAAGAAATGAGCCCGAAAAATCAAGAGGAAACTGAAGATATGACGATCATTCCCTACCAAGAAGCAGTGGGTTCGTTAATGTTTGCTGCACAAGTTACTAGGCCTGATATTTGTTTCGCGGTTTCATCCTTGAGTAGATTCAATCATGATCCAGGGAGAGCACATTGGAAAGCAGTTAAAAGAGTATTCAGATACCTGAAAGGAACCATCGACGTCAAACTGACATATAACAAAAATGGAAATTCTGAAATACTGGGTTATTGTGATTCCGACTGGGCCAATGATATCAGTGATAGACGATCTACAACAGGCTACGTATTCCTGATGCAAGGAGGAGCCATTTCGTGGAATTCTAGGAAGCAACCCACGGTGGCACTTTCTACAACTGAGGCGGAGTATATGTCTTTAACAGCTGCCGTTCAAGAAGGAATATGGTTGAAAGGATTAGAAAATGAGCTAGTTCGAGACACCAGTCAGTGTATCATGATCTACGGTGATAATAAAAGTTCATTACAGTTGGCACTAACGAACGCTTATCATGCTCGAACAAAACACATCGACGTGAAGCATCATTTTATCCGTGACAAAATATTCGAAGGAAGGGTCAAGTTGGATTATTTGAAAACCGAGTTGATGATAGCGGATGCTTTGACAAAACCCGTCAGTTCCATGAAGCATTCTTTTTGTACTTCCAATATGGGCTTACGCAAAAATTAGTTCTAGGAGGAGTATTGAAATGAACAAATTTAGTAGTCCATATTGTATATTGTGTTTATCACTTGTTATGTTGTTGATAAATGAATTGATAGTTGTCTATATATGTAGTTTTTGATAAACGTCTACAAAAGTTATTTCTGCTCTTCTATCGAAATATTTTTGACTCGATTCATCAGAAATAGTATATTTCATCACTAACCTACCATTCTTTGGTTTTTCATCAGTAGCCAAGAGTTCATTGTAGCCAGTAGCAGTTGATCAGCTGGTGGAATCAGAATATCATTCTCCGCGTTTTTCTGATATTAAATATGATATTAAAATGCATTATTGATAAGACACGGCTTACTGTTCAAATACGGAAATAAATGCGAAATTCCTTTCCTCTCTAAATTAATGACAGTTCACTGAAGCCATACTACTATTCGATAGTCAGCAATTTCAGGATGTTGAGTCGAAATATTTGGAATGAGTTCTCTACCTGACGGCAGCAACTTGAACACTTCTCTGAGCGGTTTGTTTTGATGATCAAGTCGGCTCTGTGTCCCTTTTTATCATTTAGCCCCAATGAAAACGAATTGAACATGCCGCTTTGACAGCTTTCAAGAACTCCGATAGGTGGCGTACGCTTATTTTCTATCGCCAGTCATGGAATTTCAAATTTCGAGCAATGACAAGACGAAGAAATAAAAAATGCCGCTGTTATCTGTTATAGCCGTAAAAAACTTATAGTGTATAACTCGCACGGAATGCTGCAAACTCCATTCTAGTGGAAAATCACTATCATTCCGTGCTCGTTAAATAATATACTATTTTCTCTACGGCTATAACACAAAATTGCTCTTGTTTCATTGTGTTATTAATTATTACATAAAAAAAAACTCATCGCCCATAGAATGTCAAATTTCAAGCATTGGCAATGACAGCTCCGTCAAAAATGTCGCTGTTATCTGTTACAACCGTAGAAAAATTATTATAGTGCTCAGACGAAGTGTATACCTCGCACGGAATGCTAATTTGCCATCAAGGCTCGTTAAACAATATACTATTTTTTCAGTATGCAGGAAATAGTAGATACTGCCGCGGCTGATAGTGTTCATAGCCGAGGCACCGCAGAACTACGCTGGATCGATTTGGAAAATTCTTTTGCCATTAGAAGCCGAAATATGAGCACAGACTACTTTTTACCGCGAGAAAATGCTTCTTTCCTACGGAAAAACTGATAGGACAACGGGTAGTAAGAATAATTATCCTTCCGTACTTATATTGTTCACATAACTTCTAAACAGCTGAACCGATTGGGTTGAAATTTTATATGGGTATTTCGACGTTTCCTGGATGATTTAAAAATACAATTGGACGCGGTAGGTGGCGCTGCTGTCGGTATGTCAAATACTAAACGGCTTGACCGATTGGGTGGACTTTTTCAATATGTAACAACAAAAAAGAACAAAAGATACTGAGAAAATGAAAATAGGTCTTAGTATAAAATAGTGTAGCTATACCTAGGTGAGCATAAAAATAAAAAAAAAATAAAAAATATGAAGTGCATAGCTCACAACGATTGCTACAAACGTCTTATTTTTTTGAATGGGTACACCAACCGTGCGAATAAGCCAGGCCGGACAGCTAATACTGAATATAATGTATGCATGTACGCACTGATGATGTATGCACAAAACCTCTCTATATACTTATGTGTCACGTGATATATTTTTTAACTTTCCATTGAGATTCAAAAAATGTAATATATTGGTATACCGGGGGTGACCCGGAACCAATTTACCCCCCTGTATCTTCGTTGTTATTTTGTATGCATGTTTCAAATTCGGTACTTCGATTTGATGTTATGAATGTACAATTTACCAAGTATCAATCCAAATATGTCACTTCCGGTTTCACCGGAAGTGCATTATCCAATTTTTATATTTCGAATAGGAAGTATTTTTTTTTTGAAAATTACAATTCGGTATAGAATTACCTTTACAATGACATATCACAATCATACTTTCAATTCACAATCTGCTGGTATAATTGACATTTCATTAAAAAAATACTTTTTGTGTTCCCCTCGTAACCGAACATTTTCATGAAAGTATGCTGTGGAAGATTGAACAATATCATGTAAGCAACAATAATTCAATCTTCCACAGCATACTTTCATGAAAATGTTCCGTTACGAGGGGAACACAAAAAGTATTTTTTTTATAAAATGTCAATTATACCAGCAGATTGTGAATTGAAAGTATGATTGTGATATGTCATTGTAAAGGTAATTCTATACCGAACTGTAATTTTCAAAAAAAAATAATACTTCCTATTCGAAATATAAAAATTGGATGCGCTTCCGGTCAAACCGGAAGTGACATATTTGGATTGATACTTGCTAAATTGTACATTCATAACATCAAATCGAAGTATCGAATTTGAAACATCCATACAAAATAACAACGAAGATACAGGGGGGTAAATTGGTTCCGGGTCACCCGGTATATGGAGTTACATATTTCAAAAAATTATCGCGGACATAATTACTCTAACGTGGATCACCCTGTATATTCAATTTCTCCTTATAAATGTGGCGAATTGGGATAATAAAAATCGACCTGCTTTGAGGAAATTCCAGATAGTGCAACTCATGACTGACCATCAGAAAATCACAATATGACCTCAATATCTTTCATGAATTTTGTGAAAATCGAAAATAGGAATATCTTTTTCCTCAAGCGAATTATATGTTGAATCATGTCGAAAACTATACCGAAATGAGCAATTTTTTGAAATCATATGCCAGAGGTTTATTACGTGTGGTGTCGTGATTTTGTTCACAGTATGAAGAGTCTGAGTGAGCTATAATTAACAACATAGAACGGTCGTTATTACTAGAGTCCCTGTATATACCTTATTAGACAAGTTATTACTACAGGTTGCATAGCGAAAGTTGGAATCTTTTATATAACTATGAAGTTTTGTACTTGACACTCGAAATATTGATCAAAGGTTTCGATTTTCACGAAATTCAATTCAAGTGCCAATATCTCCAAAACTATCAATATCTTAAAAATGTCATATATAACCAATAAAAAGTACTTCATTTTTGCCCATTCGAACGAACCGGAAAAATCAATATTAACTAAGATAATTATTGTGATATATTCTGGTCAGTCATGAGGTGCTGGACTATCAGAGCCCTCCAATATAAAGGATGAAGTTGAGTTTTGGCACACCCTGTATATGAATTCTGTGATGCAGGCGCGTTCAAAGGAAATATAAAAAAATATTGGAAAATTTGTATAGAATATCCCGCGTCAAATACGGCCGTTTCAAAATAACATTAACATTGAATTAAGTTTAATCATCGCGATAATAGTACATCCGACTTCAATATATTATGTAATATTATGTCACCTCTATAAACTGATCAAAATTTTAATAGCCTATATAGGTGAAAGATGAGATAAGCAAAAGACGAGCCCGTGAGTTTTGTTCAGTTTTGTGTTTGTGCAGTTCTACGCTAGACATCGGTCAGTCGGTATCTACATTTTCGTGCAACAGTTCCCGCAGAAAATTTTCAATTACGAATAGATAAATTTAAACCGGCTGGAGGTTAGAACACATTGATAACGTCATCGTGAGTATTTTTTATTATTATTATTACCTCATTCGTATTAATATACATTTCAAGCAGTTTATACCGTTTATTTTAAAGCTACATTTTTTGTCGATATAAGCGTACGCATATCATTTGAATAACGCCGATGTAACTGGTAACTCTAGGTCAATATTTATATTGTGTGAATAGGTATATTCCTACCAGATAGGTCATAATTTGATTATCTATATTGCAAGTAAGTAAATATTTACCTACTTATTATTATTGTGCTGGTTGGAAAAGACAAAGACACGTTTAAAATCAATATCGTGCATTTGGTCATATACCTACTGGATATTGCGCATACCTATTCGCGCGATTTCATCAGGATAGTCTGAATAAATACCTATATATTTTCCAGTTTTCGGGGTTAGTGGGTTGATGGTAGAGGTGTATATTTACTCAATATTTAAAGTGATATAAAAGCTTTATCACGTAATATATAGATATCATCATATTTTGATAAAATCATCTAGGTGGTATATATGTACTCATATATACATGTATATACACTGTTGAAACTTGATAGCAAATAGAGTTCCTGCACTTTGTGCTTCAGAAATCTCGATCTATACTTTTATTTATTTTTTTAGATTATTTTTTAGATTATTTTATTCTGCAATCCTCAAAGAAGTTACTGCAATTATTACTCACATTTAATAATTTTTCAATATACAGGGTCAGTCAGTTTTTCGAAGCAGGACTTCGACAGCTTAAAGAAAATACTATTTTGAAATAAAAATGTCATATAAACATATAAGCTTTCGATCATTCCGTTCCAATAAGAGTCTTCTAGTCAATTATCAAGAAATGTCAAAGCAAATAGAGTGTGCTTGAAAAATACAGTTTGATCACAAATAAATTATTTTTGGCATTTATCTCGAAATCAATATATATACAGAGTGATCCACGGTGGATGGCCTATTAGAAGTATGTGGAGAACGAAAGGACAGAACATTCTGAAAATTGGGATGCTTTGATAATTATTGAACATTCTCATACGTCTGAAATATTTTCATCGATACAGTGTTGCCACTTTCTATCAGAAAACAACTAGCAATAACTTCGTTATTTTAAATGTAGCACCCTGTACTTCATTGCATTTTTGGATTCTTCCTGAAGAGCTGATTTCATCAATGCATTACCCTTGGGGTCTAGCAGAAATGATTACAGACATATATACAGGATGTTCAAAATCGAGACTTTTCAATTAGGATTTTTTGTGTCGAAACTATTCATTGTCGATCAAAACGGCTTACATGTCCCTATCTTAGCTTTAGATTCACTATCTACTGACATTTAATTGGAACAGATACAGGGTGATCTGAATTCTGAATCTTGAAGCACCCTGTATTTTTTCCAATTGAATTCCAGTAGATAGTGAATCAAAAGTTGAGATAGGACAATGTAGGCCGTTTTGATCGATAATGAATAGTTTCGACACAAAAAAATCCTAAAATTGAAAAATCTCGATTTTGAACACCCTAAGTGTGATGCATTGATGAAATCAGCTCTTCAGGAAGAATCTGAAAATTTATATGAATGAATATAGAAGGGCAAAAAGGTTCAAATGAAACAGAGAATCAAAATTGATGTTTCATTGAAAGCAGATGCAGCACGCAGAAAAGTTCAAGAGGGTTAAATTGAGCACAACCCCCAAAAGTGTATCACCGCTGTAAATAATCGAAATCGCCTGAATGGCCCTAAATATTCAGTTTCTTAAGTGTAATAGGTATACCAATTTTCAATTCATTATTTTGAAAATTGTATAGAGGAAAACTAGAAAAATATGAAAAAAATATAAAAATTGACTCCCTGTATATCGGAAACGAAGCTCTCACGCATATTTGATGAAATTAACTTTTCTTCTTGAAAATATGTGCATGTTCTTCACCTGCCTCAAAAAACTGACTCACCCGGTATATTGAATTATATGAACAATATGTGATTCATTAAGAATGAAATTCTCTGAACTACAGACACCTCTAGAGTACAAAGTACACACCAAAATATGAAGATTTCGCCCAACGTGCCTTATAAAAATGTTGCAGAGGAAACAATTTTATTTATTTCTGGTGTTGAGTTCGCGGGAATTCGGTCGAAATGTTAAAGAAAACCAATTTTTAAATAATCGACGTTTCGAAACTTTATTGTTTCATCTTCAGGACACTAAAGTAAAAACAGGAACATATACATATTAAAATGATATTTTTAAATGAGGGGTTTTGATAAAAGCAAAATGAGTTATGTAAAATAACAATCGTGGAAAATAAAACACTTATCACACTTTACAGAACACAACATTGATAGATACTTACATTTTGGGTGGCTTTCCGAGTTTAAAAATAGTGAAATAAATAAAATCGACATAAATAAGTATAAATACGTACACATAGGTTCATGAAAGACCTTAACACAGACACGAACAAACTGAACTGTCGTAGAATTGACTTCAATTCTGTTAGTATTATAGGACAACAGACAATATTGAAAAAAAGACTCTTGAACGAAATGATTGAAATAACAAAACATGGAACAAAATGTGTTAACAAAAGATCTCTCATATTTCAATTTAATAGAAAAAATCAAACAAGAATCATCAGCACGCGACTTTTTCCAATCCCGATTATTATCTCTTTCACGAGCCTTTTTTGCAATATAAAGAAACGATTCAACGACAGTTCAGTTTGTTCATTCCTTCATGTTCGTGTCTGTGTTAAGGTCTTTCATGAACCTGTGTGTACGTACTTATACTTTATGTCGATTTTATTTATTTCACTATTTTCAAACTCGGAAAGCCAGCCTAAGTATCTATCAATGTTGTTTTCTGTAAAGTGTGATAAGTATTTTATTTTCAACGATTGTTATTTCACATAACTTATTTTGCTTTTATCAAAACCCCTCATTTTGAAATATCATTTTAATATGTATGTTCTTGTTTTTACTTCAGTGTCCTGAAGATGAAACAATAAAGTTTCGAAACGTCGACAATTTAAAAATTGGTTTTCTTCAACATTTCGACCGAATTCCCGCCAACTCAACACCAGAAATCATATTCAACGGTCGCCATTCTTTTCAACTATACAATTTCATTTATAATTTCTCCAAAACTATAACTGGTTGAAATTCTGTTTGTTGTTGGCGTTGTTAGTAATTGTCATTATTGATTTCTGTCTTTTTTTCCACTGTCACTTTGCTAGCTTTATATAAATTGAATTAATAAAAATGCCAAGAGTGAAACACAAACCTCGTTGAGAGCGAATAATGCAAAAACCGTTAGAGCTAGACGATTTGAAAGAGTACATTTATTAGGTGAAACTAAACGATGTTCCTAATATTTTACTTATTTTTGATCATTATTCAATGGACAAAGACGATATAATATGATGTAATCTACCTCTAGCCACTAACGCCTTCTATGAGCAATCACAAAATGAGTTTCAAATTCGTATTTCTCATGTCAGAAAACCTGAAACTACAAAATTTCATGTTCATGCTGTTAAAACTTACAAAGTTCAGGAGAAATTTTAATATAGTCTTCCCCTTGAGCACCCTGTATCTCCTAAACCAGCGACATTCTTTTTTTAGTCCTGTTAGGCAGATCATCATATTTTTCTGTTAACTATTTGTAGTTCAGAGATCGTCCATTCTTAATGAATCACCTAGCTGTATATACAGGGTGATTCAGGTTTTAGGGCAAAAACTGAAATGGAAGATAGATCCCATCATTTCAATCAAAAAAGTTGATATAAACATTAGTCCGACCTCGTTCAGTAGCGGAGCTAGTTTTATTATTATTTTTTTCTATAAATTGAAATATCTCGCCTACTTTTCAAGATATCATTCTGAAATTTGGTGTGGTCAAAACTTTCTAGAAGATCATCATTTCAAGCCATTTAAAAATTTTCAAAATCTACAGGGTGATACGTTTTTTTTCTTCAATTTTTTCGAGAAACGAACCTTTTTTGAGATAAATAAGCATATACGTTCCAAAACATGTTGATTTTGCATATGTTTAGCTTAAATTTTATTCTTTGACAAAATTCGTTGAAAATGCAATGAGATGTACTCACTAAAATTGCAACGAGGAGTCCGATATGGATCAGTAACGGAGATTCGAAGGGTAGAAAGTCAATTTTTTTTCAGTTTTTTCCTCAAATGATCTATCTATATGTTGAGTGCACGATTATTGTTCATCAATATAAACACCTAAACATTTTGTTACATTTGTATATTCAATGAATTTGTTATCGAAACATATTGGGGTATTATTCAATATGTCAGTTGTTCTTTTTGAGATGTTACCTACATATACGTAGATTTATAATAATTAATAAGAGTCAAAACCTATTATTGGTCGTTAGCCAAGATGATATTTGTATCGAATCATTTTTAATATCATTATATTGATATCGTTGGAATCTTCTGAAGTATAGATTATCGCTGTATCAGTTAAGTGCATTTTTTCAAATTTCATGAAAATATCTTGAACAGTATTGAAGTTGTGATAAGAAAACGATTTTTTTTTCAAATTTCAACACCCTATATATATATAGCTCGAAAGTTGAGAGGTTTTCTTATCAAAATTAGCTAAGGAACCATATACAGCGTGTCATATTTCAAACGCCCCCCCCCCCCCCCCCCTCTATATATATCTCAGCTATCAGTCGTGTGATTTTTTCAAAATTTGTATGGGTATGAATGATCATCGATATGACCAGTTCTTCAGAGAAAACATAATTTTAGACAGTGCCGTGCATTTTCATTGAAATGAATAGGGGTCAGTTTTTTATTAAATCATATTAGGCATTTTTTCACAGGAAAACTGACCTCGTAATATTGTTTTTCATGGTTTCAAACCCACATAGGTGGATTTTCATAAAATGCCTATGAGGGGTTTCCGAAAAACAGGCACACCTAAACAGCATTTTAGCGAACGTAATAATTATCTACTCGGAAACGGTATGAGTTCAACATAAAAAAGTATAACTCGCATAACTAGCATGAGGAACAATAATATGAGGCTAGATTTCCTGTAAAAAAATGCCTAATATGATTTTATGAAAATTCGACCTTTTTTTAGTTCAATAAAAACGCACGGCACTGTCCAAAATAATGTGCATCTCTGTAAAACTGATCATATTGATGGTGATTCATACCACACCAAATTTGGTTGGAATTGCATGACTAATAATTGAGATATAGAGGGGAGGCCGTTTAAAGTGAGACACGCTGTATATTTAGCAATCACTCAAATCACAGATTCTGAATAAATATAACATACATTTTATCATAATGCATCGTCACTAAATGGATAAACCTAAGTATAGTTCATGGAAAAATATATCAAATACAGATGAATTTCAGGTAAAAATTGACTTTGGTTTTTGTACATGGCAGTGATGTTTATATTTTATATTAAAAATTTTATTCGAATATTTTGACGTTTCATTCGGCGCCTCCTAGTTTTTCTCTACCCAGTCTGCCGCTGAGAACTTAATTTTTCAAAGGTAAAGAATGTCTTCCGAAAAGGAAATTGAAGTCCAAACAACAGCCGTGGAGAACCTCAAACTGGAAAATGGCGACGCACAACCTCCACCATCCCCCTCCAATGTCACCTTCGAGGAAAATTTCAAGATTTTCGCGAAATTCGGCGATCCCAAATCGGACGGAAAACAGATCACCCTGTCCAACAGCGACAAATGGATGAAGCAAGCGAAAATCATCGATGGCAAGAAAATCACCACGACCGATACCGGCATTTATTTCAAGAAGCTGAAGTCGCTCAAGGTTGGCATCGTACAGTATAAACAGTTCTTGGAGGATTTAGCGAAGAACAAAAAGGTGGAGGTGTCCGAAATTTTGGAGAAGCTGAGGACTTGCGGAACACCAGGCCATCATGGTGTGGGAGTAAGTTTTTTCATCATCGAACCACTATTAGTAGGTACCTAATCTTCCTATAGTTCTCCTATTACACAGGGAGAAACAAATTGAGGTATTTTTTAACCCTCAAATACTTGACATCGCCTAGAAAAATTGACCAGCATTCAGTGTGACATTTTCTTGACAAACTGTTTTTTGATTCACGTCAATATCTGCTTTGTAGTTGAAGATAAGAATGCAAAGGAAGTAGGTATACGTGTTGCTGATTTTCAATTTTATCAACAATCCAGAACATAACACCATCTTATCGAAAAGCACAAGCAAACATCCGAGAATTATTTGTGCGTTTTGATTGCCACCTATCATATTCTTTCACTTCCTTTTTAACTTTCTTTCACAATATACAAGAAATATTACTAATTCTTAAAACATGTAGGTAATTCTACAATAACATGAACTGCTTGAACTAACGTTATTTTTACAAAACTTTTGTTATTCAGTTTTTTTATTCAATTTTAAATCTTAATATCGTAGCTGGAGCAATTCACTGAAGGTTTATTGATAGTCACACTTATTTTTGGTCAGTAATATTTCTTTTACCTTTACATCAGTGATGGGCAAAAGTGTGGAACCAAGCGAATAGTAACATTTTGAGGAATAATGAATTGAACCTAAGTTGTGTTATTTCGTAAACTCGAATTAAAAAAAAAAGTTATCTTCAAATTATATATGCTCGTAATTGACCATATTCAACTTGGAAATGGTCAGGCATTTTGTTCTATTCGCCGGCAGCAGTTATACTGTCAAATATTTGTCAATGTGAATAATAACTATTTTGAAAAAGGTCTAAGAAGTTGTTGTTGCTCTTATTTTCATTAATTAAAAACTCAAAAGACTCTGATTTGATAGAAATACAATAATTTTGAAAGTGGCGCCGATATTATTCACATTTGACATTAGATACCTTGTTGCCAACCTCACAAAACGAAATGTCTAACTATTGAAAATATGGTAAATTAATAGAGAATTGAAATATTTTTTGTACTACTGTTGAACCAAATAAGAGTGCAAAAAGTAGCAACTTTTTGCACGATCGTAAAAGTAATTCACATAAAAAAATGAAGGAACCGAATTAAATGTCACGTCAAAGCTTCTGGACAGAAAATATCCTTCAGCAGTATTTTTTTTCATATTCGGGTTAGCACTAAATTAAATCCAAATTATGCTCTCTTGGAACACCGTGTGTACCTGAGTAGATAGGGAAAGAGGTAGTTGCAATCTTCTGGAACTTCCGGAGGTTGAAAGTTCTTGGGAGTAATTTCAAGGCAAAAAATCGCAAGTCGCAAGAGTTTACTGAGTTGACCAATTATAATATGGAGTGTAGGCACAGCTTACGGGTATGGGTATAGTTTTATTCTAGGAAAGATGGAAATTAGCTTTTGGTATCGATTGGAGAGCATAGGGTAGGGTTCTCAGTTTTCTATAAATAGAAATTACCTAATCTTATATTCATCTAGTGCTATAATTCCATTAAATAACCTTCATCTACATACAGAGGGTTGGGATAAAGTATCGAACCAAGTAAATATCTCTGAAACGAAAACGACGAATTTTATGAAACTTCGCAGTCAAGTACAATGATACACTAAGATGCATCTGATGTGATTGTTTTTGTTAATAAATGTACTTCCGGTTTAACCGGAGATGCACTCAATTTTTAAAATTATTCAAATATGGACCACCCTGTATTTTCTTGCAAATTCTGATAGATCTCAATATTTCGAATTCGTACATACTGGGTTTGGTGGTAATAATTAATACAGGTTGATTTACGTAGGCCACACTTTAGTAGTTTTTCCAGTTGCAGTTGGATTAAATCTTGCGAGATTTTTATGCTTCTATAATTGATAATTTCCAATCTAACTGAAATATTTTCAGTTCCCCAGCTATACAGGGTATGCCAAAAGTCGAGACCGCACCTTTCTATTTAAATGGAAACCTAACATTTTTTCACATGGTTCGGTGTGGTTCGGTTGGCCATCTCATGCTGAGTTTATACAACCTAATTTATGTCTATCATCTATCACAGTTTTCTAGATATGTCGATTTTTCTGAAAATAATTACCGCCGCAAAAACGTTTGATGGCTCAAAATACTTACATACTACATAGAGTGATTCATTGGGAAATGCGCATACAGTGAGGTTGGATGGGGGACATCGAAGTGCTTCTCATGGGTCTATCATTCTTTATAACCGAGATACAGGGTGATATATTGATTTCCTCCATTTTTTCAATTAATCATAACTTATGAACCACCCTATACAATTTTTTGATTTTTGGTTTGTTTGTTCTTTGTCCACAGTGGTGCCGATTGACATAATGAAAAATTGTTTTATTCCAGGACCGGCCTTGAAAAAAATTGATGAGTAGGTTTCGAGTCGAAACAACACCCTGTATATCAATATTTCAGAATCTCATTTACAAACTTGAAGAGCAGGAAAATATAAGAGGAACTGAATGTATTTAGTGTTACCGCATACAACTTTTTCACCTATTAACTTGAATCAAATCTAGAGGTTTCAATAATGAGGTGTCACAAAATTTAAAATTTGTGGTCCTAAATGGTGCTTTACCATTTTTATAATCGCCTATGGCACATGCTGCAAACTTCATTCTCGTAGGAAATCACTATCCTTCTGTGCTCGTTAAACAATAAACTATTTTCATTGAATTATCAAATAGTATAATATTTCATCTCACCCATAATTGCAGGAAGAGCCTGATTAATTCTTTACCAACAGAATCACATTCAAAAAAACTTCTCGTTGTGACTTATTCTATTAAAATATAATACCGGGTGACCAGTTATATTCAGACCCATTTCAAATGCTCATATCTCTGAAACCATTCGAGTTATCGTTCTGCGGTTTGGACTAGTCTATTTTGATGTTTTTCAAGTTTTTTTGACGTGTTCATCTTCTCACTTGAACTTCTGGTTCTACCGGAAACAAACAAGCAATAATCCAGGAATAGGGCAACTTTTTCATTTCATTGAATCAGTCTGTGTATTTTTGCACATTCAGAAGGACTGGTCTTTTCTCCATCTAACAATGTATTACAAGTTATGTTCTCCTAGAAAACTATTAGAGTTATAACTCTTTGAAACAACTACTGCTTGTGGAATGGTTCAATGAGATTATGCAATGTTATCAAAGTTGCCCTATACCTGAATAATGGCTTGTTTGTTTCCGGTAGAACCAGAAGTTCAGGTGAGAAGGTGAACCAGTCAAAAAACTTGAAGGATATCAAAATAGAGAAGTCCAAACCGCACAACAATAATTTGAATAGTTTCGGAGATATGAACAGTTGAAATGGGTCAGAATATAACTGGTCACCCGGTATAATAATAGCTCAAAGAGCAATATTTGTCTGGAGCAATGAAATCAAGATTGATACTTCGGCGGCCTCTATAGCGCCAAAACTACTCATTACATCAGTTTGGTGTTTGGGCAATTTGTTTAGAATGCCTTGGACTATAACATATAAAAAATTCAGCCATTTCGACAGGAGGCCAATTTTCCCTATAAAACGTGCGGTATCCTTTGCAAAAAAATACAGGGTGTTCCATTTAAATTATAGAAGGTGAGTGTATTTCCGTTCAAACCGGAAGTACATTATCAACAAAAACAATCACATCAGATGCCTCTTGTGTCATTGTACTTGACTGCAAAGTTTCATAAACTTTGTACATTCCGTTTCAAAGATATTAATTAACTTGGTTCCATATACTTCATACCAACCCTGTTTTCAGGCCTCAAGCCATACCACCGCTATTAACTATTTTGAAAAACAAAAAAGCGAATGAAATTACTTATTAATTAATACTATTTGCAGACTCTTATCATTACTGTTTAGAATTTCAGCTTTACCGTCAGCAATAACTGTCTACCTTTGTTTTAATGGCACCATAAATGTTTTCTCATTTTTTTTCTGTTCGAGATTTTTTTTGTATACAATGATGAACGATTATGACAAGTTGATTTTTGGATGAAAAATAAATGCTCGGTTCACAAGAATGTGAATTATAATATAGTTCAAGGTTCACTTTCTATTCAACATCAGAATAAATTGAAAATAAATCTTTTGATATAGATCTCATCATAGGGAGATATCGCACAAATCAATGTTGGCTAAATTGATTTCCTTCCATTTAGCCGACATTGGTTTGAATTTTTCTCTCATTATAATATCATTTATATTCATATTTATTTCTAGAATGTGAAAGCGACAGGCACAGTCGACAGACTGACTGATACTTCCAAATATACAGGCACGCACAAACAAAGGTTCGACGATACAGGAAAAGGCAAAGGGATAACAGGAAGGAAAGACTTGCCAGATGGTTCTGGATATGTGACGGGATACCAGAACAAGGATACCTTCGGAAAAACTGAAAAATAATGGATAACTATGACCTTCCTTATTTCTACATTCTCCAGATTTACATGGTCGTGTCACCCTGTGTATTTTTTTCTATCATATACTCGAGAATAATTGTGAGACCAAGATTAAATATTATTTGTACCTAAATGTTATAGTTATAAGTAGCTTTGTGTATATCGATAATTTTGAGCAATACATGTGTACCTATATTTATATGTTAAGCATCCACTTTTCCGAAGTTATCAACACACATAGAAAACAACCGTATATTTATAGGTATTCTTCCATTTCATTGCCATGATATATAAATCTATTTCAACTTCCAGAATGATAAATATATTTTGGAGAATACTCTTTATATCAAATATAAAATTTAAGATGAGGAAAAAATATAATTGTTATAGTTTATATTACTTTGTTTTGTAAATATCAAGAATGATATGTGGGATATTATAGTATTCTAGTAATATTAGTTTATGAATTCTTTCGCTCCCTCCTTTTTCCACTTTTGGCATCTCATTTCAAGTAAAACAAATCAGAGTGGAGAGCTTTGTATTTTCCCGTTCCCCGTTAATCAACTTATCATAATTATCTATGTAAGAAATTATCAAGAGGAAACTGTAATACATTTCGGAAAAAGAAAGACTTAAAAATTTCAGCAGAATCATGACCACCAGAATCATCTTTTGTTTGATCATACGTTCATTTATCAGATAATTGAACTCTTGTTTGGGTTTAATGGATACTTAATCACACTGGTTTGGGCCAAAAATATTTAAAATTTGAATTTGATGGATTTCACTTCATCCGTGAATGTTGATTTATGGAAAACCAGAAATATTTTCACATTTAACATATTTTTGCATTTTCATCTCAACTGGATGATCAAGATTTTGGTTAAAATTTTTCTCCAATTGAAATGAGAACTAGTTACTACTTGCTAACTTCGTGAGCAAGTCAGTATTGATAGTCAACGCCCAGTAACGATAACAGTGCATTTTTTTCACTAGGTGTTATTTTTTCCAAGCCGTTGATTTATAAGTGATTGCATGGAAACTGATATGAAATATCTATATGTTTTTATTTGTTTGAATAGACCACTTTTCCGCTCTCATTTTAATGTGGGAAACCGGAGTCTGACTTCATTGGAAAACATTTTAGTCCCTGCAATTAATTTGCAGAATGCTATAAATTGCACGTTCAATATTAATAATAATTAATTTGTTGATATGTATTTAATAATAAATATATTTTTTGTTAACTTTTCGGGTTTTTCCGCACGCCAGTAGAAAAATAGTGTACCAAAACGTCCGGACACTTTTACGCACGCGATTGCAGATGGCTGAACGGCGCGTCAGCAAAAGTACTATTATGTACTATGTCCAAGATAAGGATGTCTATCGTGGGGTAAAGTTGATGATGCTTTCTCCAAGACGAAACATCGTACGGAAAAGCTCTCGACACTGTTTTGTAGAGCTTGAAAAGTGGCAATAAGAAAGTTTTTTTTCTATATAGGTATCTTCAAATAACGTCAGAAAAAAAAATAAAATCGATAATATCCTCTTCTTGGACACAGTGTATATTGACTCTGCCATTTCTTGACACAGTTTATTGTACTTGGAATTTTTTTTCAGTGGAAAATATCGTTTTTATTTTTAAAATTTGTACAAGCCAAGGGTCATATCGCCCCAATATGTCACAAGAAGAATGAAAGCAGTGGAGGACATTCTGCAAGAGGTAATTTGGTTCAGAATTACATCGAAGCCAGTTTTGATTCAGAGCAAAACTATTCATCTTGAAGGATGGGAATTCAATTAACAGTCCATATATTATCGATGTCAGTATTGAGAACAGGTTTTATAAGTTTCAGCTTGATTCGGGAGCTAGCATATCTGTGATGTCAGAAAATTTTTGGAAACAAAATTTTAAAAACTATATAATTCTTCCAAGCACGAAAAAGTTGAATGTCTATGATGGTAGTATTATGCAAACTCTCGGATATGTTAAATTCCTGATTTCATATATATTGTGAATTCGCTCAATATTCATATTATCAGGAATGGTGGACCTCCTATTCTGGGTAGGGATTTTATGGAGTTGTATAATTTTACCATTAATTCTATTCATTATCTCACTGACAAAGAGGTCATGATGAATACTTAAATTATTTCATAAGTATGCAGGAGTATTTTCACCTGAATTGGGTACATTTAACAAAGGAGTCATTAAATTGAAATAAGGTGGAAGAAGAATTAGACAATTTAGTGAAATCAAATATTATTAAACCAGTTGATTATTCACCTTGGGCTTCACCAATCGTTCCAGTTTTAAAAAAATGGTAAAGTGAGAATCTGTGGTGATTTCAAGATCACAATAAATCCTCTACTGGAAATTGATCAGCATCCTTTGCCAAGAATTGAGGATCTTTTTTCCAAATTACAGAGTGAATTACAAATTGATTTATCTCAGGCATATAATCAAATTTGTTTAGACGAGAGTTCCAAAGAGTTTTGCGTATCTTACACTAACAATATCTGTCTTAGTTTTCGGAATATTGATCAAAATGGTAACATGTTTAACAAGGATAAATCAACTCCTACACGGCAAACGCTATTTGACGACGACGTGAGTCATTTTGACATCGATAAAAAAAGATACACTTTTTTTATCGCTGATAAACTGCCTGCTCCTTCGATCTAGTAGCTATTTGATTGATGGGTATGGTTCACGCGTAAATTAGCAAGATGAGCCGTTTTAGGAAAATTTCGTCTGAAGAAATCACGAAAATATGAGAAAAGTAATCATTATTGTTGTTTATTTTTTATATTGTTGATTTATCTTGCCAAAAAACACTCGAACTTTTTTTTAATTGGATACATTTCCTTACTAACTCGAACATTTTCCATCAGTTATTTCTCTCGACATTAGACAAAATTTCTCGACCTACGGTTTGTGTGTTTAGAACATACCGAAAACCTATAATTTCCATCTACCCAACATATGGCCGATATTTACCAATGGCAGACAATTAATCCGCAATAATTCATTTCACATATTTCCCACGGGCCATATGCATAGTGACATATGGTGAGATAGATAAACAATCCCTTATCTGCACCACTTCACCTGAAATGAAATAATAAAGCGTTAAAGTGGAAAATCAGAAATCAAATAACTGATAACAGGGTTGAATAAGTTATAGGTATATAAATGTCCGTATCCTGTTCCTCCCGGTAATTCGAAAATGGGAATGACAGGCGGTGATGGAGGGTGACAGATCCGGAAGGAGAGACCAGAAGAGAGTGTACAAAGTGAAACTGAGAAGGTCCAAGGCGAATGCTAGAGAGAGGAATCGGATGCATGGATTGAATGCAGCTTTGGATACACTTAGAGGGTAAGACGGAAATATGTTAACTACAAGAAGACAATATGATTTTCAGGTATACAGATTTGAAAAATTCTAGGCGCTGTCACTGTAGGAGATACGGTTGTAGTGGGAACAATTGATGAATTTTATGATCATTTTCGTTTTTGATATCATTGACAAAACTGAATTGTCGACTTATTCAATTTGCTTCCGACTCTATTATTGGACATATAACATATAATGAAACTAGGCAGTTTGGATTTCTCGAGACCTGAAAATTGGTGCTAGTGTTCACTTTTTTATATTCGACATCAATTTTTTTCGTACCCTTTTCAAAGTCGTAAATCCTGCAAATTGGCATCTATAATATCAGTAGTTTTTTTCATCATCAAATTAGAAATATACCAAATCATCACAGTCTCCAAAACTCCACTTGAAATTGTCAATTTTTTGCCATTGTCCGAATAGTAACTCTTTGGATTATTCATACTTTCTTCCTGATGCGGATGATCTCGCATTTTGCATTTCGTGTTGAAAAACATTTTCTGAGTTTCAAAAAATGTTAAATTGATTGATTGATCATCTTTAATACCCCAAGAAACATTATTGTTTATAACAGGGATATATGCAACAAAACATACATATAACATTATAAATCGAAACCATAATAATTGCACAATTATTGTTTTTCATAAAAAAATTATTATAAAATATAAAATGAAAATATTATAATCCATTTCAAGTAATCAAATTGTGAATGATTATTAGATATGGAATTAATAAAGCTCGAATTAAAGTCTACTGAACAGATATTTCTTTAATTGATTTCAAATTTTTCTGTTTCTTCTATATTTTTCAACTCATCAGGTAAGGAGTTATATAAAATTATAAATTATAAATATTGATTGTTTACCAAAATTTGACTTATAATTATTTGCTACCAATAAATTGAATTGCCTTGTTTCACGGGCGTGAATCGTATTAACTAACTTCATTAAAATTCAAATTTGAAATTTTCAATTCTTTCCTGACAAAATGAATGAAACGACAAATTTTGAGTTTATAGAATGAAACTAGATTCAGCAAGTCTTTAGGTTTGTATAGATTTACAGTTGATTCTAAAAAAGGTAAATTGAAAATGCACTTTATTGTTTTATTTTGCAATTTCATGAGTGGCTTCAAACGTGAAATATTTGTACTTCCCCAAGTAGATATAAGATATTGTAAATTTGAATAAAAAAGACAGAAATAAATACTCTTTAGAGATCTAACAGGAATAAAATTTCGAATTTTATATATAATATCAGCAATAGTATTAAATTTTTTCCACAAATGATCTATATGTAGAGTCCACGATAATTGTTCATCAATATAAAGACCTAAAAATTTTGTTAGGTTTGTATATTCAATGGATTTGTTATTGAAACATATTGGGGTAATATTCAATATATCCGTTGTTCTTCTTGATATGTACATATTTATGTACATTTACTATAATTAAGAGTCGTTAGCCAAAATGATATCTGTTTCAAATCATTTTTAATATCATTATTGATATCATTAAAATCTTTTGAATTATAGATTATTGTTGTATCATCTGCAAATAATTTTCCTTTTCCTTTTAATTTTAAAGTAGATATTGAGTTAATGTAAATTAAAAATACAATTGGTCCCAAAACTGACCCTTGTGGTACACCACATGTAATATTCATCAAGGAACTACAAGTATTATTCACATCATTATACTGTTTTCTATTCTTCAGATAATTCTGAAACCAATCATGAATTCTTCCTCTGACACCTATTGGTGATAATTCAGTCAATAAAATATTATGATTTACAGTTTCAAAGGTCTTACAAAGATCCAATGACAGAATGCCGCATTTGTGATTGTCATCTATTCGTAAATGAATATCTGAAATGACATCCATCACAACTACCTCTGTGTGTTTTGACCTACGAAATCCATATTGTTCACTAAACAATAGGCCATTATGTTCAAGATAATTTATTAGACGGTTATTCATAATTTTTTCTAAAATTTTGGAAAAAGATCGGGAGAACAGAAATTGGACCATAATTATTTAAATCATCTTTCTTCCCATTTTTGTGAATTGGTAAAACTTTAGCAATTTTCATTTTGAGTTTTGGGAGATTCGGAAATTATTATATGTGATGGACACGACCCAAGCCTGATTTGTTGATTATAAATATAAAAAAAGTACCTCATGATGTATCACCCTTTATATAAAACTGTCAAGTCTTGTTCATGTGAAAATTAATATGATCTATAATATAGATCGTCGACAAAAATATGGTATTATTAGGAGAGCCAGCTGCAGATTTTTACCGTCATCTGATAACGAAATGATATTATGTCCCAAAGGAATGTAAAAACATTGTAGTTCATCGAACGGCATCTGTGCCAATCACTATTCTGAGCAAAATGATTAAAAATAGCACTTTCCTGTGCGGAAATTTGCACGATTTGATAACGAGATAAGAATTATGCGATATATATAAAAATTGCCACCCCTTAGTCTGAGCCAAATCCATGACACAACGATTTATTTGCTGCTATTATTCCGGATATACTTTCGTCATGTGATAACGAATTGGTAAACAACAAGCAAATTGAAGGGGAAAATGCCCCTCTTGCGAATATCCAATCGTGCCGCGATTCAAACTGATCTCTAAGTTGGTGACAGAGCGTTAATATTTCCGTAAATACCCTCGTCAAAAGATAATATCCGATGGACCAGTGTGGAACTCATGTGGTACTCACACTACAAGTATTCTAATCTACATGTTTAGTTTTACACTGGTCCATCGGATATTATCTTTAGAGGGGGGGCGAAATGCTGTGAAATTGTACAATTCACTTGATTCCTCCATCAAAATTGATGTTATTTATTCTTTCAAAAAACGTCTCAACTTACATTTATTGTTGGAACAAAATGCTATTTGAGATTATATCAAATTATAATGTATCATAGATTTAATTGCAAGTTATCTTCATTTAGTGATTAAAGTATAATAAGTTTGTGAATTATGCAGGGTTAGGTGTGAAAACTTCGCTCTGCCATAGGTTTGTATAGACTTTAGAACAAATAAAGACGTTTATTATTATTATTATTATTAAATATTCTGGGAAGTATTGACGCTCTGCCACTATCTTTGATCAGTTTGAATCGCGGCACGTTTGGATATTCGCAAACGCGTCATCATCCCCTTTTATTTGCTTATTGTTTCAACTATACCTTCTCACCTTCAATTTCGGAAAAAGTTATCTCGATTTCAGAATTGGTTAGTTCGATTTCAGAAATGGTAAGCTCAATTTCAGAATCGGTGAGATGAATTTCAGAAAAAGTCCATTCAATTTGAGAAATGGTAAGTAAAAAAATCCTTATATTTGTTCGAAATGTTTCCAATTGCATGTGAGATTAACAAACCATATTTACAATATTCAACTTTTCAAAAACAATTCAATACCATAATTATAATCTCAATTTAATCCACAGATGCCTTCCATCCGAATCGCTGGAAGATAATAACGTTGCACATGATTATGAAAATGCAAACACATTTGAGGTGTTATCATTTTCATTGAATGATCTGCACATTCCTCAAGACATCGCAGTCTGAATTCTATCTGGTTGAGCAAGCTGTTCGGATCCCCAGCTATGACCCATTGGCGATGCTCTTGCAAGAAGCTCTTCACTTCTGACTTGAAGGCACCCCATATATGTTCAATCTGATTCAACATAGGGCTCTCAAACACCGTTCATCTATTTTAAACAATCTTTTCTTTTGCAATTGAAAACATTTCAAACATATAAAAGGATTTCATCTTCTGAAATTGAACCTACCAATAATAATTCTGAAATACAACTTACCATTTCTGAAATTGAATGGACTTTTTCTGAAATTCATCTCACCGATTCTGAAATTGAGTTTACCATTTCTGAAATCGAACTAACCAATTCTGAAATCGAGATTACTTTCTCCGAAATATAACTCACCGATTTCGAAATTGAAGTTGAAAAGGTATAGTTATCACATGACGGAAGTATGTCCGGAATAATAGCAGCAAATAAATCGTTATGTCGTGGATTTGGCTCAGACTGAGAGGTGACACAGATGGGTTTTTGAAATCTACCATTCAATTGGTATCGGATAGCATAATTCTTACCTCGTTATCAAATCGCGAAATCGAGTGCAAATTTCCGCACAGAAAAGTGCAAACTTTCAATCATTTTGCTCTGGGTAGTGAATGGCACAGGTGCCGTTCGATAAACTACACAATGCTTTTACATGCCTTTGGAACATATAACTATTCGTTATCAGATGACGGTCGAAATTTGCAGCCGGCTATTGGACTATGTGATAATCTTGAACTTATATTTTGTGAAATATTCTCAGTATTCCCAACAAATAACGGCAATGTTGAATGTGCTGAATGAAACATGTATTATTTACAGCCATATACCAATCCACGTTACCCTCTCAGACACAAACTCAGCACCTCAGAAGCTTTCAAAGATTGAAACCCTCCGCCTTGCGAGGAACTACATCTTGGCAATGACTCAAACACTCCAAGAAGAAAAGCCAATGGAAATCTCCAGGTTCATAGGCATCCTGAGCACAGAACTGAGCCAAACCACAGCGAATCTCTTGACCAACAGCCTGCTCAATAACAGAGCAGATTATAGTAGTTGTTACCCAGACAAATATCATTTCGAAAATGAAGAATATGCGCGTTATAACCAACAATTGTATGAACAAAATAGCTATAGTTCTTATTGGCAGAATTATATGTCTTCAAATATGACCTGCAAATATAGTTTGAATCAATCCAACTCGAACTTATACAATTACAGATATTGGGGATACTGTAACAACAATCATGTTCAGGATGAGAATTGGGTATCAGATGGTGGTACTCACAAACATTTTAATTATTATGGCAACAACTGAAGTGATATTGCATAAAATGAGAATCTGTTTGTTCAACCTTTGAATATTTTTATTATAGTATTATATTTTTATTGAAATAAATGTTATAAAAAAATAATTGTTTCATTAGTATTTTTGATACAAAGGCCAGCCTTAATATTATTCGTTCTTCAGTGAAGTTTGCAATGCAGTGGTGGCTCATCCTTTTGGAAACACATGGAAACATAATTCCAGGATGACTTATTGAACGATCATACTTATAAACAATGCACAACCCCCTTAATGAAACGAAGTGAGATAACCGCGCAAATCTCTTTTCCTGAAACACGGAATATTGACACTAACCTCATTCTACGTTTTAGAAGCTACATGCCTCATTTTCAAGAATAAATCTTCATATGAAAATAACAATCGCACTACACGAAATGCATCGAATCTATCATTAGTCATTCCTAAATCCACACTGATTAAAGACTGAATAATTTACAATGGTGTCAAAATGTATAATAGACTACCTGCAGAATTAAAGAACTTGGATTCTCTTAAAACACTCAGAAAAAAACAGACATCTAAAGCCTATCATAATTTAATAGAATAGTTTAATGACGAAGCGTTCTGATATTAACGGTGCTGATATGTAATGATAATATACAGGGTGTCCCGTAAGTAATGGATCAAAATGAGTGGGGTGGTAGGGGGGTCATTAGTAATCAAACTAACCGAATATGTTGTCATCAAATTGTTGATGGTTCAAAAGTTATTCAATTTTTCTGAAAAATGCGACCTATTCGAAAAAAATTAATAACAAAAAGGCTGTTTTGAATAACCCCTATGTTATACCATTTCGGAATCTGTATTGAATGGACAACTTTTTCTTATGATTGGTTATCTGTGTGGGGTAGTTTTTAAATCTGCCAGCGGCATTTAAAAATCAACTTAAATATTTCATTTGATGACAAAATCCAAGGAAAACAAAATTTTTCTCAGGTAATTGATAAGAAGTAATACATGTCATAAAATGGAAAAGGAGCATCTATGTGGATGAAATTTGTAAAAGAAAAAATCACAAATAATGTGACATAGTTTTATTGTAATTAATTCTTTTTATTGAAATGAAAAAACATCAATAACTTGTGAACCATCAACAATTGGATAACCACATATATACGGTTAGTTTGATTGGAAATGACCCCCCTCCCCCCAACCGCCCACTTCTTTTGATTCATGAGTTATGGGACACCCTGTATGATGTGCATTTCAACGCGGATGCGATTATTTATGTATTGTTTTCATATAATTTTGTAATTTATTTTATATTTATTTGAATGTAATTATTTCTCTCTCTCGCTCTCTCTCTCTCTCTCTCTCTCCTCTTTCAAAAATTCAAAAAAAAAACGAAGGGTTGCCTTTTAAAGAGCTTCCACATAAAGTAAACACAAACATTGGTACCATTTTAGCTGTTCTTGTAGCATCTCAATATCCAACTCCGTTTTGGGAGACAATATGCATTATTTGACCTTACTTCTTATTCATATAGTTTTCATCACACTGTAATCTTAGTTTTCATGCATTCTATGAGTACTCTAGTACCGCCATATTACAGCAATATCGGACAACCCTGCCATAACGCTGCGTTGTCCGAAATATTGTTGACCTGAATCAAACGGAACATCCACCAATAGGAAGATTTAGTAAAGTTGAGATGTGTGAAAATTGCACTGGATTCATTTTCTATTCAAAATATTCCAGTTCCGAGTAGTGGTTAATTGAAGATCAATAAGGAATATCCATTTCATCCTATAGAAGAATCGCATAATACAGGATGTATCTAAATAACACCGAAAAAATTCAAGGGGTGTTTACTTGTGATATTTTAGGAAATAAAGTTCATATAAACATGTGTCCTAACTTGCTTCGTTTTCGAGATACAGGGTATTATTATTTCAATGAAAAATCTTGTTACTATTCATATCTCAATTGTATTTTCATCAATATCATTAAAACGTTGTGGTTTTGTTAAAAGTGATATGGAGAGCTTCTTCTAGTGCAATTAGATTCGAAATAATATTTCCAGTGGCGTTACATTCGGTAAATTCATCCATATTCATAGTGAATGTCATTGTGCACCACCGGTTTTTCTGAGTTTCATATTTTTATTAGATCGAACTATTGAAATAAAACATTTTTTATCCTCTGTGTGATTTTTGTATGTAGCTTAGTTTTTGAAGAAACAATAAAAATTCGACTTGACTCCAATGTTTTAATGTAGGTATTTTCAAGACTTCCATTGAGATTACTCAATAGTCCCAATCAGAATCGTTTTGAAATTTCGGGGCTTTCTTAGTCTCCATCCATACTGAATTTTGGCACCATGAAAGCTTATACAGGGGGGTTATAAATAAAAACAATTGATACTTCCAACTTCAACATTCTGTATCTCAAAAATGAGTAAGTAAGGACAGATGTTTATATGAACTTTATCTGCTAGAATGTCACAAGGAAACACTCCTTGAATTTTTTCGGTATTATATAGATACACCCTGTATACAGTGCTTTTGTTAACTACTTAATAAATTCATTTTATGCAAAACTATCCATTTCCATGAAGAATCTGAAACAGGTCGATTTTTATTTTCAATTTTCCACATTTATAAGTGAAAACTATATATACAGGGTGATCCACACGTTTGAGTTATGACGACCGCGACAATTTTTTTTCAATGGAACACCTTATATATTATTCAATATTTGAAATCTCCATGAAAATTTTAATTCGAAAATATATTACACATAGGGTTTGTATATAACGTGTCTGTTGAATGTGCTGTCGTGAAGTAGGGAATAAATTCATTTAAAGCCAAACTATTCATTTCTGAGGAATCTCCTGAAACAGGTCGATTTTTATTTTGAGTTTCCCACATTAATAATCCTAATTGAATATACAGGGTGATTCACGATTGAGTTATGACGTCCGCGACAATTTTTTTATGAAACATCCAACAAATTATTAGATTTTTGAAATTTCCATGAAAAGCTTAATTCACAAATACATTTTTGAGTTCAGCTTTCCATGGTTATTCGAAAATAAAGTAATATATAGGGTGCTCCATTTAAAAAAAATATGATCGTCATAAGTCGAACGTGGATCATCCTGTATATTCAATTTTCTCAAACAATTGTGGCAAATTAAAAATAAAAATCGACCTAATTCAGGAGATTCCTCAACAACGGATGATTTGGCTGAAAATGAATTTATTCAGTACTTTACGAAAGCACTGTATATTATTGTACTTTGAGGGGACCAAATATCGGAGAGAACAAACAGCGTGGTGCTACACGGTTTCTATATATGATCGGCACTACACTGTTTTACCACTAACCAAACCGATTTTTTAACGCCTGGACACGTGTTTCGCCAACTATGTTAGCAATTTTTAGAACAAAATCTTCAGGAGAAGATTAAAACTAAATATCCTATTCTAGTGTGCTGCTTATATACTAGGTATATGTTCACAGTTGGGTAAACACAGCACAGCACACTAGAATAGGATATTTAGTTTTAATCTTCTCCTGAAGATGCTAACATAGTTGGCGAAACACGTGTCGAGGCGTTAAAAAATCGGTTTGGTTAGTGAAACACGTGTCGAGGCGTTAAAAAATCGGGTTGGTTAGTGGTAAAACAGTGTAGTGTATTATCGTGCCAAAGGTTCCAGTCTTCGATATATATGATCGGGATAAAAAAAGATACAGCCACGTTCACTTCACTGAATTTCCTTCGATGAGAATTAACGTTAATTCACGTCAAAAGCTCGGTACATGAAGGAAATATTATAGTTGAAATTAGAGGCAGAGGCACGGCACAATAATCTAGTAGGAATATTTTAAAATTGAAGGAGGGCAATATCTCTTAACAAATAATGTAGGAAAGGTACTTGGATATCTTGCAACTACCTACCAAACTTACTGAGTCCCGTCGTAAGTTACAATAAGTAGAGCATTTTCAGCCATTTGAATTTGCATTTGAATAAGCACCACAATGTGAATGCATTCCTCAAAAACCGCGTAGAAATTTCAAAACATATCCAATTTTCTACACAAATATTTGGAGAAACTATCAAAATAAACTCGAATTTATTCACGTTTCAGTCTCTTTAGAATCCTACCCGCACAAAGTTAAACTGAAATAACAATTGAAAGTAATATTGATTGCACCATAAAACTCAAAATATTTATATTAATCTTAAAAATATATCACCTATTGAACTGCATAAGTGACAACATATACTATGTTTTCAACCTTCTTTTGAGAGCTAGTCTCGAACTCCTCCTGAAAGGCGATTCTTCTTCAATATCCTTCCACATTTCTTCATCATCATCCAAAGGGCCGCTGTACGACCATTTTCCAACTGTACCATCCCACTGAAAGTATATTGTGAACTGATAAATTGATTATGGCATGGAAAGTAGCGAACAGGGTTGAGCAGAAGACCTGAAACAGTCCATTATCTCAGGAACCGTTGATCAGGTAATATGAAAAAATATAACAGGGTTAATGTATGTAAAATAAGTTCATTTGAAAAGAGTATAGCCATTGTTGCACATTCTCAATGAGGGATTTATCAACTGATTTGAAATATTTATTTACATAACATTTGAAACTGAACAAAATTGAAAAACACTTCCTACAGTGTGACCCACTTCTAACTGAAACACCCCTGTATCTTACGTAATCGTTGGGTAAGGATCCTGAAATTTGCTGGAGCGAGAGATATACCAAAAATGCACTCTATGACCAAGTGGGGTCATCTTCAGTGATATACACTGCTCGCCAACAGCCATGGAACCACCACAATTTCCGGAAAATGATATTAGGAGTCAAAATAGGTCGAAAATCACTTCAGATTCGGAATCAGGACGCCCAATTCCCTAACTATTCATATTTTTCCTGGAAAATTTTCAGTTCTGAAAAATTAAATTTTGTCGCACTTTTCACGGAAGCACCCCCGTATCTTACGTAATTGACTTTATCTTTGGACTCTTCTTTCCTCCTGCAAATTTCAGAACCCTACCTCAATAGTTACACGCCGACGAATGAAAATAGAATATCACAGTAGTAGCAACTGTTATCAAGTGACGTATTGTTTCCATAGCCAACTTTTCAATTTTTGGCTTTTATTTTGCTTCCACGGCCTAATACTCGGTGAATTTCAATGATAATTTTTTTCTGATCTAGTTTCTGGTTAGATACCAACTTGTGATATGTCATTGAAAAGGAAATTGAATGCTGAATAAATCGAAAAGAAAAAAAATAGGGTTTCCATTTAAAATAAGAAAGTTGATGTTACTTCCGGTCAGACCGGAAGTTAACTTCAACATGTCAATATGCTCAAATTCTTATGTCATTATATCGACGCTCAAAATTTCACAAACCTACTTCATACAATAACTGAGATATTTCGTAGGCAATACTTCCGTAGCCACCCGGTATATGCGACTTTAATAATGTAACGATTTGTTGGTATCGCATTGTATATGAATAGATATATATCTTCTACATTCTCCGTTTTTCTGAAACGTACATCTGTGGTAGTACCTCGAGTTCATTAATGTGCTTGAGACTTTTTTCTGGCGTTTTTTGTAAATTAAAGTACGCAACCTCCATAAGCAGTGACAGTGAGTCATAACCACAAACGATTTTGAAGCTGAACATAGGTGCACAAAATGTCAGATGACTGACCCTGGAGGCAAAACGATCTCACTAACCTCACTTTTTTTTCTGATTATTTGTTGAATAGTTTTTCACAATTATTTTGGCATAGAATCGTGTTTCTTGGGATATTCATTCAAGTATGCCATCACATTGTACTGTTGTACAATGCACACAAAATGCAGCGTGAGACGAAGGAATAAATATTTTTCAGGTAAATTCTGAACTATAAGCACTGTACCTAGTTACTCACATTTAGAATTCCTTCTGCAATAGTAGCTAATAAAACGACTTGTAACGTTCTAAAAGAAAGCAAAAAGGTTGGATTCGTGCAATCAAATGGGTGGACTGGTCCGACTAGTCTGAAATACTGGCGAAAAATATGGTCTTGTGTGTTGAAGGCATTTAAGTAATTCTAAAGAGGAATGACATAATGACTATGGTCGTGTATGTTGTAGACATTTTCATTCTATCAGCTTCTATTGCAGAAGGAAATTCTAAAAAGATGTGACAACATTTTGAAATGAAAACTATATGACTGACTACAGTACTTATAGATCACAATTTACCTGAAAAATCTTTATTCCTTCGTCTCTTGTTGCATTTTTTGTGCATTGCACAACAGCACAATGTAATGGAATGCTTTAATAAATAAATATCCCAAGAATCACAAGTAATAGTGAAAAACTATTTCCAATCGCTCGAAAACAGATACGAAGAGTGAGGTTATTTTGTGTTAATTGACCTCTGCTAGATCTTGCACATTTGACACCTGGAGGTGAAACAAACTCACATTTCTTATGTGTTTACATAGGATTAAAGTAGTTTTTCACAATTATTTTGGCATAATTGTGTTAATTGACCTCTGCTAGATCTTGCACATTTGACACCTGGAGGTGAAACAAACTCACATTTCTTATGTGTTTACATAGGATTAAAGTAGTTTTTCACAATTATTTTGGCATAATTGTGTTAATTGACCTCTGCTAGATCTTGCACATTTGACACCTGGAGGTGAAACAAACTCACATTTCTTATGTGTTTACATAGGATTAAAGTAGTTTTTCACAATTATTTTGGCATAATATAAATCGTGTTTCTTGGGATATTTATCTATTCAAGCTTGCCATCACATTGTGCTGTTGTACAATGCACAAACAATGCAGTGAGAGACTAAGGAAAACGATTTATCAGGTAGGTAAATAATTGCTCCTGTAGTCACTCACATAGGTTTCATTTTGGAATTTCATCATTATGTTTAGAATTCTTTTTGCAATAGGAGCTAGTAGGAATACTTGTGAAGTTTTTAAAATGAGGCAAGAAGCTTGGATTCGTTCAGTCAAACGGGAGGACTGGTCTGACATGTTGACGAAATATGGTCGTGTGTGTTACATTTTCACTCAATTAGCTTCTATTGCAGAAGTAGAAGAAGGAATTCTAAAGAGAAATGGTAACAGTGACTAGAGTGACTACAGTACTTTTAGATCACAATTTTTCTGAAAAGTCGTATTCCTTCGTCTCTTGCTGCATTTTTTGTGCATTGTACAACAGCAAAAAGTGATGCATACTTCAACATTGAAATGAAGTTACGAATCATAATACAAAGTTTCTTTTTTATCTCTTAGGGCGCACGAAAGGGAATCCCTATAATATTTGGAGAACATCGTGCGCACCAAATTTTTTCAGACTACACCCTGCATAAAAACAAAATATGGAATAAAGATCATTAGCATTACTTACAGATGAGCTCAGTATCTCGTTCCTATATGGATGCCAGTCAACATCTCTCACACAAGCGCACTGCCCATCCAATGTTGTTACAACCTCACCCGTCAACGAATCATACACTGAAAAATCATTTCTATTTGGAACACGAGAATTTTATATTCTGGATAAATCTTACCGACTACTCGTCCAATTCCACATCCTGTGTAGATATATCGCTGTCCTGAAGTATGCAATGGGGAGAACCTGCACCTTACTAGCGTTTTTATCACAACGTGGCCTTTGTACGTCATCACTGACGTGTCCCCTTCGAGTTTAGCTTTCGTAGTGAATACTGAAATAATCAAGTATTAGAAGATAAAATATTCAAAAATTTTTATGTGGCGTTTGAAACTTGAAGTAGTTTCAAAGATATAATAATGTATACTCCACTAGATCAACCCTTGCCCAACGTCCTATACAGAGCTTTGAAAGTGATGTGAAAAAGAGAAAGGACCATCAGTGTGGCTGCAAGTTCAACAAAAAACAACAACCATCAACTGGTAGTTGCTTACTATTCTGAATCCGAATATATTTTAGGATTACTTACACTTCTTTGGGACATCTTGCCACCTGTAATCCCAGGTCTGTTCTGTAACAGCCCTGAAAGACTGCTCTGCAGCATCAGATCCTGAGAATACTCTCACATCCCATAACTTAATGCTCTGATCCTGAAAATTAATGGTAACATTTATGCCTGACAAAGGAGATGTTCCATAAATCATCCTAATTCTCCCCACCACTCGTTTTCTGTTCTGTATATGCCAGCTTGATTGATTATTACTTGAAATCAAGGTTATTTATATGTTACACGGTTTCTTCACTAATGGGAGATATTGATCTACCCGAAAAACTGGCGATTTTCTCTGGTGACCTTTGTTTTCCTAGAGATTTTGAATGGATTTTCAAGGCATTCATTTGGGACTAGAAAAAAATTGAATGTAGATTTGTTTTCGTTATGCAAAGTCTATAGGAAGGTACTTTCAGGTTTTGGGGAAAGGATCAAAATTTCAACTAATCAATACTGAATTGCTCACTGCCTTCTTGTTAATAATATTGGGAATGAGACTAGTGGAATCATGCACAAAAATATTAGGTTTGCGCCAGTTGCTTTATTTCTTTCTCGAATCTTTCGAGATATGATAACGTTGAATAATTCCATGATAATAGCAAATAGTGAACACTTTCTACCTTCAAGTCAAAACGAATTGGGCAAAATAGGATATCATGTGAAATGTGTATTTATGTAAGATGCTTGTACTCCAATTTATCATTTATCCTAGGTAGCCTGGAAGAAATATAACATTATTCCAAGAAAATTGTAAGTTATCTGATATGAATTACTAATTACTAGTAGAATTTTATTGACCTTGCAACAGCAGCAAGCTCTCAAATTTTACGATACTACTATGTATAGTTAGTGAATTGGGCATCCTGATTCCGAATCCGAAGTGATTTCCAACCTATTTTGACTCCTAATATCATTTCCCGGAAATTGGGGTGGTTCCATGGCTGTTGGCGAGCAGTATATATCACTCAAGATGACTACACTTGGTCATAAAGTGCATTTTTGATATATCTCTCGCTCCAGCAAATTTGAGGATCCTTACCCAACGATCATGTTAGATACATATATATATATTCTTTGTTATCTTTTCACATATATACATTTATATGACTCGACTGCAGAAATTTTTCTGATGGCCCAAGAAAGTGTTTGGGATCACACGTTAAAAGGTAAGGCCCCCGTCATTCCTTGCTCGCACAAGACTCTCGAAGACTTCTGAGGGTTGCTCGTAAGGGGGCAACCGAATGACGGATAGAATAATTTTAGAACAATTTTAGAACAATTTAGAACAATATCGCGACCTCACTTCACTTCGTAGTTGTTTTGGGCGTCTTTCGACCAGCTACTGAATTATCATTTCTGTCTTCAAACTTCCATTGTTACTCAAAATGACATACTCTAAATTATGTTATCTCAATGTACGTTCTTTGTTCACAGGATTTAAGGAATTTTGTAAAATTGTCTTCCAGAATTTTTTTTTATTATTCGATCAACTGAAACGTGGTTGAATATTAATATATCTTAAGACACAGTCATGATTCATAATTACAGACTATTTAGATGCCATGGACCTACCAGAGGTGGTGGTGTGGTGGTATATATTCATAATTCCCTTCATCGATTTCGATATTTTCTTAGGCAAATGGCAAACAGCTTTCAAATCCATTATTTTATTTTTAGTTTTTCGAGGTTATGCTGTCGCTGTCATTTCGGAAGCCGCCAAAATTCGCCAACCATCTTTGTACATCGGTGGAATGGTTTGAAATTTTGGTTGACACAACAGTAATAAATGAACGCGTGGTTACGTCAAACTGGAATCCACCATAGAATATATGAACACAGTTGGTGGATTGATGGAGCCACCGGTGAATAAAAGAACGACACTTATTTCTGCGAATCACGCATCAAAACAGTGAATTCAGGATATGTCTTCGTTGACTAGTGGTTTACATGGTGGGAAATATAATATGGTGTGCTACTCACGTATCTTGAATACCTCTTTTCTGCGCATAACGTAATTGCGAGTCTATGCTCACACCAATAGTGACCACGGCGACTCGAGCAAATGGACGAGTTGAAAATAGCTAAAAAGTACCACTGGAAACAGGTTATTTAAATAAAATATTGATGCCATTTTTTTTCCTCATAGATTTTTGTATCATCCAGGAAGTCCCCGACTCTCAAATCGCGGGAAATTATCCAAACTCTGATGTCAACTGATTTTGAGGTTATCTCAGTTCATCATATTGGCTGCCTGTAAAGAATGACACTCATTTTTGTTGTATGTCGTGATGTTCTGTGACTACTGTCACTGTTTTTAGGATAATTCTGAGTTATTTCAAAACAAACAGTTAAAAAAAGAGCATTCAAGAATCTTCATATATTCTATTCAGTGTAGTTTATCTATGAATCAGACATTAAAGACATTCAAGAAGTACCTGTGTACCCGTGTATATACTATGTTGAGCCTTCATTATTTTTTCCAAAATGTACGGGCGTGTTTTTCATTCCATCGAAGAAAGTGCGCATTGATAGATGCGGTTTTTTGTCGTGACGTCACCAATTGTTCTGATGAAATTTATGCTGGAACGATGGAAGAATGGATTATAAAACACATTGATGGAAAAAAGGATTTCGTTGTGTCAGTCGTTATGTATCTTCAGAATTAGAAGAAGATGATACCATTTTATTGATTAAGACTTATTTCTCCATATTCTCAAATCTCTCAACAATCTCAAAATTCAAAAATTCCTCTATATTTTCAATTAACAACGAGAAACAATACGTAAAATGTGTCAATTGTCATGTCAGTCTCCTCCAAACCGCTGGATTCCCGCAAAGCGATTTGAAAGTGCGCATTTTATTACAACAGTTTGATGGATTTCCAACAACATTCCAGCGGAATTTTGCAACACTACGATGGATTCTTCGATTCATGCGCATGACAAAATGTTGGAATGAAATAGACGCCCTTCCTACCAGAAACCACTCAACTACTCATTACCTACTTGAATTCTTGAACGCTTTTATGAATAGATTTGTTTTCAATTAACCTACAAACGGTCAAAGGGGTCGCAGAACAAAACAAGGATGTATCATTCATATTATAGACAGCCAATATGATAACTGAAATAACCTAAAAATCACTTGATATCAAAGTGCCGGGGACTTCCTGGATGATACAAAAATCGATAAGGACAAAATTGGTATCAATATTTTATGAAAATATCCTGTTTTCAGTGGTAGACGTTTTTAGCTATTCTCAAGGTTGTCAATGAATTGCTGAACTCGTCCATTGATAATTGCGAGCTCAGACTGCGAGCAATTGTTCAACTCGCAGTTACGCTTACGATGATGCGTCGTAGCACACCATATTGAATTTCCACCATGGTGGTAGGTTCTGAGGATAGTAATGGAAGAAAGGTGATATAAAGTAGTATTGAGTAAAGATCGTGAACACCTATTCCCTCTCGACGAGCTCATCAGCTCACCTTGCTGTTCGATATGAGATGCCTGCCGTCCCCCTTGCTGTCGATGAACGTGACACCGTCCACGTGACCAGCTAGCACCCCCACCGGTTGTGGCGACTTCTCGTCCAGCGTCCGCCTGTCCCACACCTTGACGTGTCCGTCGTCGCCGCCGCTGTAGATGATGTGGGAAGACTCGTCGGCGAAGCACACGCTGTTCACGTCGTACTCGTGGGCGGGAATCTATCATTTAAGAAAGACATGCATTGAGAGCAGCGTTGCCAACCAGAGAATTACGAATGTCGCTACGGCACAACAAAAATTTCGCTACGCCCCGCCACGGTCGTGTCTTTTATATTTTCAATACACATAGGTCTATTTCGGACTTACAATTTGGATACCGATTGGCATTTGATTTTTTTTAATAAACAAAAAAAAAATAAAAATCATCAACTATTCTTCAACAGATCCATATACAGGGTAACTCACGGTCCATGGTACGTTAGACGTTTATGGAGAACGGGACATAGGATCATTCTGAAATTTTGGTTACTCACGTAGTTGCTCTTGGTCTATCGATCTGAAATATTTTCAGCTCTGCGGCGTTGCCGCTTCTATAGAAAAGTAGCAACAACTTTGTTATTTTAAATGGAATACCCTGTATTTTATTGCATTTTCAGATTCTCTCTGAAGAGCTGATTTCATCGATGTATCACACTTGGGGTCTAGCGGAAATGATTACAGAGATATAGGGTCTGAAAAATCGTCATTTTTCAACTCATTCATTATTGGTCAAAACGACTTACATGTTCCTATCTTAACTTTTGATTAACTATCTACTGATATTTAATTGGGACATATACCGGGTGATCAAGATTCTGAATTCTGCACCACCCTGTATTTGTTTCAATTAAATGTCAGTAGATAGTTGATCAAAAGTTGAGATAGGGACGTTTTGACCAATAATGAATAGTTTCGACAAAAAAAATTCCTAAAGTTGGAAAATGTCGATTTTTCACACCCTATATCTCTGTAATAATTTCCGCTAGACCCCAAGTCTGATACATCGATGAAATCAGCTCTTCAGAGAGGATCTGAAAATGCAATAAAATACAGGGTGTTCCATTTGAAATAACAAAGTTGTTGCTACTTTTCGATAGAAGCGGCAACGCCGCAGAGCTGAAAATATTTTAGATCGATAGACCAAGAGCAACTACGTGAGTAACCAAAATTTCAGAATGATCCTATGTCCCGTTCTCCATAAACGTCTAACGTACCATCTACCGTGAGTTACCCTGTATGTTTGCTGCTTGGCTGTATGTATATATTGATTTAATTTACATAGATTCTTATATACACTTCCACCAAAACGTCTAGTACAACATAGGAAAAGTAAACATACGTTGAATTGTTTTGTTTCCATTTGTTCAGCGTACTAAACCCCTCTCCCCATACCTACCCATACCTAACACAACTTGCTTTGCAGTCCTGGCATGACACTGTGCCGATTCTCTGTTCAAAAAGGAAGCTCAAACTTTTATTATATAGATGTCACTGGCTTTATGACAGCTCAGAGCTCATAATAATTATGATAAAAAAATCTGTTCTAGAATTTTGATTACATACACACCTCTAATAGATTTTAAATTAAAATACGCTACGTATTGCTGTCATTTTGTCCCATTGCTGCTACGCCGCTCTTGAGAGTAAATCCCGCTTCGGTTGGCATCACTGGTTGAGAGTTATCGTCATCTGAGTATACAAGAGGTCCCAGAAATAACCTAACCTGACCTAACCAGAATAAGGTTTGCATACTCTGGGAGGTAATTCTGCACATATAGATAAGAAAAAAAAAATCCTATTGTCACGAACACGGGGCCTTTCCTCCCTGGCTAGCAATCTTAGGGGGTTATGCTTTGGCAGCAAAAGGGTGACCTAACTACAACACACCGTAGCTCGGTTGTAGCAAGGAAAGAGTGTATTTCTTGTTTGGCAGAAATTGACATTTATTAAGTGATTAAAAACAGTGAGCTCAGAGATGCAATGATAAAAATAAGTTTCAGTTGAAAAAATATTAAGTGAAGTGAATAAACTTAGAGTGGCTCAATGACTACACATTTTGTGGAAATCCTACATCCCTGAATCTAACTATCAAAGTAGCTGGGGATAGTTACGGGGGCCGTACAAGGTAACGAAACAATTTTCTTTATACAGAAATTTGTGTACTTACAATGCCCAAATAATTGCTACAATGGATGAGGAGATGCGTCTCTCTGGTATCATGGCTAAGGGCTGCTCTACTACTCTACGAGGGTGGTTACCCCAAAAATCTACCGTACTCACTAGGTATCGAAATTGTTTTATAGCCGATCCTTGTCGAGTTAGCATAATCAGCAATAATCGTATCGATCGAATACGTCACCTCACAGGTGAATTTTTAAGTTCAATGAATTCTGCCTAAAAAGCTTACTTAGTTCCAGTGTGTGAAATAATATGAGCTGGGTTCGAATTAAGTATATGTGAATGACTTTAATTATTATTTACTGAAGACTTATATTTTTCTTTGATGGATATTTCCTAATGAATTGAAAAGGCATACCAGGTGTGACACTATCAACATGTGATTCCTAAAGGCACTAGAGCCCTTCGAAGGTAGATTCTTAAATGCAGTTTCCTTCAATGAGGGCTAACATTTTCATTTTCACCAAAGTCAAAAATCCCAAAATTTTGTCGGATAGCCCTAAAAGCTAAGGCCTGTTGTATCGAAAATATTCTGAACAAAATGATGTAGAATATTGGAACAAATAGGAAACCTCAAGTCATCGAAAGACGTGAGCCGTCTTACTGTCAGACAAACAAAAGACTGATAGCCTGTTATTGTTTATTGCAAAAATCAAAAATTAAATAGATACTCCAAATTGTACTCCAGTATTGAAATTAATTGCACTTGTAATCTTTTTTAGTAACCTCTAAAATACAAATAGTATATTACGTAATATGTGCTGTAAAAAGAACGAATTGAAAAGTTACGCACGCAGCCGCGGAGCGGCGAGTTCTCAATTCCATGAGTGCGTAATTGCTTTACAACACGCATTAGTTACTAGAATTTACCTACTGCCACATAGTTCATCAAAAAAGTTTGGACAAACAGTCTGAATTATAGTTCTTGACAGTTATGTCATCCGCTGTTGACGGCGATTACGCGATCATGACTGGCTGAATAAACGAAAACTGTGCGATGTGCTAACTGTGCGTGAAGAGCTACTTACTGAGACTGTATCTCGTGTGTTCTTGCCTACTTTCTATTAGGGCCGTAGGTAAAAAATATTATCTACATGTTGCTTACTATTCGCGATAGAAAATACACATCGCCTCACCTGACGGCAACTAGAGTCCCTGTATGTATTTGACACTTTTGCTGTAATAAGAGTACGGACACTATGACAAGCAGTGACAGGGAATTAAACATACAGGGACTCTAACTGCAACAACTCGAACATTTCTGTGCGGTTTGTTTTGATGATATGACCAATAGAAACAAACAAAAAATGAATGTGAACCAATGAAAACAAAGTAAACAGGCGGCTTTGACAGCTTTCAAGAACTCCGATAGAGGGCGTACGCTTATGTTCTATCGTGAATTCGATCCCAAAATCCTTCCAAAAGCGAACTATTGGAATACTTATAAAATATAATCATTCAATAAGTAGATATTTATCTTTGGGAAAATATAAATTCTTTGAGTTTTGATTTGAAATTTTCCGATGAACATGTAAGGCGGATTTATGCACACCGCTTTTTCATTAATCTGTAATTTCCCAATCATTAACGATTTCACTAATAAGTTAAAACTTGGTATTCCCGTTGATTCATTTATGCGCCTAAATTGAATTTCATCTTTCATTAACTATTCGCTAAACAGATGACCAACTTTTATCTCTTAACGACAAATACAAATGAAACTGTGATTTGCGCAGGCGCGATTCTGTCAGAAGTCAGACAAACAATTTCTTTCTCTTCTTTTTCCAAAGTGTGGTTGAGAATTCTGAAAATTCTAGTCGTATGTTCAACTTGGACTCTGAAAACAATATGAATGAATGATTCTTATTGTAATTATGTGATCACTGAATGTTATAACTGAGATGAACCATATACGTACTATTTCTATATATGATCCACCGCCTATATGATATCTCAACAAAAATGGGACCAAAATGAGAGGTACTTTTTGAATCTATAAGGACGGAAAATGAAGGATGGAAATAGCTATATTAGTTTGACAAGTTTCGTATTATTTTTTCCCTACGTCGGCATCAACGCCTATTAGTCGGTTTCGTTACCTATAGAGACAGAAGTTGGTCCCGCTTTGAGGACAGCTATGATTTATATATGAGTAGTGGATATATGGTTATAACACAAATATTTTCATCGGGCTATGTACACTGAGGACTATGTTTTGACCAAGAAGAGTTCAAAATTAAAAAGTGGTGGTGCATTAAGGTATCATATCAAATAAAAATAAACTTAATGACAGTTAATGAAAGCAACAGATTAATGAAAAAGTGGTGTGCATAAATCTATCTGTATTCGATTAAAAACCTATTTTTTATACATACCGGGTGCAGCAACTCTAGCGTGTTTTCCTCATGAAATTTGTAAATACCCTGTAGCGTGTAATAGCAACATTGTCAAGTTAGAATTGAAATTACACCTTAGCCTCATCTTTCAACATTTCTATTTTGGATTCACTCCATCCTCTTCCCTATTGATCGAGAAACACCATTTTATAGCATAATATAATTATGATTTTATGGAAAATTAATATCCCAATTTAACAACGAAAAAACGAAACAGAATGCGAAGTCACCAAGAAATCACAAGTTAAACGAAAGGGTCAGTAGTGAGTATTTCCGCCTCGGGCAAGAAAAACTTCTTGGCAAAAACAGCCTATACCTAAAATAAGAGAACTTGTCATTTTGATCCTGGTCATCCCAAATTTGAGTCAGTCTCTGCAGTGCGTCTTCCAAAGTATTCAAGTTATATTCCACTTGTAATCTTGTCCCAAGAATAAACAGAAATTCTCAATGGGATTCAAATCCAGACTCCAAGCTGGCCATGCCTTGATAATGTAACTGTTACACTCTACTGGGTATTACAAATTTCTTGAAAAATCCACGCTATAATTGCTACACTCGGTATCCATAAAATTATTATACAATAATTATTATTATGCGAATACAGTTTGCACGCCAATATTCGGACCTGTCATTCGAAACAAAATACGTAAAATCGGACAAGAAATTTTGACGAAAATGTATCCCAAACTTTTGGATACTTTTTGGTGGTGTGTTATTTTTTTGTGGAAATGTAGATTTAATTTGAGTTAATTTGCAAGATATATCAAGATTAAGTTTCCATCATTGCATTTATGTTGAGTTAATATCTTGTAAATCGACTCAATAAAATTGTCTTCAGTGAATACATCAATTTTACTTTTAATTTTCTACCATGCTGTTCCAGATCGTAGATATACAGACAGCCATCATTGGCGCCCCCAAGAAGTTCTTTACCATCAGAGGAAAAAACTACAGAAAACACGCAAAATCTACGTCCACTCTTTAGGAGACTCAGTGGTTCTTGGTGATCAGTGTTTTCATTGACAGAGCACAGGTGCACTAAAAAAAAACAACCAACATTTATTACCCAGTTCAACTCCATTCATGTCAAGATATAAGAGAGGTGAATTTACAACAGGAAATAATTTCCAGCATTTTCAGTAGGTTAAGAATTCCCGAATCAGCGAAACATCAAATGACTCAATAAGTAATGCTTGTTTATTAGATTTTGTTCGACCTGCTATTTTTCCTAAGGTTATCTCTGTTCACAGCTTGCAATAAACAGAGATAACATAACAAAGACATGTACTTTTACTCCACTCAATAAAGGGGCTGTAGTGCGTGAGCAAGGACCTAAGCGATTTCTTTAGAAACTTGTTCCAGAAGTTAAGAGAGTGACGTCTAGGAGGTGAGCCGGAGGAGGGGGCAGTGAGAAGGTTCCGATTTTGGGTTTATCGCTTATTTTTTTTTATTATTTTTTTTATTCATACACCATCCAACAGCCGAAGACAATTACAGGATGGGAAAGATAAACAACTAATTACAAATTACAATTTAGATACAAACTAGATTAATACTAACTATACATAAGTTTCATACTAAGGTGAATGGAGATAGGCATATCTGCATATGAGCTGAAAAAAAAACTATGAAAAGAGATAAAAAAGCTCACATGCAGATATATGCACACTACCAAATAATACTACAACAATGCTCTTTTCAAACTAGCAATAGTGGAACAGAGGATATCGAATGAATCTTGAGAAGACATAATCTGAACATATTCTATAAATAGGTGAAAACTGCAGTAGATTAGATTGAGGTGTGCGCAAGTAAAAGACATATTTATCTCTCACTGGCAATCGAGGAACATGTATGTCAATGAGAGGCAGTAAATGGGGACAATCAAGTTTGTTATTAAGCAATTCATATAGAAATGAGAAATTTTTGCTACGACGAACCGTATCCGACATTTAAGCGATAAACCCAAAATCGGAACCTTCTTACTGACCCGCCCCCCCCTTCTGAAGAAATCGTTTAGGTCCCTGCTCACGCATTCTACACCCACCTTTGGGTCATTCATTGATTGGACTATGGCAGGTTTGTTTGTTTTGGAAAAAATAAATTTTGAACCATAAAAAGCAGGGACCCAGAATACTTGTATTTGCATTATTGTAGTAATCCATGATGCATCTTCCTTGTACTAAAAGACTGATTGTTTGCAGAAAATGCAGTAATATCCACCTACATCACTGAAAAAAAGTAATCTTACGTACATGCGGAAGACCATGTGGAATAAACAAAGTGTTCTCTGTTGGGACTGAATGCCACATCAATTATGCTCCACCCAACATCCCTAGCACGAATTGATCGTATAAATTTATATGACCCATCATCTGAATTGTATAACCTGATAGATCGATCTGAAATTGAAAAAACATTTCGTCAAATAATTGAAAACCGAATATGAATAGCTTTATATTGAGTAACAATATAAACCTCATAATAATGTGAAAGGTATCTTATGGAAAGGTATGGAATGGACCAGGCATTTTCTTGACTCAAAGTTTTACTTATATGGTGTCGAAAATATTAAAATTTTTAACAGTGCCGGCTTTGGGAGAAATGTGCTCGCAGATAAAAAAAAAATGCTCCATAGGCGAAATCAAATTTGTTAGCAAAGTCAGATGTCTTCGAATTCATTCTTAGTTTTTATGAGCGGTACGGACAGCTGCATATTTTGATGCACTTCATGTGCTGATATAAAAAAAAAAACAAATTTATATGTGCCTTTTCATAAAAAACGATGGTTTCTTGTACACAAAATGGGTGAGCCACCGACCCGATACCAACATTTATATAATTAGGTCACCAAAAATTGTAATTCCATCAATTCTATTTAAAAAGTTGAAAGTTTCTTTGAATGATTATCCGAACAGTGAGCTGCAATTATTAGTTTAGTTTACAAATATGAAATTGAGATTCCATTGTTGAGTGTGGGTGAATATGCAAACAGTTCCTTGTTTAGTTATGAAGCAAAATATATGAAATTATATACATGGTGTCCAGAGATAAATTCGGCAAAGGACCTTGTTGGGAAAGTTTCTGGATATCAGTTGTCATTCCGTAATTTTTTTTTTCATAATTAATTGGCGGATAAAATATCAGCAAAAATGGGAATATAATAAATATTTACGAAACCCAAACAGTTGCTAAGTTAATCTTGAGCTAATGATAAGTTAATGTTGAAATAATATTCAGGTAATGTTGAGTTATGGTCAAGTTGATGGCGAGTTAATGTCGATTTCAAATTGTGTTATTGTCCCTAATGTTGATTTACTGTTAAGTTGATGGCAAGTTAAAGTTAAGTTAATGCTGATTGAAAGTTAAATGAACGTTAATGTATTGATAATTTAATGAGTAATGTAGAGTTGATTTTGAGTTGATATTAAGTTGATGTCAAGTCAATATTAAATACACGTTAAATTAGTGTTAAGTTGATGTTTTGTTAATGTTGACTTCATGTTGACTCAATGTTAAGTTGACGTTAAGTTGATGTTAGGATGATGTTAAGTTACCAATAGATTGATGTTAAGTTGATGTTAAGTTCATGTTGAGTTAATGCTGGGTTAATGTTGAGCTAATGTTAAATTAATGTTAAGTAAATGTAAGGTTAATGTTGAGTTCATGTTAAGTTGATGTCAAGTTGATGTTAGGTTATGGTTGAGTTAATGTTAAGTTAATGTTGAATTTAGATTAAGTTAACGCTAAGTTAATGATGTTACGTTAATATTGAGGTCAGATTAAATAATAATAATATCACCTTCACGAGCTCGAATATGATTAAAAACATTATACCTACTTAGGTCTCAAAAACACTCATGACATATCCTTCTCAGGACATATAATGTATATATTTGAGGTCGTAGGAAAAATAGTGTACAAAACTTGTTGGAAAGTTTATTTCCTGCGCTCGTTTCGTTTCTGCACTTTGACTGTATTCATAAGACCTAAATCTACTGATTTCAACCAAAAATGAATAGTACCTTGAGCTGCAGTTATGAAACGACTACCATCTTTGGAAAAAACACCACAGAAAACTTTGCCAGAAGAATTATCCAACAATGACATTTCATTTGGTAAATATCTGTTTGAGATACTGCATTTTTTATTCTTCGAAAAGCAATCATTTGGGTAGAATCCAATCTGTAAAATATGTGTATTAAAAATATGAGTTCCTAATTTCAATTGAACAAATTCGAACGAACCTCTCTGTTAGTCATCAATTTGGTAACATTTTTTGCTCTCCTAATTTTAGGCTCAGATAATCCTGAATCTTGTCGAGTTATGAGTGAAAATTCACTATCCTGAAAAACAAATTCAATATAAATGATCTGAAACAATATTGAAGGATATACAATAGAAAATAACTAACAACCACAACATACACTGCTGATCAATTGAACCTCAATAAGCACATTTTCGCAATAAATTCAACAATGATTATTTTCGCGAAAATTCCACATATGCGGGTGCTTTTTATTTCATTATGTAGATATATCCATTGGGTATATGCATGACTACTGGTCCGCTGATGGAAATACATGATGATACCTGGTTATACAGGGTGACAACCAAACCTCTGCAAAATATTGAAATATTCTACATGCTCTCAATTTGATAGGAAGACAGCAGTAGGAACAAAATATGAATATACAGGGTAAAAAACTGCTGACTGCTCTTTCTTTACAACAAAATAATAGATTCCCGAATGAGACGAAGAGTAAGAAAAACATTTTTTTTTTTTAATTTCAAAAACGTAATATTGAATCGATTTTTCAAAAAAAAAAACAAAAAAAAAAAATTCTAGCGACTGTGGCGAACTTTCAAAATGCGCCCTTGAAGAAAATAAGCTTTCAAGGAATACATGTTTTTTCATGATTGTCATTCAATCAATATATACAGGGTAAGAAAACTGCTGACTGCTCTTTTTTTACCAGACAATAATATAGCTTCCAGAATGAGACAATGAGTAAAGAAAAACAAATGTTTTTTATATTTCATATATTATATTGCTAAGAACTTTTTTTCCCAATAATCTCCCATATTTCTTATAAGGTGATTAACAGAAACTCAATGAATGATTCAAATCATTCAAATGCTCAAAATGTCACCTTTTTAATAACTCTCGAATAGTACATCAATAATAATTATTAGAATTTGAGCGAAGTTGAATGTTTTACAAGGGCCAAATATTATATGCATCCAATATTTGCAATTCATGAAAATGTTTACTTGTAATTCTCAATGGTATTCTTTTAGCAACAATTGAACAAATGCATTATTTCCATGTGCATTCAAGATCAGAAATATTCAAAAGAAAAATTACTCATAATATAAGGGCAGAAAATGACAATATGACGACTCCAGTGATTTCGTGAATCTTCTATAATAACTCCAGCACAATGTGTTAAAATTGAAATCACAATTTTGATGCGATATGTTTCTTGAAAATAGTGCATGTGTGATAGGAAATATAGTCTAGTAACTTTATACATACATCACAACATGCGTCAAATCCAGTAGTTCTGATTTTTTGTAGACTTGATTATGGTGTTGACCTAATGAATAATCCAAGTTTGTGATCTGTGAAATCGCGAAAAAATATATATTTTTCAATTTTTGGCGGTTATAGCACTGAAGGACTAGTTTTTGTAAAAACTTTTTCAGGAAGTTGACAAAATTTGCTACAATATGATACTAAAACGAGCGAAGAAGCTGCCTTCGATACATGCAAGAAATGGCACTTGCCACACTTCACAGTTTAACATCCGAGTAGGCCAGAAAAAATTCGTTTTTGTCTTTGATGCCAGAGCCAAAGTATGCAGAACAAGTTTGAACAAGATTTTATTAAAAGGGCCTGATTTGTTGAAAAAAAAAATTACTACTTCATTTGTGATGGCGAAGTCAAGCAGATGACCGTATCAAAGATTGAACTTCAAGCAGCTCTGTTAGGATCTCATTTAGCAGAATAGGAGGAATATTAGAGTCAACGAATTCCGAAGATTGGCATTGACTTCCGACTAAACTAAATGGAGCAGATGACGCAACTCGTGGGACAACTACCAGAAATGGTTCAATGGTCCTCAATTTCTCATTTCAGATGAAAAATAATGGTCTAAAGGAGGAGAGATATCGGCAAATACAGATGAGGAAAAGAGAAAGCATAATGTGTTCGTGACAATAGAAAACATAAAAGGTATAATCGACTTCTCCAGGTTCTCGAATTATTTGCGTCTCGTTAGAGCTGCCGCATGGGTCATCAGCTTCATCAATATTTTGAAAATAAAAATTGGCATATTGACTACTAAGCCATATTCAAATGAACTATCCGTGGAAGAATTCGAATATGGTGAATTTGAAATTATCAAGAAATCACAGAATGAAAGTTTTGGTGAAGAAATAGAAAGAATCATTCGAAAACAAAATCCTAGCAGGTCGAGTCGTTTTTCGAAGTTGAATCTCATCCTAGACGAAGATAAAGTATTTAATTGAACGGGAAGACTGGATCAAGCTGAACATTCGGATCTGATAATGAGACAGCCAATCATTTAGGACTCGAAACACTGGTTAACAATATTAATGGTGAGACATATTATCAAAATTTGTTTTCTTACAACTGATCCTGCAATAATGGCAATCCGTCGATTTATTTGTAGACGAGGAAGTCCTTCTGAAATATTCTCCCATAATGCAACAAACCTCTGCGGAGCTGAACAAGAAATGAAGTTAGCCCTCCAAGAAATTGACTCAAACAAGGTCTAGCAGTTTTGTTGTGTACATATTCAATGGTCAAAAAATACACCAGCAGCCAATCACATGGGAGGAGTATGGAAGACAGACTCCCAAAGAAGAAATTCTGCGAAATATTCTAGTTGAGGTACATTCTACAGTGAACAGCCACTCAATCACTTATGTCTCATCGGATCACCTAGATGACCAAGCGTCGACACTTAACCATTTCCTCATTGGCAAAATGAATGAAGTAGACTCACCAGGTATGTTCTGATTCGGACTTTCATTTACAAAAACAATCTTTGTGCCGATTTGCTGATCTCTTTTGGCGCCGTTGGCTACGAGAATATGTTCAAACTCTGATCAGACAAAGCAAGTGGCAGCAGAACAAGAGTGACATCACTGAAGTTGATTTAGCCATACTGGCAGATGATAATTCTGCAAGGAATACGTGGCCAAAGGGAAAAATAATGCGAACTTCTCCTGGTCGCGACAAGAAAACTAGGGTGGTTGAAGTTGAAAGTGTAATAGGAACATATCGAAGGCCTATAACGAAAATTGTTTTATTGAAGCTTAAGTAATCGATTGCAGGGCCCGGAGGATGTTATGAACTATACAGGCTGATTCACGGTGAATAGAACATTAGAAGTTTCCGGAGAACGCAACGTACGATTGTTTTGAAAATTTGGTTCCTCGGATAATGATGCTCAATTATCTTAATTCAAATCATTTTTTTTAAATTTAAATTAAAAGAGCTTCAAAATGATGCTACATTGCTTGCTTGGACATCAGTGTTGTTTCTTTGATGGTATGGCAGAGTTGCCAATTATAGACGTTTAATTGGGATAGCAATTATATATTTATCTTCTGGGTATCTCTCTATTTCATTATTATTGATACTATTATTATTTTTCAAAATTTTTTGTTCTTCAACATGTATTGAAAACCACAAATGATACAACTTTGTCATTGTTATTCAAAAACATTGGATTGGGATACGTATATTCTCATTTGTAATGATAACATAGGCTTGTTTTGAAAGAACATGTAATCAGGTATTACTACCTGTTTGTTTCTAATAAATAAATAAATAAATAAATAATGAGTTGTGTTCTATCGACCTGAAATATTCTCAGCGCTGCGACGTTGCCGCTTATATTGAAAAGTAGCAACAACTTTGATTTTTTCAATGGGACAACTGTATATTATTCCGTTTTCAGATTCTCCCTGAAGAGCTGATTCACATTTGGGGTCTAGCGGGATTGATAATAAAGATATAGGATGTGAAAAATCGAGATTTTTCAACTTTAAGAATGTTTTGTGTCGAAACTATTCATGATTCGCCAAAACAGTTTCCATATCTCAACTTTTCACGTACTATCAATCGATATCTAATTGAAATAGATACAGGGTGGTCAAAAATCTTAATTCTGAACCACCCTGTATTTATTTCAATTAAATATCAATTGATGGTGAATAAAACCATTTTGACCAATTATGAATAGTTTCCACACTAAAAATTGATAAAGTTGGAAAATCTTGATTTTTCACATCCTATAACTCGGTAATCATCACTGCTAGACCCCAAGTGTTATAGTTCAATGAAATCAACTCTTCAGGAAGAATCTGAAAATGGGATAACATACAGAGTGTCCCATTTAAAAAATCAAAGTTGTTGCTACTTTTCAATATAAGCGGCAACGTCGCAATGCTGAGAATATTTTAGGTAGACAGAACACAACTAATTATTCAAGGCATCAACATTTCAGAATAATCCTGAGTTGCGTTCTCCAGAAACGTCTTATGTGCCATCCACCGTGAATCAGCCTGTATAAACACTATATATATTTTTTTGTGACATGCACTTTGTTCAAGAAAAAATATAGTTAGTCATGAATTTGTGAATAAAAAAAGAGAAAAATCAAGTCGAAAAGGTAAAACCAAACTGATTTTTTGCAGTAAAAAATAGTGTTTTGCCCAAACACCTACAAAACTTATGATGAGGGCCATGAAGAGCCTCTTAGTGGATTTTATCTTTTTCAGTGAGAAATAACCTGAATAGAGGTAAGCCCTGTCAATGTTAGCCCAAATTTAGATGTTAGTTTTTCCTTACAACACTCAAAAACTAGAGGAGATAAGTCACAATATGTAACAACATGAAATCAATTTTTGCTCCAATTGTATAGGAAGTTCACATTCATTAATTGATTCATTGACGATTATGATTTTGTAGTAACAACTATGAAACAACTGCAGGAAACTCAGAGAGAATCAAAGAAAATCTCTTAGAACTCTTATTATCTGAAATTTTCAATTCATAAAAAAACGGATTTGTGTAGAGTCCGACCACATTAACTGTGGGACACCATGTGAATAACATGGTAGGACTCTAGCATATATTATGATTTTGTAGTAACAACTATGAAACAACTGCAGGAAACTTAAATCTCAGAGAATCAAAGAAAATCTCTTAGAAATCTTATTATATGAAATTTTTGATTCATAAAAAAAAACAGATTTGTGTAGAGTCCGACCACATTACCTGTGGGTCACCATGTGAATAACATGGTAGGACTCTAGCATATGCTCTATAACTAAGATGCACAGGTTCACCCTTAGCAATTTCAGAACCCTCAAAACAAGGATGATGAATTGTTTTTAGGATTCAACTAAAAGAACTTACAGTACTTGATGTTATGAATTGAAAAATCTATCAAAGTGACTGAATAATGATGAAAATGTCTTCTATTTTCACAATACATCAACTTAGATCAAGAAAAAATATAAAATCAGTGCCCAAAATCGCCTATTGGACCAGTCACTACTGTAGAATTTAACCATATCAAGATTTTTTTCACTATGTCCACTATTGGTAGGTACATTATTCTTATTTGAGTTTTTTTTCACACATTTCTGAGACTCTATAAAACATGAAATTTTGATTCAAAGTAAAGACATCAAAGAATTAGCTCACAAACTAATAAAATGATTTACAATGGATATAGGATATAAGAAAATATATTATCTATGAATTTTTATGTTGATCAACTTCTTGCTAAGGACAAGTTACCAAATTCAATAAACTCAATATACTTGTATATGTTACAGGAACTATCATGTTTCAAGATTAGGAAATATTTTCAATTTTCTCATGCAATTAGACATGTGAATGTTTATTCATTAAGGTGCTGGACATTTTGATTCTAGATAGAATTTGGATAATAATGGCAAGTTTGATAATCTAGCTAGTATATATGTGAAGTTAATCATTGGACTTCAGCTTTGCATTGCTAGACTAGCAATATCAGTACCACATTAAGTACCACATTTATAACGACTTTTCCTAAATATTTCCACAATTTCAATTGATCAATCAAGTAACTTACATCAAGGGACTTGGTACAATGTTTTCTTGTTATTTTCGGTGACTTCAGATATTCTGGTGAACTACCTCTTACAAAGAGAGGCACCTGTATCTGAACCTGGCCACTAGAAAAGGAAAATATCAGATAATCTTTTCTGCAAATTGCAGATGCAGAGTATATACCTGTTGATTAAACTTCTCAGCATTGTTCTGTAATCTTGATCAGAATCGGATTCTGAATCTGATACTGTCCTTGAATCATCTTCGGACATTGTTCTGGAAATGTAAGAGCCCATATGATGAAAAATAATGACTTGAAATTAGTATTTTGTTGTTACAGTTGCCCATACACTAATCTCATTAAATCCGTATTCAAGATATATAACGCCCATTTATTACTTTTCTGAATTTCTTCTTTCTAAACTTTTAACTTGCTGTTGTGATTATTTGTGATGTTCTGATTCTGCTGGAGAATGAAAATTCAGATATTTCTGATTTCTGAATAATGAATTCTTGGATGTTATTGTTATGACGTTTTAAGTATTTTTTTCATTCATGATTTTTTTCTTCTTCTTTTTCTTTCTTCTTCTTCGTTTCTCGTCCTCTTATCCAGATTTGGACGCACTCCACAAAACAAAACGGGCAAAACGTGACTTTAACCTTCAAATCATTTAATGTCAACAACGGCTTTTTCGATCTAACCTTCATAAAAAATAGAAAAAACATTGTTTTTATTTCGTTGTGTAGGTCTCCAGCATCTAACAATGGACTTTGAATTCAAATTACTGGATCATTTCAAATTATCCAACCACTTGAATCGAAATTTCGCATGCAGTTTTTCCGATGACGATCGATTCTTCATCATTACTGATGTAGGAATTTACATTCTATCATTACATGGCAATGTTGCCTATGAATTCCTTGACTTATGTTGTACCAAGCACTTTCTGCAAGTCTCAGATTTCGCACCTTGTACGAACATTGATTTGGACATAAATACTTTCCACAGTGAACTTGACAAGGAAGATTTGTATGAAACTCTTATGGGCATTGAATACTCTGTAAAGTTGAAACATGCCAAACCTGTAGATTCTGCACCCCTATTCGCACAATGGTCACCCAGAGAAATTGCAGGAACAGACTGTATGTTAGCTGTTCTCACAAATTTACATAGCTTAGAAATATACATGAAATTCCTGGATGAAAATGAGGTAACCCAGTATATATTAATTTCAAACTTATCTCAAGAAATTATAGATGTAGAAAAAGAGTATTGGTCTAGTGCTGTCAGGTTTTCAGTAGCTATTAAACTCCAGGAGTTCAAGAAGAGAGTTCACATGGTTACTCCAACAGGTAGCAATCTAGATCTTTCATTGAGAAACAGTACAGTTGCTTTTCTATTTTAGTTTTCAGGTGGAGTCATATATTCCAAGTAAACCATGAAAATGCATGTGCTGTATTTGTGGGGCACATCAATGGAGATATAACAGCCTGGTTGATCAATCATAGAAGTTCTGATACAAGGGAACCTTCAAAATTGAAATGTTTGGGAAGGTATCAAACACAATTGGAAAGACTGACAACAATGTATTGGCATAAAACATCAGATCATGGTAAGTATTCCAACAAACACCATGTTATTTGGCTACCCCATGGCTATTTTTTTTTTCATTGTCAATGATTTATAAGAATCAAACTCAAATGAATGAAATGAGAAATGAAATGTTTTATTGCATTCACAAAACACTTATTTTATTAACCAAATTCAGTTTGGAATTATATTCAAGTAGAGATTGTCTATCCATATGGTCTTCACTAATAAAAAATCAAATTAGCTTTTCCCATGGAAGGTTCTTGTTTAATTTTTTCAATATTGTTCATAAGGTTCCTGCAAGGTACCTGCCAATAAACTCCTGTGTGGCATTTACTTTAGATATGGTTCAAACTAGTTCAAACCACTCCAAGTTCAAACAGGTTCAAACTGAAAAACTTGTATCATAGATCTCTCTATAAACAAATATTATTTACTCTGTATTTAAAATGAAAAGTGAATGATGGATGTAAATTTTATTCAATGTTCTATAATTCTCACATATTTCAATCCATAACTTGATACATCATCACTGAACCCACCCATACATACATAAATAGCATGATGCACAAATAATGCTTTTCAATATATAATATCCCTATTTTGGAGATAAATTCCATCAAAGAAATTAACATCATAATACAAATCATTAAATAATAATGTTGATTTGATACACCCATATGATTCATATCCAGATGTCTTTTAAGACACTCAATTCATGAATTTAAAAATTGTATAATTGAGAAAAAAGAATCTTTAATTAGATTGGGAAAGTCCAACATATACATTGAGACATGGGTCAAGTATGATGTAAAGTGTTCACTGGGTACCTACCTCTCTACCTATACATATTCATGGACAGGGTGATTGTTTATATTTTATAGAGTATTTTACATTGAAAGGGACAAAAATATAATATTTTTGCTGCAACCCACACAAAAGTCGTCCATTTTGATACCAAAATTAGCTCTTAAATTGACGTTTCTATTACTGACACAAAAATAGGCATGTTGCTAAACAACATATTTAGTTCCTAGGAGCTAAAGTTGAACTTTTTAGCTCCTAGGAACTAAATAGGATCTACTGGACGTCATCAAGAATAAACAACATTGGGACGGTTGGTTATTCGGTTGAGACGCATACCTGATTTGTTTCCGATTTCAGCGGATTTGGCATTTCATACCCATGCTGGTGATATAAATACACCTTATTATAGTTTAGTATTGGAATTATAAATATCTCAGTTAAGTATTTTTGCTTTGATCAGGGAAGCCTTCAAGATTCAAATACTTGCTTGATCTGTATTTCCTTCATTATTCTGGGGATGGATAACTTGTTTTTGAATAATCACGGCAAGCAATAGTTTTTTTGTCTCAAACAACGATATTGTTTAGCTTCATTTGATTATCAAGTCAAACACAGTGTAGTATGGAGAGGAATAAATAATCACTATTATCATTGTTGTTGTTGATATGCTCACTAACCTAACATTTTCCACGTCTTGTTCCGGTAGCTGGTACTGGCGCAGTATTTGCCATTAGAGCACCTGGTCCGTACACAAATATGTCACTCTGTGGTTGTATTTATATTGAAACTACAATTCGAACATCCTTGAAAAACCTTACCTGCTGTTAATGCAGAATATTCTCACCACATGGATTATTTGTCAATATTTGTTGCATTGGCATTGGTGGTTACTTCACATGTTTGTTTCGGTTGCAGAAAAAATAGCATGTTTAATTCGGATCAAAAGTGACTTTGTTCGACTCGCAAATTTTGCTTTCGCTCGGCTTCGCTAAACGCTCCGCCTCGCAAATGCAAAATTCGCTTCACAAACAAAGTGTCACTTTTGATCCTAATAAAACAATCTACTATTATATGAGTATTCACAATACTATATTACCGGAAAATGCAAAAAAGCACCCTGAACCTAAAAATTCTATATATAAAATGGTATTTTTAAACACCCTGTATTTCATTTTTCTAAATGATAGAGCTCTTTCTTCTGATTTCAAATATATTGTCAGTTTTTAAAAAATATAGATTATTTGGTATTCTACAGATTCCTTTAGAGCCTAAATTTTTTGAAAACTTACAAACATAACCTTAATAGTATATACAGGGTGTTTGGTTCACCGACGTATTTCTGGAAGGGGGTAATATGTGAGTACATTTCAAACATATTTTACCTTTACCATATAAGCTTTTGTACAAAGTGTTAGGAATTTCAAGATGTCATGTTTTTTCAAACATTTTATCTGATTTCTATGTCAATTTCCATGAAAAGTCGAATACATATTTCATCAATATTGAACACTTAATGGAATCTAAATGTGATAAAAAATGTTTTGGCTTGTTAGAATTCATAATCGATAATATCTCAAAAAGTGTAACACTGTATAATAGTATACAGGGTGAGTCATTGAAATGGGAAATAGAGATAACGCCTTTGCTGTTTGAGATAGATGAACAAAAATTGTTGTGATGATCTAGACTCATGAGCAGCACATTTCCAAAATATTTCGCTTTATACAGGGTGACTTAAAAATGCGTGACGTATCAAAGTTATACTTTTTCTTATGGGACACCCTGTATTTCATTGCATTTTCGGATTCTCCTTTGTGAGCTAATTTGATCAATGCATCACACTTTGGGTCTAGCGAGAATGATTACAGAGATATATTGTGTTCAAAATTGAGATGTTTCAACTTTAGGATTTTTTTGATTCGAAACTATTCATCATTGGTCAAAACGGCATACATGTCCCTATCTTAACTTTTGATTTACTATCTACTGATATTTAATTTGAACGAATACAGGGTGGTTCATAGTCCTGAATTTTGAATTACACTTTATTTTTGCCCATTTGAACGTTTCTGTAAGCCCAATATTAACTGAGATAGTTATTGAGTAAACTATAAACAATCACCCTGTACATATCAAAAATCAAACAAATTACTATCACTGCTAACTATGTCTCGGAATAGTATATTCTACAAGTGTTGGAATGGCCTTTATTCCAAAGGAGAGAATTTTGAAATAACCCATTCTAAACGTGTTGTAGACTAGTCTTTCCTGAACGAGATTTCCGAAATGTGTAGAGTTCATTTATTAGACAGAATAAGTTTATTATATCATTCCCATCTGTACAAAGTATCAATTATAATTCATTGTAGGAGGTGCATTATTTTTTGGCGGCATAGATGGAAGACTCAGTGTTCTTCATATAACAAATTTACACCAAACTAAAGCAACCTTTGATAAGGAACAGCTTTTTTGGTCTGAAGCTGACAATGTAAAAATTGATGAAATCAGTGTATTGGTTCATGAGAAAGAAACGTTTTTATTGGCTGTGAAACAAAGAGTATTGATGGTGTATGGGATCGATCATAAAGGAGATTGTTTTGATTTCAAATCCATTTATATTGAAGACTATTATATAACAGGTAACACACATTTTTGATGCATTATATAAGGTTAACATTTTCCTTGAGATATTTGTGAGAGATAATACATGGAAAGAAGTGTACATCATTCTATCTTGATCTTTGTCAAAGTTGAATAAGGTGATATAGGTGAGTATATTAAAAAGCTATTAGTATCCTGGACATCTATGAACCTTTGGTATCATAGGCATATTCAGAATTGTCTCTTTTTTTGATGCAGGTACCCTTTCAAATTTGACAGATTGATTACCTCAATATTCTATAAAACAATCTCACCTGAAAGCACAGTAGCACCGTAGGCTACCCCCAAACTGTCCCTCATGCTAACACCGTTTGTTGAGATACATGTATTTTTTTGTATCAAGGTTCGCGCATTGATTAAAATTTTCGAAGTTATCATGACACCATGTGTGAAGCAGTGAGCGAAGTAAAACGGTGCGCAAAGTACATACTTTGTGCATTGTATGTGAACGATATGAGATTTTTGTATTTTAAGTATATGGTCCTCAATCTAGCAAATATTCAAGAAATCATTTATTTCTGAATGTTTAACAATCTTTTTTTATCCTTGGGAGCGCACGAAATAAAATTTCCATTATGTTCGTGGAACATCGTGCGTAACTTAAGAGAATAGGGAGAGGCCTTTTAATCCATTCAACAATATTTTTAATATAAAGCTAAGCATATATTACTACTTTAGAACGGTATTTTTTGACGTTTGTAGAGAACATTTGGTTAAGATGGAAGGACACCTGATTTACTGGCGATCTGAGGTCGGGAAGTGAAACGGGGGTGAGTTTTTGAGGGTAAAAGACGAATTATAAAGATTTACGGCAAAACTACAAGTCCTATGAAAAATAGTTAAATGGAAAAGTTGTGGGTAATCAAAATATCAATACCTTTTGTTTTCACACTTTTTTCACATAACCTTTAAATAGTGAAAAATTCAAATAACCAAGTATTCCGTTTTTTATTTTTCTTAAAAAAAAAATCTCACGAAATTTGGTGAAATCTTATCTCTTGTAATTTTGTTTATTTGGGATATCCATTTTTTCAGCTCATTTTGACTTAATATCGAAGAAGCACCCTGATTTTCAATCGATAATTCTCGCGTCAAAATATCTGCTTTTTCAAAAAAGTCGGTGTTATCAGAAAATGCAAAAAAACGAAATTCGAATCCGATTTTTCTTTAATCATTATGTACAATTTATTAAAATGAAGACTTATTACTCAAAAAACGTAAGATTCCCTGTTACATTGATAAACAAAAAAAATTGAAGTACTTACATAAAACCCTTAATCATTAAGATTTCAAAAAAAAATTATATTTCAAATAAAAAAAAATACAGTATATTTGGGACATAAAGAAGTGAGTTTTCACGAAATTTTGTGAAGAAAATATTGGTTATTTGAATTTTTCACAAAAATTTTCGAGTTATGTGAAAAAAAAAATGTGATGCAAAAGTTATTGATCTTCTCATTACCTATAACTTTTCCATTAAACTTTTTTTCATAGGACTTGTAGTTTTGGCGGATATCGGGATAATCTATTGAAAGCTGACCACTTCACGACCTCTGAAGGCCCGTGAATTACATTTTTCTCCAAGGGGCATAGAAAGTGGCTTTCCTCTTTCTCTATCTAGGAAGGAAAAGTTTGTTGCTATGCAACGTGTCAAGTAATTTGAATGAAATTGATAATCAAAATTGACACTGACATTAGGTGAACACAAAATGATAGAGTTTTCAATAAAAAATTACACAAAATTGGTTTCATAATATTTGGAGAATAAAATATATATATCATCCGGCGCGGCAGTCAATCTTACTTTGCTGCCTAGTGTAACAAATAATTTTTATAAAGTTTGGAGAAAAAATTAACGGGGAAAAATGGAGACCGTATAGTACCAATCTGCCAGCGATGCTTCATATAGTGCATGATTTCGAGTGATTTTGGGATTTAGAGGGATTCTGCCTCCTGGTGTGTGATGAGAACTCAACCTTCCTGCCGATTGATCAACGGATGTCCCGTTAGCTCAATTGGCAGATCATTGGGCATGTAACCCAGAGGTAGTGAGCTCGACTCTCACGCGGGGCGGTGGAGTTTTTTCATTTGCCGTTGTCACTAGAAATTAGGGCTTTCCATCATCTTCATTATTATAGTATATTGTGTAACAAGTGTTATAAACGTCCTTTTAGTAACGAGTAGTTTAAGCACGAGCGGAGCAGAGCGGAGCGAGTGTTTAATAAACGAGTGTCTAGAAGAGTTTATAAACGCGTTACATACTATGATTTTTCTACGAACTCCAAAAATTACATTAATTAACATACCTGTTATTCCTGCTAACCTACAAAATAATTTGAAAGGAATGGGAATTGAAAACATAATACATACAACTTCATGCAACCAGCGAGACACGTATATGTGATATTGGTTGTAGATCTGTCCAGTCCATTGCTTTGTTTCACGTTTATTGTCATGCTTAGCGCAGAATAAATAAATTGTTCTCAAAGATGGATGCTTCATTTTTACACTTCTTGGAGGTATGTATAAGTACCTGAACATTCTCTTCGATTTCACTCTCGTCAACTTTTCGCATATATTTTTAATGAAGAATTCCGATACAAACGAATATTGTTTGAATAATTCTGATACAAAATATGAAAATAACAGTAGACAGTTAATACAATTGACAGGCCAGACATGTCTCGAATTACTGAAGCTGTGTTTAATGAGCTGCGTTGCCATGGCAACGTGTTTAATATTTTGAATAAATCACAGATCGACAATCCGTGATTAATCGATCATTTAGCGTGGTACATATCCGTACGATAAATGCCATTTTAGTTATGTGAGTAGAAAAAAAAAATATGTTTCACGCAGCAGTCAATCTCCTACTTTGCTGCCTAGTAAAACAAATATCCATTTCCTTTGATTTTTATTATATTTTCCTTTTCTAGTGGGTTTCATTCTACTATTTTTTTTACTTGTTACAATTTTCAAAGGCTGCAGCAATGGTTAAGAAGTTGTAGGCTGAAGTTAATATCATCATATCATGCATGCACGTTTATGTCAATCAATTGCTATATCATGACTACCTTCGACCAAGATGAATGCTCTCGATATATTATTATTTTAATGAATAGAGAATGAAAAAATACCTATTGCAGCTTATCATATTTATTGATCAACATGTGGACTATAGAATGACTAATGATAGTTGAAAATCCATTATATTTGTAGGACTATGCCATTTCAGAAACAAGATTCTGGTTCTTTCCTTACCTGGAATACTTACTCAACTAACTATCTCGGTTGCAAATTCTGAAATATCATTTGAGGAGAAGAATATTCCCATGAGAAATGACATGACAAAATACCGGACTCATGGCTGTTTCCTCACCAAGAACAGAGTGCTATTTTGTGTGTTGGCCTATCCCTGGGACCTGCATAGTTTTTCTAAAAGCAAGAAATATGCGAACGTCTTCGTTTATCAGAATGTTTCCTTGAATCCGTTTGATTTATTGTGGAACAATGAGACAAATAGTTTGGTGAACTATTGGGATTGTTTTGAAACATTAAGGTAAGATGATATGGCATAGCAAATGTTTTATCATCTGTTATTTTACTTACAAAATATTTATGTAATCAATATCACACCATCAGAGGCAAGTTACTGACAGTGCCGTGCAGTTTCATTGAATCGAATGGGGTATTTTTTTCGCAAAATCCTATCAAATTGAAAAACCAATTTCACAGTTTTATCTGTCATGGATTTTTAACAGGCAATTCATTCATAAGTATAGGTGAATTATCAAAATAGTAATTCAACTATCTTTCTTTTTGAACCAAAATTGTCCACTTACCTACCTACCTGTGTTATCAAACATTGCATATTTTGCATTAATTTGATTCCAGTATATTTTGGGAAAATGATAATTGGGAATGAAGTAAAATCGAAATTCTTTGATTAAAAAGCATGTTGAATACTACTGGAAGGTTGGTTTTACTGTAAAATTCACCAAATATACCGGGTGATCTGTGTAAGGGTGTGTAGACAAATGCCTGCAGACCTTTGGAGCAATCCGAGTATTTATGACATTCATTCAAAGTGAAACTTGCGATCAAACGCTACTGAACAATTTCAAACTTATCCGGCAGTGTGATTATTTTCAAATGTTTCAGAAAGCGGAATTCATGCCAACAACCGCATGTGAGTTTGCCGATTACATTCAAATTGAAAATAAATATTGAATCGAATTGAAAATCTGATATTCAATCTGAATTGATTAACTAAAGTAAATTAATCAATAATAAAGAACTGAAAATCCAAGAAGTAAGAAGGTGTTGATGAACAACAACTGAAAAATAAAAATTATGACGCCAATATGATAATCCCGTCATTATAGGGACTAAAAAAGGTTTTTATCTTGCAAAAGGTGGAGTAGTCATGATTTTGGTATATGTTGTTCAGTTTGGGACCCCTTTGAAAAATCCGACCTTGAGGGCGCGATTCGCTATCTTGGATTAAAGGTACAAAGAAGTAATTTTGAAATAACTTCTTGAAAGAGTTTGAAAAGAAGTTGGAGGTTACTAAATCCCCTAAATATGTTATGGTACTTAACACTTTTTTCCGTTAGTTCAACGGCTAACGAGTTTTGGCTGCGAAATTGTCAAAATTTCTCATAAAAATCGTCATATTCCTCGTTTTTATCAATTTGAGAAATAATTTATATTTAGTCGGTAATGATTTTTTCCTTTTTGATGGTTCAGACGCTTAATCGTTGTTCTTCCGTTTCCGTAGGTAATACGCAGGTAGAATCTGACAAACTGGTGGAATTTCATAGTTTTCGTCGTCGCTCTCGATGATGACCTCCGTTGCATTGTCACATGATTCGCCATAACAGAATCCGCAGATAACGGAACATGATGTTCTTCGAACATTATAGGGGTTCCCTTTCGTTCGCACCAATCGATAAAAAAATAAAAAAACTACAACTACATGCGATCACGTTTGAAAGTTTTTCTACTCACATAATATCGAAAGTGACATTTATCGCCTATACGATATCTCAACAAAAATGGGACCAACTTTTTGAATCTATAAGGGCGGAAAGTAAAGGATGGAAACAGCCATATTGGTTTGACAAGTTTCGTATAATTCTTTCCCTACGTCGGCATCAACGCCTATTGGTCGATTTCGTTACCTATAATGACAGAAGTTTGAGGACAGCTATGATTCACATATGAGTAGTAGATATATGCATTTAGCTTACGGATATGTACAGAACTTTTTTTATAGAAAATTGTTGAGCAATTATTCAGGAAAAACTAATTTTTTGTACCTTTAATTCAAGATGGCTGATCGCCCTCCCCCCCCCCCCCCCAAAGTCGAAAATTTGGATATACCAAAATCACCTTTTGCAAGGTGGAACCCCCTGATGATTTGACAATAATTTGAAAAACTATCTGGGACAGCTCTGTACTGATGAGAGCCAACAGCTCGAAACCGGTCTGCAGGTAGTCAGCGTTCCTGAACCACTTAAGCGCAGCTCAGCGTTTAGGAAGGAAACACTTGCGATTTTATTCGTTTATACGAACTATCGCATAGATTTCGGGAGGATGTAATGCAATGTTCTGCGTGGCATATAGCCAGGAAAGTAGTTGTTTTTCTCTCGTTATCTACCATTATCGTTCATTTTATGAACTAGTATGTGGTAATGACTTTGAGTTTCTCTCTCTTTGCAATAGTTAATCGTCAGCATAGTTTGGCTGAATTTATAAATTATCCATCATATCCTATGTCATAAATAATTCCTGAATTTTTTTTTCTTTTTATATGATATTGATTGGCAACTTCAATTGGCAGTTGTTGATTACAAATATGCAGTTGTTTAGTCCCAAATCGGATTTGCTTATCTTCAATTTGTTGTATTGAATCTCAATTCGCGATTGTTAACCAATTTCAATATACTCATTCCTAATTTGAACATGATCAGTCTCAATTAAAAGTTGAAATGATATAGTGTCTATATCCTGTAACATAAATGAGTGATTTTTCATTTTCAGATTGATTTGTATGAAAGAAAAGCAATTTCCATGGTCAGGTATACCCCCGGACATAAACTATGATGATTTACCACTTATAAAACTGAAAACTCTGAGGTTGATTGCAAAAATGTCCGAAATGGTTTTCAATTTAATACCAGTAGTAACAAATTATGAAATCAAGCCGTTTGTAATACTACACTACCTAGTGGAAATAAAATTAGTTATCAAAAGAATGAAAAAGCTTTTGAGCTTGTTGAGTTCTAAAAAGATTCTTACCGAATTCCAGATGAGGAGTTTATGTGTTCAGAACTTTTTCCTGAAGGAAATTGTGGTTAGGGATATTTTGCCTAAAGCCAATGTAGGGAAACGGTTCATTGAGGAAATCAGAAGTGTAATGGAATTGGCCAATGAGTTACAGTATCCAGACATGATGAGATGTGTTTGGTGTGGAGAAAATATCCTTTTCATGAAAACTAATTGATTGTATTTATAAAGGATGTTTATCGAATCGTTACATATTGAGGAAGGATGGCATTTGTCAACATTGACAGCTATGGAGAATAGCGTTTTTTTCAGTGTAGGAGGCGGAGACTAGCGAAGACGTGCGACAGCCGCATCAGTCTCTTGCGATGTTACCATCCAGAATGTGTAACGATTCGATAAACGACCTGTATACTTTGGTATGGAAGTAGAAAATGGTTGATTAGAATTCTTCCCAAACAAACTGCCCACATTTAAACTGAGTCAAGCAAAAATTTCTATCATTTTCGAACCGTCATAACTTTGGATTTGATCAACCAATTTTCAATTTCTTTCAAGGTTGTAATAGCTCATTTCATTGAGTACAACTTCAGTACTTTTTTGTTATTTCACGTTTCCGACATGATGACCTACAGGGTGATATCTGAATATGTGATGATTTTTTTAAAGGTTCTATTGAGGGCGATAAAATGACGGATAATTGAGTTTTCTCTAAATGGTTTTGGATTCAAGAGAATTCATACAGGATGTTTTGATATATGACATTTTTTAGAATATATTGCATTCTGATATGTTCAACTCAACTTCAACCGAATTTTAAATTAGCTTATCCTGCTCAACGCTATCACTATACAATGTGTTTTACATTTTCAAATACAGTGAATGTAGAAATTAATCAAAATACTACGAAAAAAATGCAGATAATTATATACACAATATTTTTTATGAGAAAAATTATACGTAAAATCGACATGAGGCGGTATCACGTGTTGTTGTTAGGGAAGTTGTCGATCTAGTTGCCCAAAACTGTGGCTGACAATTTCATACTGGTTGATGATAATGAACTATCGCATCGTGAATGGTCACTGGAGTTTTAAGACAACATACGCACGATGTTCCTCCAACATAATATAGGGATTCTATTTCGTGCGCTCCAAGAATTAAAAAAATATTCTCTGCCTACATGAATCCGATAAAACACGTATGGAGAAGGGAAGTTGAAATGGTGAATCTTGAGCAATCAGAGGAGGCGACACTGGAAAAGTGGGTAGCTATTTCCCAAGATTTCATCAATGGTTTGATAACTGGTATGCCAAGAAGAATAAGGGCTCTCGTATAGCTACTAGGAGAGGTGCAACAACATATTGACAATAAACGTGTGGACTAATATTTTTTATTTCTCAAATAGATCATCACTCAAATACCTTTCAATTCCATATTTTTTCAAAATTTTTTGGTCGATTTTTAGGTGCTAAAATCATCAATAATGCCACGATAACTTTAAAAAGGATGCAAATTTACCGGCAGTAAAAACTGACGTCAGTGAGTAGGGACAGACCAAAGTACAGTTGCCATGTGTTGAAATACGATTCTGAATTTCAGAAATAGTAGTTATTCGATGATTCATAAATTCTCAATTGAGTATTGGTAATACTCCTAATCATCAATAATAATTCAATTGTCTCAAAATGTCCCTTATGATTTGGGGCTTATTGCTCATAATCAATTTGTAAATAATAATTATATTAATTCACATTATTCGCGGGAATCAATGTTACCAGGTGGCGCTCGGTTTTCATCGTTCCATGTCAAAGCCACGTCAAAACTGGGGAAAAACAAACTCAATCCTTACTCAATCGACTCAATCCCATTAGTGCCATTAGCTTGTGTACTGTGTACTGATAAGAGTGATAAGTTTTTGAATTTCTTGACATTAATTATTGTCAATATTGGATCGAAAACGCTAATAATATTAATGCCTGTTGTAGAAGTTCTTTTGGCAGATATTTTGCTCTATTTAGATGAAAAAAACCGACCAGTAGTGGAAGGAGAAGCAGTTCTCCGTGCTAATCATGTGATTTTGTGTGAGGCAGAAGACTTCAACAAAAGGCACATTTTTGCACTTCGTCTACAAACTTCAGCGATGAAATCTTCCCCACATGAAGTAAAATTGAAGTTGGGGTCCAGTAGAACAATGGATTTGTATTTGTTCATGTTGTAGCTGTTCTTTTATATGTCAATTGATTTGCTCGTCATAATTAGTTTGAATTGTTTGAACTATCTCCAATTCTTCACCCGTTCACTGTTCACTAAACTAATAAATATGTAATAATATAAAAAAATTAACCAACTCAACCATCATTACTACCAACAGTGCCAACACTTTATGTCATTGACAAGTCTGACTACAGCTACAGCAAGCTGAATGCAATGTAGTCTATGCACTTTATCCATAGACAATAGTTTGTTTTGCCCCAGTTTGAAGTTTGTATTAAGCAACCTAGATGTCGCCCACTTCGTGAATTTCGCGAATAGCGGACATTTGAATCGGTGAACGTGACAACCACGGCGCACGACTTGTGGGCGTGGTCTTGTCAGTTCGCAGCATTCAGCACAATGTTGCCAAGTCTCCAACATTCATATGATATGTTGTTGTGGAGAATGAGAAATATTTGGGCATGCTGTTTGCTCGAAAAAGTCAAGAAGGAACTATAACATCATGGGTTCCTCCTATATGTTTCATTCAACGACAGGACTCTAAGCTCTTATTTATAACTTGATAATGATTGGTGACTTGACAAACTCGCTTCACGATTGGAAATGGAAGATTATTTGACCAATTACGAAACAGCATAAATACTGACGTCACCGTTTATTCGACGTATCCTCAAATAGCGGCCATAAAGTTTCGTTTGGAATGACCAGTGGAATAATTGAATTACAATAATTCAATATCAGTCCACTCGCCCATCGAAAGTAACAAATTGAAGTTGTTAGTTGTCAATGGTAGTTGTGTTGTATAACAATGTGGATTGCTTATGTCTATTAAAAATTATAATCTGCATTATTTTGGTAGTATTTTCGTTTATCTTTACATTCTCTACCGGGTGTCAACGTATTCATTAGACAAGCCGTAGTTTCCAGAGTTCCGAAGGTGTAATATTCAACCTTGGCAGGGATGTAAACATTTTTTTTATGTTTCATACTCCCCATCACTTTCGGTTTTACCGGAATTGGCCCCAACTTTCGATTTTCTAATGGAACACCCTGTATTTTATTTCATAATCTGTTAGAGATTATAATAACGAATTCAAATTTCACAAGAAAAAAAATGTAGTTGGCGATATTTTCAACATGAAATCATTGCTATTAATGTCTGTATATTTTTTTCCCTCAGTAACTCATTGCCTACTATACTTGAAAGCTACTGCAATCCTAAAATTATATTTTTTTAATCTCATCAAAATAGTCTGGGTTGATAGGTACATACCTTAACTTTCTCGCACAGATCCTAGGTCCTACGTGTCTACCCCCACATGTAGACAGTCGGTGCTCGTTTTCCATAATGCCAATTCTAATTATGCCAGCCTACAAATGCCCTTACTGCAAATGTCTGGCGCACAAACAAATCGAAAAAGAGGAATATCCCATTATCTGCCAGTATTGCGACATCTATATGGAGAGGATACAGATGAGAGACAAAGACTTAGAAGGAAAATATCTCAACTATAATGTCGACAAACTGGAAGAGTTTAAGTCCGAGTGCTTTGACGATTGTTTGGAGGAGAGTATTGACTTGGTTGATATTGAAGAAAATGAGACTCAGTATGTGGTGTTTACTGACAGTGATGACGATGAAGTAGAAAATACTAGCATCAGGAAGTTGTATCAGGAGTTTTCAAAAACAAGTTTGGCAGAACTGCTAGAGAAGTGAATATTCCTTGACGATTATGAAATCACAAATCATTCAATATAAAACATTGAACTGGTGATTTGAAGGACCGACTTTCAGGAAAGTATGTAAGTTTTTTAATTTAGAAGAAAAAGCACTAATTTTGTGATACTCCATGTACCTACTATATGTGTATACTCGTATATTATGTACTTTTTACTGAATAAATATGCATAAGACGATATTTGTAATCAGAAATATTTTATAGTACTTATTCAAATACTATTGGGTATAAATACCAAGTATTTGAGTACAGGGTGGGCAAAATTGGGCGTTTTCACCGTCTATCTCAATAACTAGAGGAGTTATCGAAAAACCGATATACATGTTCCGGGCTCGATTTTGGAGAAACCTCGAATGGCACAATCAAAATTTCGATATCTTCATTCGTTTTAGAGATACAGGGGGAAATTGAAAATTTGCCGATTTCGATTTTATTTTCTGACTACTTTACGGTGAGAGGTATCAGAAAATTTCAAACGTATATTTATACAGTATGATGCGTGGAATCCATTGGCATCATTAGGAATTTTATACAGGGTGACGTTGAAAAGATACGGCAGCCAATTATGTTTTTTCTAATGGAACACCCCGTATATTTTGGCACAGTTGAATAGTCCCAGGCGTTCTCATTACAAATAAATATATAACCCTACCTCTTCCTTCCACAATTTCAGATATATTCGCAAAAATATATTCAGTCGTGTGTCACATTTCTTATGGTTACACCCCCGTATCTTCTGTAAAAATAATTGAGGTAGGATTCAAAAATTCGCAACTGTCAGAAAGATACAAATGATCGACTCATGGAGTCATGGACCAAGTGGGATCATCTCCAATGATAACACTGCTCGCCTGCAGCTATGGAATCATCGATATTTCTGGGTAATGCTATCAACAGGCAGAATCGAGGTTGAAAATGACACTCTGTATATATTCACTTAATGTGGAGAATAAATATCATAGGGAATGTAATTTCCAGATAAATGGATATTTGGTGAGAAATAAAATGGGAAATTAGTCGATTTGATATCATTGTTATCAAGACATTTGAGATACAGAAATAAGACCAATAATTTACTCAATTAGGAAATCAGTAGGTTGCGTTGAAAAATATAGCCTTATAGAAGATGTCCAAATTACAGATACAGAACAATTTTTTTTATGGAACACCCCGTATATTTTGGCAGAGCTGGAAAGTTCCCGTTTCAATTTCAAATATATATCTTATTTATTATCTCTTTGAACGCAAAAATATTAAGGCATACTAGAAATAATGGGTAAAGTATCATATTCAGGCATTCTGCCACAAAATATTATGATTGTTAATGTTTCCATCAATCATTCTTACAGAAGATACGGGGGTGTAACCATAAGAAATGTGACACACTGAATATATTTCTGCGAATATATCTGAAATTGTGGAAGGAAAAGGTAGGGTTATATATATATTTGTAATGAGAACGCCTGGGACTATTCAATTGTGCCAAAATATACGGGGTGTTCCATTACAAAAAACATAATTGGCTGCCGTATTTTCTCAACATCACCCTGTATAAAATTTCTGATGATGCCAATGGATTCCACGCATCATACTGTATAAATATACGTTTGAAATTTTTTGATACCTCTCACCGTAAAGTAGTCAGAAAATAAAATCGAAATCGGCAAATTTTCAATTTCCCCCTGTATCTCTAAAACGAATGAAGATATCGGAATTTTGATTGTACCATTCGAGGTTTCTCCAAAATCGAACCCGGAACATGTATATCGGTTTTTCGATAACTCCTCTAGTTATTGAGATAGACGGTGAAAACGCCCAATTTTGCCCACCCTGTACTTGTTGACATTGATATAATTATACTTCAAAATATGTTTTGTAAAACATGTTTCACCATCTTATTTGTAACGAATTCCAAAAAGTACTCTTCTCAATTTATACTGCTGGGATATCTAAATACTCACCTATGTCAATTCTTATGTAGAATCTTACGTCTTGTCCTAATGTAAAATTTTATACTTTCTGTTGTCCAATATATAACTTTAATTTTGAGACATATTCATGCTTTGTCGAAAAGAGTTTTTTTCTTCGGCAATAAAGTATAATTTGAATTGAATTGAAAAGAATTTGAATACATCTGTATTTGAAACACGTTCGCTGCCGAGCTAAAATTTCAAAATCTGACCTCACGGGCCAAGTTAATTTTCACCAATAGTACCTTTTGCAAGCATAGCCTTGAGTATTTGTTTTATACCTACATAAGCTTGTATGGCACTGAATTGAATCCCTAGACTGGGTGCTAACAACAGAGTCACTTCACTGTGTGTTCCTGGACACCAGGGGGTGGAGAGCAACGAGAAAGCCGACTTCCTCGCCAAACAGGGAACCGAATCTGTGTTCATAGGACCAGAACCATACTTTGGGGTCACCGCAAGTGCGGCCAAAACAAATATCTCTGACTGGGCGGAGGGAAAAAGACTCACGTACTGGTTCGAATTACCAGGATAAACCCAATCGAAGGCGTTCCTGCCTTAATCATCGAAAAACACAGCCAGGCATATGATATAATGGAGCAGGGGTAACCTGCGAATTCTGACAGGACTGCTTACGGGACACTTCTAACATACCTCTTGGGAAGGATGGGTCTGAACCAACAAGCGGACTGTGGGTTCTGATTTGTGGAAGCTGAAACGGCTGAACACATACTATGTTCATGCTCTTGCTTAGAGAGACTAAGGTTCGACATATTTGGCTTCACCAGTTTAGAACCTACCGGTTTTAGACAAATCTCACCCAACTCAACCATGAACTTTGTAAAAAGATGTGGATTGTACAGTCAACTGTAACCTCTAGGGGTGAGCCACTAGTGGGGCAGTGGAGGAGCATCTTTCGCTTCACTCACAGGGAACCTAACTTAACCTAACCTACCCACAGAATATTCCCCACTAAATCTCCCAGGCCAAAACTTTGAATTTGTCTTTATGCAGGCAGGCCGCAGAGACCATAAGCCAATGTATTTCTTATTGCCGAAAGCACTACATGGTGTATCATAAGTAATACAGGAGCCAAAGAATGAGTTAAATAAGTATAGGTACTAGATAGTGGGTTGAAAATACTCAAATACCATAAAAGTATTGAGATACCTATTTAGGTATTTGTCATCGGTAGTCGTAGTTACACAAAAAGTATTCCAATACTGGACTGAAATTTGGTATTTAAATAATTCGTAGGTAAATTAATATAGAGTCAAAAATATTGCTCTCATTTTGAACCCGTTCATCAGTTCGTTAAGTACCTATTTAATCTTCCTACCCTTTGAAAATTAGAGCTGAAAAATCTTCCATTTTGCTCGATGAGTGTGACTGCGGGAATCAAATGATTAACTTAGAGACATTATTGGTCTCAGACAATTGAAATTCACTCAAAATAATAGAGATATTACATTTCATAGTCGATAACGATTATTTTTGGTTTTAGATAGCTTCAATAACTGGACAAAAATATGTTTCGCAATTAATTTTGACATTCTAAGGAATCTACAGTATCGAATGATTCATTATTTTTTCTCCAAGCGGCATAGAAAATAGTTTTTCTCTGACACTTAACAGGCAGGAAAGGTGTAAGTTTGTTGCTATGCAACGTTCCAAGCAGTTTGGATTGAATTGGCAATCGAAATTGACACTGACATTGGGTGAATACCAAATGATGGAGTTTCCAATACAAAAATCACACAAAATTGGATTTGAAACATTTGAAGAAAAAATTATATGTTTCACACGGCAGCAAATGTATATTGACTACCTTGGCTTGCCTTGCTATTAATCATTAAATCAGTATTCAATAATATTCTATATTACAGTAACATAAAACTAACACAAGTGGTTTAGTCTCAAAACCAATAAACATTTTTTCGGGAATAAGCTAAACAATAATGGCGTTGAAAGCTAAGAACATTGAATCCAAGAACTAACCTGTAACATTATGCCTTCTCATTTGACTGAGAGCTCCTTCAAATTCCTATGAATAAAAGAACGAATCTCCTTCTGGTCGAGTTGTCTCCTTATGTGGTGATTCCTGATAGTGATGACGATGAAGGAAAAAATGGAAGTATCAGGAAATTTTATCATGAATTTTTTGAAAAACAAGGGCAGAGCTGTTACAGAAGTGAATATTCCTTGAGGATTATGATTCACACATCATTTAATAAAAAACATTGAACTGATGGTGATCTGAAGGATAAAGGTGTTTTAACAAAACATAGTTTTTGGCAATATATTTTAACTTTTTGAGGAATCTACAGTTTCAAATGATTCATTATTTTAGTGCTGTCGAGATAACTGTCATAAATCATATAAACAGTTTGATAATAATCCAGATTATAGGTTATATTCAATTATATTCTATATTACAGTAATATAATACCTACTAACACAAGTGTTCATTCTCAAAATCAATAAACATTTTTTTGGTAATAAGCTGAACAGTAATGGCATTAAAAGTTAAGAACAGTGAATCGAACCAAGGATTATAAACAACTAACCAGTAAAATTATGCCTTCTCATTTGTTCGAGAGCTCTATCATACCTCCTCATATTATTCCTCAATACTTTAACATTCCGTTCCAAAACACTAACTCGCCGTTTCAAATTCCTATGAATAAAGGAACGAATTTCCTTCTGGTCGATTTGCCTCCGTATCCGAGCACTGTTCTCGCACTCATCACTCCGTCTAGCGTTCGGGCAGTCTGCGAAACATTCAAACCAGAAACTCAGATCGACTCTCGGAACGGCCTCGCAATCTGAGTAGCCCCCTTGCAACTCGGGCAATCTGAAAACGTCCTTCGATACCTTCGTGATGTTGTCGCCGTTGTCGCACAGCACTCTTGCTAGGGTGTACTGTTTTATCTGCGAAAGTTGCTCGGGTTTGAAAACGGACGGGTTCTCGTAGAAAAATCTATCGCCATCACGGAGTCTTTTGAATTGCTCGATGAGTAGGCACTGGAAGAGGGGGCCTATCTTAGCGCCATCTTTTTGGTCTTCTAGTATACCTGCAAATCAAGAAGCATTTGTATGTAAGACATTCTACCTCACAACTCAATAGATGTTTGTGGAAAATGTGCAGAAGAGAACGATATACAGTAAACCTCACACTCCTACATCTAGCTGTGGTAAATTTGGCAAAAAGAAAGACATACAGAATTATTCAGGAAGAGGTACTCAAAAATGAATCGGTCTCATCACTTTGAACAACCTCATGATAAGGGTGAACATACCCTTTGTAGTACAAGAGCCCTTGTTTTGGATTCGCATCAGAACATCGATGTAGGAATTTGTTTATCAGATTGAAACCCAAAAAGACCGTTTCGATGTATCAGACAAAATAACAAAAATCCTCATTAATCCACCACTAGTTATGAAAACCTATCATTACTTATTCCTTTTCAAGGCGTAAAGTGTTTTCACTACCAAAGTTTTTTTCGTCATTCGTCAATAAAGACATAGCCACCTCTGTTGTAATCAACCTGAATTCACTGTTCTGATGCGATATTCGCTGGAATGGCACTCGAATCTAGTAGGTATTTATCAATAACGGTTTGTCATGGTCATGACAACTAGATTTCAATTATAATTGAAGATAAGTGTTTTCACAGTGGCAATTCGTCCATATATCAATTTCACAGAACTGTATAATGATTGAAATGTATTGCTAGTGGTGAAAAAAATGTAATATTATTATACACCTTGGTAGTAAAGAATATTATTATTACGGGACCTTATACCCCTCAGCTGGAGCCTCGGGATATAATCTTGGTCCCTAGGTAATAATTATATTTTTTACTACCTTGATGTATAAATAAATATTACAAACCAATACGAGAATTTCATTGTACATAAATGAAACTAATTCTTATCCAAATTCAATTAATACAATTTTTGTAATGCAAAATATTTAACGAACTATCCGGTCACGTGTTAGTTTCAGCATCATTGTTTCCTCTGTCCTAGACATTTTCATATTGAATGTGTAAACTTATCGCGAATCTTATTTGATATTCCTTACCTCCAACGAAGACATCCACATTCCCTGGATGCCCGTACAGCTTCTGCATCTTCCTCCTCACGTTCCTATCGCTGATGTCCCTCTTCAGATCATCGAAGCTATGCACCTCGGACATGTTGCAGAACTTCCTGAACTCCAGATAGCCGGGAATAGCGTGATCGCGCCCTCTATGAACATTCAACGCGGCCAAATCCAAGGCCACCGCGTGCGCAGCTTGAAACAGAGTCTCCGTCAGCTCCGAATTAAGGTTTTCCTCGGGTCTTTTCACTTTGGCAGCCGCAGTGAACAGCCCCCGGAGCAGCGGGTCTATCCCGCCCTCTTCGACGACGCGCCACGGAGAGAAGAAGGCCTTGGAGAGGGGCAGGTGTCCCTCTCTGATGGGCTGGAAGTCCCAGTCGAGGCGCTCGAGGACAGGGTTGATGAGGGTGTGGCCGAAACGGAGGGCCGCCGTAGCGAATACGTTGGAGATGGTCGGGTTGACGTTGGGGTTGTAGCCTTGATAAGTGCCGAGGGTGTCCATGCCTTTGGGTCCTGGAATTTTTCGAGTAGGTTTAGAATAACCAGATCTTGGATGTGGAAGGGATATTGGGTGTAACTATCTAAGTTGAAACTACAGTATTGACATTTTCGCTTGCATTTCAATCATATTGTGAAAGTATCTCTGTACAAATTTGATCACAAGAATTATCACCGTTGAACTGTTGATTTATAAGTAGATTGCCATTTCGCGAAAACTGACTGGATATGTCTAGTATAAACAAAATTATTTGGATAAGCGATAAACCTTTTGAGAAATTGTATTCTATCCTCTACAATTATAGTGGTATCAACTCATGTGGCCGATAGATATTTGTTCAAATCAAAACAAGGTGTGTAATACCCATTCACGTAACAATTACGCAAAATATTGTTTTTTTACGAATAGACAAGAATCCAGAACAAGCCGTAGGTGAGTCCTGATGAGTCCAAATAAAAACAATTCTGGACATTTTGCGTGGGTACACACAGATAATCCCAAATTCTTGTAGCAGATGGCACTGGTGATGATGGAGGTCATATCAGCTGTCAATCTTAATGTAACAACAATTCATTAATAATCGTTATTGAGATGCAGAACGCCTGGAATAAACTGAGAATTCAGGTAGGCCATCCAAACCACACTTCCCATATGTTTTGATACATTCCATGTCATGCCGATGACAAACGACTCTCAACATATTATGCTACCGCGGGTGTAATAAACTGACACACCTGCCATTGTCATACTACTTTAAATAAGGAACGCAATATTTTTAGATTTTTCTAAATTAGATTCTAACTTTGTATTAATGATTGTCCTAAATATCTTATCAACATTCTTCAATGTGTATCTTACATTGAAATGAATCAGTTCGAATGAGAGAAAATTCGAATTCACGGAAAAATGGATTGTGGATGACTAATATAACGGTTCATTATATCAGGCCATACCACGTGGCACATTAAAGACCATACAACCATCCTTCCTAATTCATCGAAAAAATGTTTATGAAATGTTCATCAATATAATACAATATATCTCGATTAATGAAAATCCGTTTTTTATAAGAGCGTGTCCCATCGTAAGATTTCATAAAATGTCTCACAGATTAACGTCACCGTAATAGTCCAAGAGCCAGCTGCCAATTTCGACCTGAGAAAAATGATTGAAAATTTGCACTTTCCTGTGCGGAAATTTGCACTCGATTTCGCGATTTGAAAACGAGATAACAATTATGCCATTCGATACCCGTTTAGAGTTGTTGGGGGTGATTACGCGATAGAAAACCTACCATTCTATTGGCGGATGCTGATACTTTGAGTAGATTGCTCTTGAAGGTGAGACGTTCATCAAAGATGATTCCAAGATCTTTAATCTCGGTTACTTTGTTTCAAGAATATATTATTAATATTTTAATTATATAAGGCAACATCATGAGAACGGGAAAACGATATTGTAAGACATTTATCGGTATTTAGGTCGAGATTGTTACGGACGCACCACAGATAAAGGTTGTCAAGGTCGTTTTGATGAATTTGACTGTCTAGGACATCTCTAATGATGCGAAACATTTTTAAGTCATCAGCAAAAACTAAGAAGCTTGCACTTTTGAATACATTGGAAATGTCATTTATAAATATAATAGATATCATCAAATACTTCGATGAATCTTCAATATAAATTATATTCCTCAACTCGAAGATTTATTATTTTTTTTATTAATTATGTTTACATCTTACTATAACAACATCACTCATTCAAAATAAAAGATAAATTGATACGGATAATACAGAGTCGTATCCTACAAAACTCCCCCTCCAAAGAAATCATCACTCCTGGGATGAAACTGGCGTATATTGCTAATATGTGCTGTTTCTTCTTTATCTTCTGCATTGAAATGAACATATGCCAATACTCCGTTAATATATTTCACTTTGATCACTTGGTGAGGACCTCTTGTGATATACTCTTTCCCAATCCGCTGCGTTCTCACCAAAATCCAATCACCTATTTTTAATTGGGGAGGTCTTAACTTTTTTGATTTATTGGCTTGCTCTTGAATTCTCTTCTTATACTTCATCTGTTCTTCTGGTGTTTTAGGGGTCTCTTTTGAGCATATTTCAATTCCCAATTCTTTATCTACTTGCAGTATTGTCGTTTTACCATATAATTTATAATTCGGTGAACAACCCAGATACTCATTATGAGAATAGTTATGATGTTGTACAGCTGCTTCCAAACAATTTTTCCAACCTCCTGGAAAATTTTCGTAACATTTCATGAATGTTTTCATTTCACGGACTGTTCTTTCAGCAATTCCATTACCCGCAGGATGATGAGGAGTTGTGTGAACTAAATTTATATTTTGAGTTAAAGCCCACTGTTTTAATTCTGTGGATGTGAAAGCTTTCCCACAATCGCTCACAATATTTTTGATTTTTTCCAGGAATGGTAGATGATCCAAATAATTCTTAACAGCTGTGGAACTCTCTTTAATGGCCTTAGCTGTAACATACCTAGTTGCCTCGTCAACAATAATTATGAATGATTTTGTTTTTCTGTGCAAATCTGATTTTTTATTGATTTCTCCGAAATCCACATGGATTGTCCCAAACGGCTGCTGAGCACATGATGTTAAGTGAACAAAATCTGGTTTAGGCAAATACTTGAATTTTACAACCTGACAAACTGAACAGGTCTTCACATAATTCTTTATGTCCTTACTCATTGCTGCCCAATAGAATCGTTGTCTAATTTTATAATATAATTTATAGTAGCCATCATGACCTCCAGAATATGCATCATCATGGTATAATGTCAGTATCTCCTTCTGCCGACTGCGCCATTTATAATAGATATCATCAAATACTTCGATGAATCTTCAATATAAATTATATTCCTCAACTCGAAGATTTATTATTTTTTTTATTAATTATGTTTACATCTTACTATAACAACATCACTCATTCAAAATAAAAGATAAACTGATATGGATAATACAGAGTCGTATCCTACAATAAAAAGATAGAATAGTAAGGGTCCACAGTGAGAGCCCTGAGGAACACCTGATGTGACCAGAATATCGTTAGATATATAGTTATTCATTTTAACTCTTTGAGAGCGGCCACTGAGGAAACTACGTTTCATTAAAAACAGTAGGTCAGTTTACAAGTGATTACCTAAAAGCATTTTTTTATGATGATTTGAAGATGATGTAGCTGTCCAAAATAACCAGGTTTTCTGGTATCTGGTACTAATTTGAGAACACCTAAGAGAGATTGTTTGAAATTGAAATTTAAAATTTTGAATTTTGCTTCGGGACGTTACTTACCTAAAATGATGGGTAACCAATGCTGATACGTCACATGTTGCATAGCAGCACCCACTATCTTCCTGGATTCCTGATACAGCCTATCCGTGTCCCAATGAGGATTCAACAATTTCAACTCTTTGGCAATTTTGTTGTGCTCCCTCATCCAGACGGTGTGCATAGCGAGTAATCCCACTTGCTCGTTGACTCGAATATCGCCTGCTACGAAGCAGTTCAAAGTGCTTTCAGTAAGATTCCTTCTGCAGTCAACGCCTTGATTTTCTGCATAAGGAAGAAGTGCTTTTCTTTCTGGAAATCAAGCAAATTTGGTCAATCAATGATGAGTGAAGAACCAGGAGAATAGGAACATCGGAAAATATCGGAAGACAGAGATTTGGCAATTAACCAATATCTCAATTCTCACTCTCTTTTAAAGTATCCGCTAGATTTGTCAGACTTACGCAAATTTAGAATATTCAGCAGCTGCAAACAGATAACACTGATAACAACTGCTCACCAAATTGATCATCAACCTGTCACATGAACCTTGTAGAGGACATTCTTCTGGCTGTGTAAATCTGCTTTCCATGGAAGTTGATGATAACCATTTAATATAATATAATATTTCAACAGAATATGTATCATACAATTTCTTCTTTTACAAATACAAACACTAATAATAAATTCAGATTATTAGGTTTGCATTTGGAATTGAAACCATATCATTCAAGGGATTGAAACTATCTTTGTTACTTTTAACTCTTCATTTCGGAAGATAATCACCTGTAGGTATATTAATAACATTACTGGAATACTTTCATTCTTTTGACACTGAAATGACACGGTTAGCTAACTTTTTGTAGTAATAGTAGTGAGAGTGCTGAAATAGATTGAAAATAATTCTATTCGCGGGAATCAATGTTACCAGGTGGCGCTCGGTTGTCATCGTTCCATGTCAAAGCCACGTCAAAACTGGGGGAAAACAAATTCAATACCTACTTACTCAATCCCATTAGTGCCATTAGCTTGTGTACTGATAAGATTGATAAGTTTTCGAATTCCTTGACATTAATTGTCAATATTCGATCGAAAACGCTAATAATGCCTGTTGTAGATGTTCTTTTGGCAGATATTTTGTTCTATTTAGATGGAAAAAGCCGACCAGTAGTGGAAGGAGAAGCAGTTCTCCATGCTAATCATGTGATTTTGTGTGAGGCAGAAGACTTCAACAAAAGGCACATTTTTGCACTTTGTCTAGAAACTTCGGCGATGAAATCTTCCCCACATGAATTAAAATTGAAGTTGGGGTCCAGAGGAACTCCTGTAGAACAATGTATTTGTATTTGTTCATGCAAAGCAGGACTATTTGGGTATTGTAAACATGTTGTAGCTGTTCTTTTATATGTCAATTAATTTGCTTGTCTTAATTAGTTCGAATTGTTTGAACTATCTCTAATTCTTCACCCGTTCACTGTTCACTAAACTAATAAAAATGTAATAATGTAAAAAAATTAACCAACTCAACCATCATCACTACCAACAGTGCCAACACTTTATGTCATTGACAAGTTTGACTACAGCTACAGCAAGCTGAATGCAATGTAGTCTATGCACTTTATCCATAGACCACAGTTTGTTTTCCCCCAGTTTGAAGTTCGTATTATGTAACCTAGATGTCGCCCACTTCGTGAATCTCGCGAATAGATGGTCGAAACATCTACTTCAGATCCCGCCTATAATGTTAATAGATTATGTCCACAATTATAATATTTCAATTGGTTGGTGGAAATGTTTCCATTGATTTTCAGGAATTTCCGGAAAATATCACTAATATTAGTAGGACAATATTTTTTTTATTATTTTTAACCAATAAAACGATATAAAAATTCATTGAGGACTTGTCTGCACGGGATATCTTCCTAATACAATTGTTCACTTTTTTTTCGATGAAGATCGAGTATAGATTCATCACTGTTAGTTCATAAAGTAAATGGTAGTAATTATATCCATCTAACTGATAAGTATTTGAAGTAAATGAATTCAAAGCCCCGTTAATTATTATTTGTTACTACCTGGGAAGATTGGGCCTTCTCTTAGTCTTCCTGCATTAGTGTTCAGGTCTCGAAGATTCCTTGCTAATTCATCAGAAAATCCGTAAACTTGCGAAGCATCAATGTATGAAGTCAACTGATTTATCTGCTCTCTGGGTTGTATGGCATCAAAAAATATTGAAGTGGTCCCTGATCCACAAATCGATGAAGTTCGTGTGAAGTCGATACATCTAAAAGTAATGAATGTTCTCATCATGAACTGACGAACATATTTCGTCTTATTCAGGGGTGTAGCTTGGAATAGTAGTTGTTTATGGTCTAGGTTCGAGGCCCTAGAAATTGTTACAGTTTCGAAATACGAATTTACCTCCGGTTTTTCACTCTAGGATCATTTGGAGGAACGTCCATAGGGTAGCAAGGAGCAGCATAATCACATGTTTTTTTGCAGTCGATTCCTTCCCAACTTTCTGATGTAACGGAAGGAAGAGAGTGATCCAAGTCGTGGTCCAGAAACTGGCCCCATTGCATTACCTGAAACCATAAAGTATAGCTTAATTTCAACAAATTAAGCTGATATTATATTTCTTATTTATACAATGTGATTTATATCAACATACCCGAAAAATAATTGTTCACTGCCATGTAATTGAATGCAAGCGCTGGGAATAAAAATATGGAGGAATGTGTTCCAGAATATAATATGAAATAAGACGACAACCTAATACAAGAAAAATTTTGGGTGCAATACGTTGATGATTTATATTTCCTATTTTGGTGTGATCAATACCAAAAAGTCATTGCTAATCCCACTAATGTTGCTTTAAATCCCAGGACAAAGGTATTTTTTTTTCTGTAGTAGTCCATACTCAAAGTGGAGTGGAATTATCAATAGAGAAAAACCCAAAGACCACTTTGGGTTTTTCTCTATTGGTATTTTTTTTCTTATTTATTTCAAATTCTCATTTTTTCAGTTTTTTTGTATGGACATCCTAATGAATGATTTTTCTTAGGTCGATGTAAATGTCTTAGATTATGCAAGGCAATATGAATTATAATGTTCCAGTTCGAAAATAAATCGGACTACCGAGGATGACCCGGAAAATATGGACGATATACCGGATATGAATGGATACAGCTGTAAGTATTTTTGCACGTAATTTTCTTTATCGAACGCAGTGTTGCTGAGATAGTGATCTTTGAAAAAAAAATGTTGATTGATTTTTTTTATCTCTTGGAGCGCATGAAAGGAAATTCCTACAATGCTCGTGAAACATCGTGCGTACCTAGGGAGGATAGGGAGAGGAGGTAGGTGTTGAAATAATTTTGAATTTTGGAGGTTATGAGCTCCTGGGAATAACTTAAATTGGCTAAGAATTCCAAAGATTCGCTGTTCTATAGACCAAAGAGTTTCGGTAGAGTGTTGTTCGACATTTTTCAAGGTAAATGACATGGGATATGTGCTGACTGGGCCTGCCGAGTTCGTCTGACTGATATCGCTAGTGATGGAATTATAGCAGAGATTTCTGAGGAACATTTCCCGTGGAAGTATCTATAGAAAAGTGAATGATCTCCGACTCTTCTACGGTGTTCTAATGGGGTGAAAGAATTAGTAAGTGTGATATTGATTCGAGACGAAGGAAAGTTGAAATAAGTCTTGGCGGGCTGCTTTAACTCGAAGAAAACTCCACTACTACTTTTACAACCACCCTGTATAATTCAGGTATTTGCATAAAATATTGTCATCACGAATTATCAACTTCCTTACCAAGTTTTACGGGATTCCAATCATTCGATGGATATGAATATCAGGACGCGTGCAATTCCATGGAAACTTGAACATCTTGTGTAGGTATAATATGTAGTCTGATTCAAGAAATGCAATTATCATGAATCGATGTTGATATTAGTATACTACGAAATGTCCAAAAATGAATTGATTTCAACCGCTCACTCTTTCGGAAATAATTGGAACATTTGTTATTTTTGGACCAACTCTGTATATCGTGAGTACGTGCAGATATCATTGAACTCTATAGTCGATTTTCACCGGCCACATGGACAAACAAAACGTAGTCGATTTGATTTTGGTATTCAAAAAGGAAACTTCACAATGGCCATTCGAAATTTTGAAAAAGTCAACTTCAGCACCCTGTATATTCCAAACTACTGACTTAAGAGCGTTGATAATTGGGGCATCTCATCAGAATCACGAGTTCTACGATATATCCAAAATTCGAGAAAATTCACCAATTTTTCCTCTCTTGCGGTACGGGGTCCTTTGTCAAGTACCAAATTTTCATGAGATATCAAATGGAAAGTTGTGTACACGTATTTCTTACCATATGAGTTATTTCTGGATCATGTGTAATTTTTTTCGTAGTTATCAGAGTGAGAGACACCAATCTGGAACTAGGCTTCGGGTATCCGTAGTATTTTCTGTCTTTCGTCCATCCAATAGGCTTGGTCAGCCCGTCCTCGTACTGAGGTTTGAGAATACGCCTGAATCCCGTAAGAGAAGCCCCCCACATGGGGTGCTGCAGGTTGTTGCAAGTCCCATCGATGGAACGATATTTGGAATGGTAGCACATGTCCGAACAGTTCTTCTTCAGTCTATGAGTCGTACAACCTAAAGATAATCCCACAGTAAACACAACACGTTTCTGAAACATTTCAAAAGTTCCCTAATATACCTGTCATCAGAAACATTCTAATTTTAACATAAAGGAAAAATTTCTGATCCACGCCATGTTATGAGAAATATTTCAGAAATATGCCAATACATACGTTTCATATTCATTAAAAAAATTCTCTGCTTGAAATATCTCACGCGAATCTCTAGACGTGTTTACGTATATGAATTATTTCTGTGTTGTTATGCGTAATGTGACACATCTCTGAAATGTTTCAATACAGATGTTTACTAGTTTTCAAGAGTTCATCACATTCGAAACAATTCAATTAGATTAGATTAGATTTGGAATGGGGCCTTCGGGATATCTGCCTCCACACTGCGACCTTTTTCAGATCTATTGTGTCTGCCCTCAAAATCGATTAGAGTTCTTCGGCTAGCCCCGCCTTCTCTATGAGACTCCATAGGCTAGCTTTCAGATCTCCTGTGTATATCTGGGCTCCTGGTTTTTCCTCACCCAGCGTAAGGAACCTTAGTCTTGACAAGCCCTCACAGTGGCAAAGTATGTGTACTGCTGTTTCTTCCTCTTCTTGACAGAACCTGCACAGCAGTTCTTCAGTCAGACCTATCGTACTCATGTGTTTGTTGAGCCTTCAATGCCCTGTGAGAAGTCCCACTAGTATTCTAGTTGAACTTCGTTCCTGGCTTAGTAGATATTTGTGAATGTTGGCGATGGTTTTTTAATAAACTCTTTAGCCTGTCTCATTCCTGGCGAGTTGTTCCACCATTCTTGAGATTTGGTTTGCATCCATGATTTGATACTAGTCTTTTGTGTAGCTTTCGCAATACCACAGAAGGGTTCTGGGCCATTAAGAGCTTTGTTTGCTCCTGCTCGGGCAAGTGAGTCTGCCTCTTCATTGCCCTCGTACCCTGTATGTGCTGGTACCCATGCTAGAGTCAATCTGTTCTGACTGCCCAGTGCATTTAGGGTTTCTAAGCAGTCCCATACTAGTTTTGAGTTAACTTGCATAGAGTTGACTGCTTTGATTGCCGCCTGGCTATCTGAATAGATTGCAATGGTTTTGCCTTTAAACTCTTGCCTTATCAATTCTTTCACGCAATGATGTATTGCAATAATTTCTGCCTGAAACACCGTCGCGTATTTGCCTAAGCTCAGTGAGATTCTTGTCTTTGGCTTGGCCCCATAAATACCAGCTCCTAATCCTTCATCAGTTTTGGAGCCGTCCGGATAGACAGCAATGTCTGCATTGATAGGAGGTCCTTCCTTCCATGCCTCTCTGTCCGTTATACTTATTTTAAAAGTTTTTTCAAAGCTATATTTTGGAATTATGCCATCCGTTGGCATCCCCATGATGGGGTCGCTTTCCAACTCTTCATATAGTCTTTACCGTGCGCGTTGCTTATGGGTGCTTGACCCCTTGACAATCTACTCACGACTGCTCTGGCTTCGCCTTGAATATATATTTGTAGTGGTGGTAGGTTCAAGAGGACCTCTAAAGCGGCTGTTGGAGTGGTTTTCATTGCACCAGTGGCACTCAGGCACGCTTGCCTTTGAATAGCACTGAGCCTTCGAATCACTCCAGCCTGTTGTGTCTTTGGCCACCAAACTACTGACCCATATGCTATCATAGGCCTGATGACGCTGGCATAGAGCCATGTGGTCATTTTTGGTTGCAGTCCCCAATTTTTTCCGCACATTCGTCTGCACAGATTGAAGGCTACTGTACTTTTTTGAACAATTTTTTGTAGGTGTTGATTCCATGTTAACTTATGGTCAAAGATGACTCCTAAGTATTTTGCCTCTAGGGCGAACGGAATTTCTACCCCGTTGAGTACTGGTGACTTTAATCCTTCCAGTACTCTTTTTCGTGAAATTCACTATAGTAGTTTTATGAGGGTTCACGGTGAGTTCCTCCTCTTTACACCAATTGTCAATTATGTTTAGAGCGGTTTGTGTGAGCTCCGAGACCGTACTTGCGAATTTACCTCTAGCGATAACCGCCAGGTCGTCGGCATATCCTAGGCAATAATACCCTTTGGATGTTAGCCTTTTGATCAGTTCATCCATTAGAATGGCCCATAGTAGGGGCGATAATACTCCTCCCTGTGGGCATACCCTATCTGCTCTAGCTGTCAGTGTTGTCTCGCCAATTGTGGATATGATAGCCCTATTTTTCAAATTGACATTTATCCACTGGCACAGGAGTAGTGGTACTCCTTTCCTTGCTAGGGCGAAAACAATTCAATTATTGTACTCTAATACTTTAACCTCTACGAAACATTTCTGAAATAATACAAAACTATCAAGTGACAAAACGTTCACCACTTGAAACGTTTGAATGTTTTTGCAATCTTGAATTTCCATTGAAATGATTCGAGCTAAAGCAATTTATAAATTTTCAGGCGGATAACGATGGCGTAATCGATTAATCTAGTGTGAATGTAGGCATGATACGTTTTGCTTTTCGTAATTCCTAATAAACATCCGAACTGAAAATGAATAAAGAGAAATTAGCAGAAGAATTCATACCTTTTTGAGAAACATAATCAATCAAATGATTCCAATTGTCTAAATCACAATCAACAAGTAAATTAACGAATACAACGAAAACAGCGCATTTATACTAGACCGCGAATAAAAAAATGAACAAACCTTTCAAGGTAGCCGCAAGTCTAAACGTCTGATAGGAAACAAAAAAAATCAGTTATTGTCGGATATCTCCGGACTGACCGGACATATTCGAAATTCCGAAACCTTGGTATATACCGAGGTCCAAATCGAAACTGATCATTTTCAAAATGACAATAATTGATTGTTTATGGGATCTAAATAATTTGGCATAATTCAGATTGAACTATTCGAATTAATTATAACGTACCGTCAACCGGGGCTATATTGGATGATATTTTCGAATATATCCCTGTACTTTTTTTGTTATACAAAATCTGAGATAACTAATGCATCCTATGTTAGGGAGTTGATAAAGGGAGCATATTCATATAAGAAAAAAAAGTTTAAGTTGACGCGTATATTTTTTTTTTAAAATAGGCCTTCCGATATAACCCGGGGTTTGGGGTAATATCAAACGGTTCAACTTTCACGCTGGAAAACTTTGTTTTGAGCCAAGTGATTGATATTGGTTCAGCCTAAACCCTTTATCTGAATTTTTTTACGAAAACAAAAATGCCATGCAGGGTACAGGGTGATATAGGTAGTGAAAAACATAAGTATTATCAATATAATGAAAATAAGAGTCTATTTTCATAGAAATAATATAAGAACAACAAACAAAAAACAAAAAATAAACATCACATTCTATAAAAACAAAAAAGACAAATTCTAAGATCATTCTGAGATCATAAATTAAAAGCGAAGACCTTGATGAATTTTGGGAGCAGTTGAAATGCTATGAACTTGTTGAAATTTTATTTTGAAATCGTCTTCAACGTCCAGAAAAACAAAGGAATCTTTTTGACCATTATAGGATCTAAGGTAATTCACAGCAATATAATTTTATGAAATGTCTTCAATTCGCGCAACGAATTCATTGGTCGTTTTTTTCTTGGTCCCTTCATTGTATACAAATTTTACTATAGCTAAACAGCCTTCTTGTAATGTAATCACAGGTTACTGGGAGTTCAACGTTCGGTGATTCCGATGTGGAATCATCATCCATCACTTCAGACGTGGATTCATCGTCAGGAATATCGTTTTCCGAAAATTATCACAGAGTTTCTAGTGTCATTAGCATTTTCTCTGGACGTGGATGCATTTTCATTTACGACATCTTCTTGAGAGGTCGATACACCTTCATTCAATTCACACAGGTCTTCAAGGCCCACCGATATGCCAGCAGAGACGTTAATCTTCGACTCTCGCTTGGGCCTAGTCGAGGTTTGATCCAAAGGAGCAACAATCGCGTTCATAACTTCAGTAAACGACGTTCTCATCACATCATCTATGCCTTCTGCATGTCGTTTCTGAATCATTTTCATAACTTGTGATGGATCATGGATCGAATGGAATAATGCCCGATGCTCGAAAACCAGACACTATATTGTTCGACATGCGATTCTTCGATATTACCAGAAGTTTCTTCAGCAGCGAAGAAAAGACATATTTTGGCACAACTCCTTTATGAGTCCGTTTCCATTCGGTCAGAATTTCACGCCACACCCGTTTGAGTGGTCCATATACTGCGACGTCCAGAGGCTGACATAAGTGTGTCGAATCCTTCGGCAAAAATACAAACTGATGAATGTTGTTTCCTGAGCAGTTTTTGATAATGGTAGGGAATATGGCTTGCTAAGTTATCGCAAATGAGAACCTCCTCTCCCTGCTTTCGTCGCAGATAGGGAAGAGCTGTTTTAAGGAACCAGTCATCCAAACATTGACTGTCGAAATATCTACTATGTGTTCTGTTATATTGGGAGTTTTCGGTACCACCTATATATTGTCTCCGTGCCAATATGGCAAAAAATTTCAGACTGGGCGTTATTACCTACTAAGAGTAATTACTCACAGTTACTTTATATTAAAGAAGAGAACCTCGTCGCCACAATTATTATTAAATTACACGACAGTCTTCAACGATTTTCAGAACGAATGTGTTTTGAGTCTACCTTGACTCACCATCATCGAAAATTCCGAAATGCTTCGTTTCCGAGATACAGGATGTCCAAGTTTGAAAAAAAAATGTTCCCACAAAATTTGATGATGCTCGTATATATTTCAAGTAGTATTCAATTTCGTATATTTCTTGTTTTCATTTCTGTTCAGAGATATGCCGAGGTATGGTATTGTCCGTTTTTCGAAGCAGTATACGAAAAAATTGCAACTGGATATTTGAGAAGAACCCGGAAAAAACACAGGGACACTTTTTTTTATTCTAAAAAAAGTCAGGTTGCTCGATGGGTACGCCCGTGGAAATTCTGAGTCATATTCAAATTGTGCAGTAAATTTCTGTCAATTGTGT